TCTAAATTTCGTTGATACAAAAGTTGGGGTTTAGGCTATGTATACCTAGCTAGATAATAATCAGAGACCACATATCTTTAAATTACTTGTGATTATCTTAATCAAATGGTGATGCATGCATGTTGATAGTTGCAAAAGAAGAAGAAGATAGGATTGGGATATGCATGATATATATATATATATATATATAATTACTACATATCTTAATCAATCGTATATGATGAGCAATAACAAAGTCAAATGGGTATATTTTTCTTTCTCTTTTGTAAACTTTTAGGTGATGGGATTAACATTCTTCCACTTTGTCCCCCTCTTCCCACAAATTTTTTTCTATTTTATTTATTTTTGTTTCTTCTTGATATGGCTATGGGTGGAGGGTTCCTATCTCCTTTTGCCATGAGCCATTGCATTTTGTCGTAGGAAAGGAATAATGCCAGTGCTTCCTTAAACCCTTTTGGGCCCCATTTAGTCCAATCATGTGGGCCCATCCTGTCTGGCCCAAAAAAAAAAATCCATCTCAAAAAAAAAAAAAAACCAACCCCTTGTCCGTTACAAAGAATAAAATTTATATGAAATTTTATAGGTAAAGTATGTAAAATTTTTTATTAAAATAAATAAATAAAAATTTAAATTAATAAATTGATAAAATTTAATATAAAAATTAATAATATGTAAAAAATATTTAAATATTATTTATAATTTAAAATTAATTAATATTTATTTAATAATAAAAATTTTATTAATATTTTATTAAAAAATTTATTTAATAAATTTATTAAATTTTACTTACTTAATTCATGCGATAAGATCTTTTAATTTATAAATTTTAATTTTAAGTTATTATTTTTAATAAAAAATTTCATGTAAAATTTTCTCATATGCTTGCGTAACTCAATAGAATGCTGACGTGGTATTGCTTTGAGAGGTTCGTGTCGTTGAAGTGGAGACTTGGCCCCACCCAAGCTCAGCCACTTTGTCACTCTCTCAATCCCCCTCTCTCTTTCTTCCTTTGCTTGTTCGGCAAACTTATTATTGAATTTAGTATCACTCTTTCTTTCTTTTTCTCCTTATATATATATATATATATATATATCTTCATGTTCTGTTGTTTTCACGTTAAAGTTTTAACCCACAAATGGATAAAGAATAAAGATGGCATTTTTGCTGTTGTTGGCTTCTTGGGTCGTTAGGGTTATTGCTCAAGCAAGAAAATATAGTCAATGGAGATAGGTGGGTCCACCTCTATCTTGGCCTATAGGTGTAAAAAAAAAACTTTGAAATTGTAGTATAATATGACAAAACTCTTTTTTCATAGTGGTGATTTCTTTGTTAAAGCTTTTCTTAATTTATTAACCACTTGTTGTAAAAGTACCATTCATTCTTGAGCCCTTTCACTCCACTTATTCATATCAAACACCATTCACTTGTGCTTCTAGACTTTGATTTATTCACTCTCCATTTCACTTTTCATGTTAATTTGTTTCTTAATTTTATTATTATACATTATAAAATTATAATTTTAGAAACTTTTTGATGTAAATAAAGTTTTTTTAAAAAATTATAATTTAAATAACATAACAATAAGTGTTCAAATATTTATGTAGCTAATTGATACATTATATCCCTATTCAAAATAATAAGATTTGAATTTTTTTATCAAATTCAAAAGCAACTTAAATTTAATTAAATAACTACTATAGCTACTGAGAGGTCGGATTATTTATCCAAACTTGAAAGTTTGTATAAATTTTAAGATGATTTAGATAAAATATTAAATCTGTTAATAAGTTTGAATATAATTTTTAAATACATTTAAATTTTGAACCGAACTTTAAACAAAAAAATTAAAGTTCGAGTCCAACTTAAATATACTATATATAATTAAAATATTATAATTATATAAATATATATGCGTGAAAATTTTTATATTTTATTTTTTAAAAAGGATTTTTTTAATTTTATTTTATAAATTAAATTTAATTGATGTGTTTAAAATTTATTTTTTCAATTTTGGTTGAATTTGAAAAAATTTTGACACCTAAAATATTGAGTTGGATCGGGCATGAGTAAATATATAAGTTATTAATATTAAGTATGAACTCAACTCGAATTTGACCTAACTCAACTTATGAACACTTTTAATAAACTACTATGATATCTTTAAAAAATTTTAGGTTTATGATTAGAATTTTTATTTTTACAAATAAAAAACACACACAATATAAAATTTTCAATGATTGTTGGACTATCTTTCACAAGATTTTATAAAGATTTAAACTCAAGAGAAAAATTCTAAAGTTTATATTTTATGTTGTGAGAAAATTTTTCATATACAAAAATGTAAAAATGGTTACAACCAAGATGCATGTAAATAAATATTGGTTTATTCACAATAAATTATAAAGAAAATATTGGCAAGTGGAGGACCCCAAAGCCAACATTATATAATGTGTACTCCTTAAGACCTGCATGGCCAAAGATGCACTAGATTTTGGATCATTCATTCCAATTAAATTTGTTGGCTGCATATTTTTCTCAAATCATTTCCTGTCCTCTTGCTCATTTCTCATGAAACTTCATGGCTTCTAAACAGAGCTTGAAACAACAAACAACTACCTTACATCTCACATAATTTTGACATGAAACTTCAACTTACAACATCCTGGAATCTCATGGGGAAAATAACATTATTGCAAGTGCATCCTAAATTAGATAGTAAAAAATATTATTTTGATATGACAAAAAACATTATGATAATATTATATGGAAAGAAAACAAAGTTGAAGTACACTAATAAATCTAAATTATATTTATTTTGAACATAGTTTAATTCAATTGATTCATACAATTATTTTTAAAAAATAACAATTAAAAAATTTGGGATTAAAATTTTAGCATATGCACTATTCTCTTATTTCTATTTCCTTTGTATATATAAAAAATTATATCTATATTGAAATTGAGTAAATGACATCAAACCCTTTTTCTTTCTAATTTTAATTTTTTTTTAGTGAGCTATTAATTTTTGTAATCTAAAACTATGTAGTGAAGAAATTAATGCCTAAGAGGTTGGCTAGCTATCAATGGGAAAGAAAACATTGAGCATTCATTGAAGACAGAATAATCAATAATTGGGGGTTCCAAAGGCACTATATGAACAAAAATGACAATATACATGTAAAGCATCCTTCAGGCTCAATGATGTTCTCACCATTGTTGGCTGCTTCCTCTATTTGTAGAAAGGATGACTTCAGCTTCATCGTTAGCTTTGAATCCTCATCCTCGTTTAGGTCTTGCCATCCATTCGAAACATTGTATAAAAGTTTTTTTGGATGAATTGAAGCAAGAAGGAGTTGGAGAAATAAAGAACCCACACCATTGTTTATGGTCCTCAATATCACAGCTAAAGTCTTATGTTAGGCTAAGCCTGCCTACCAAATTTAAACAATTAAAACAAAAGAGTCTGCGAGTTTAGACTAGATCATTAATGGTTGAAATGGGTAGCTAACCAAACCCTTTGTGCAATTCCATTTATTTTTCTCACAATAAATTAAAATTATCAACGCTTCGTTCTCCAAAATTTTTTTATCCAATTGGGTTGGGGATGGGAATAGTGGGGTTTGAAAAATTTTTTTTCTACACATTTTCTTAAGCCCTTTTTAATCATTGGATCAAGAAATTGAAGACATCTTCCAAAGTTTAATTCATTATTAAATTATCACAATTTTAATGATTACAGTTCAAATTTTAATAACATTATTACCGAATTTTGTAACATGTAAAAATTGATTATGTTTGATTATGATGTATTGTTCGCTTTGAGATATATACTCTTAGTTTCGTCGTTTTGAAAAAATGGATGAACGGTAAATCACACTCAAATTATTGATTGTTAAATGTGTGAGATCTTTCACTTTCAGACCACCACTTTCAAGATCTTCTAATCATGCTACCAAGGGGAAAATATGAGAGTAGTCAAGGACATAATGTAGAATATTAAGCACACGGGTGAGAAATTGAGAATTCAAAAAATGGATTTTAATTAGACTTGAAAATGTGGATTGAATATGAGCTTGGAACATGTCTTGTATTGGAGTACAATGATGAGACTATAAATTTTTAGATTCAATTGACTCAAAGATCAAAAGATTGTTCAAAAATTCAACTCATCAAACACTGCTTACTGTTTGAAAGTTGAGTGTTTCATTAGAGATTTTACTTAGAAAATTTTCAGGTTGTCAAGAAGATATCAGCTGAGATCATACAGCTTAAAATGTCATTCTCAAAAAAAAAAAAAAACAAAAAACAGTTATCGGCAGTAGTACTATGGATTCAAGTGTTTGATTGTTTGGAATATTTCAGCAAAACTCCAACCTTTTTAAATATTTCCGACAGAAATGGTTGGATAAGGATGGCCCATGATGTTTGTAAGAGATCAAAAGTCTTTGGTTTAGTGCAAGGAATCAAGCTAGCTACCCTTACCCCACTTCATTTCTTTATGTTTTTTACAGTTTCTCAGGATTTGATTAATTACCTACTAATGGGATAGTGCGTTCATATTCCCCACCCTGCCCTCCATTGCCTCTTGTCTAAATCAATATTCTAGGTAGTATTATATTTTATTGATGACTTGATGCTGAAATAAGCATTACTTGACAGCAAAGTGAGAAAAGAAAGATCACAGTGAACAATTTTCTTACATAAAGAGGCCTGTTTTCTGGTTTGCAAACTACTAGAAGACGTTCCTTTAAGATGGATGGAAACAACCCAATTTTGTTTGGCTAACATTCTAAAATTTGATGCTGTCAATCTCAGCTAGAAGAACAGTGCTTGAGTGGAACCTTTAACAAGCCAAGAAACCCTTTTTAACTGATTGATTTACAGTGTCGTCCCGAGGGGCCACTTGGTGATTATTTTCTGGGAATTAAGGAAATTCTAGGTCCCATTGGGATCATGTCATCTACAATATTTTGCTTTTAAACATTATAGTAGCTCAAAAATCATCGGAATGTGTTATGGATTAGAGCATACTTTTATTTTCAGCTTAAGGTGTCAACCTTACAAACACAGCAAAAAACAAAGCTAACAGCAACTTGTCAGAGGGCTGCCCTTGCGAGAGGTAACAGAATGCAGCAGCTTTTCGGAACAGTAGTATCAAGTTGGGATTGTTATTTACCAATTTGTCATTTAGTAACCAGAAGCTAACCCAATACCCATGATTTTGAGCCAAAAGCACCGAACTTGACCAAAGTTCAATCTTTAACAGCTTCAAACACTTGCTGGCATTCTTATTGTTTTGATTTCAATACAATTTATTAGCTAGGCCTAAAACCGCTCCTTCGAAATGAAAATTGTACTGAGAGGAGCATGGAGTAGGAAGAAGCATTTCCCCCAATTGGCAAAGCATAAGATGAATCATGTCTCATAAGGGATTCTTTACTTCTTTGCCATGTTTGAGCAGGGGAACCTACCATAGGTGTAATAAAATTAACTAAACAAGACTTGCCCCTGCAACATCACTCTAGACATAGTATAACTTGAATTGCAATGACATGGGACTGGTGATACTAACTTAACCTGCAGAAACTGAAGCTTCTACGCAAACAAAAAAGATGGTAAAAAAAACACTCATATGATGAGATGACAAAAGTAACAATACAAACTTCATACCAACCCAAAAACATAGCTCTTGTCCTAGTGCCTAGAATTCGCCACTTCACTACCATCAGATTTTGAGTTGTTCTAAACTCTGTACTGTCTGAAATTCTTGCAGGTTCTTTGCTGTTGTGCTTGCAGCTTCCTCTACTTTGGCAGGTGATTTATCAAGAAGGGCAGAAGCCGTAACTGTCATCCTATCTTCATTTCTAACAGATGTAATATCTTCCTTCCGATCTGGTGAAGCAGCAAATACTGGAACCACTTGTCTAATGGTGACAGGTGGAGCAATACGTACAGGAGGAGCTCGCAGCACTTGTGTGGGAAGTGCAGATGGTGATTTCTGAGGGGGAACTGCAGGTTGTGGTGGCTGAACGGGAAGAACAGAGTGTGCTGGCTGAGTAGGAACCGCAGATGCTGGTGGCTGTGGGGATACCGCAGATTGTGCTGAACGTGGAGGTGCAGAGAAAACAGGCACCGCAGTTCTTATTGTCACTGGTGGAGCAATGCCATGGCAAGGTGACCTAAATTGTCGGATAGGAACATAAGGAGCCGCTCCAGCTGCAGGGAATTTCTGCAGACGAGCCCCACGGCTTTCAAGTGCAGGTGCTTGCAATGATGGTAGAATAGTCTTGTCATTTGCTGTCACTGACATAGATCTGTTGCGAGGAACCACCTTTGGGCAGATTAAGGGAAGGATTTTTGAGGTGGTAGCAGCAGGCTGTGGACTAGTTGGTCTTGGATTCTGAATAGGAAACTTCTTTGTAAATGGTATTGGGGCATTGGAGGAGTTTGCCATAGCCATCTTTTCCTTTATTCGGTAATTCGACAACGCACGAGCTATTGTGATCTGTTCAAGCTCATCACTAGTCTCTGGCTCTGAAGAAGAACTTGCAGTTTCTTTGGCCACTGGAAATAAAAGACATTATTCAGTTTAGGCACAAAGATTCTAATCCAGACAAAAATTTCAGGAAAGTAGCTATAAACATGCAGTTAGCTTGAGACTGCCAAGAAAACAGGTCTAACAAAGCATTTAATCTCTATCTCTTCAGTGAAATAAGAATATGAAAAATTTCAGAGGGGGAAACATTTCAAAGAAATAATTTTAATGAGTTAGATAACGTGCACAACTTGCCACAGCTACACAGTGGAGGGGAGAATCAAAAGTGAGTTTGATAGAAGCAGTTTTAGATACAACAAAACCAAATCTGTTAAGTATGAAATCAATAAAAACTTATGGTTTAGTCAAAATGTTACTTGGTGTCTAGTCTATGCTATAAGTGTATACATAATGCAAAGATATGAAAAGATGGGAGTGCATTCCATCTTGTAGTAGTGTCACACTACTTAACAGACGCAGCATCCTTTTGTCCGCTCAGAACACAAGGAGATTGAGAATTCCTCTAACCACACAAGAAACTGCACATTACCTAATTCACATTCCAACATTTATCCACAAGAAAACTGAAACATGGACTCACACTGTTTCAGAGATGTCCAAGCTGCCATGGCTGCATTCTTTTCCGCTTGTTTCTTGTTCTTAGCAGGTTCCCCTGTGAATGTGATTCCAGCCAATTCAACTGTTCCTGTAAAAACAGGTAGGTGCCCAAGGCCTGATCTAAATGTTGTATACTGTGGCAATGGAGCTCCAACTCTTTGTGCAATTTCCTGTAAGAGGTTTTTATAAACCCCTGTCTCATCCTAACATAATGAAGCCTAATCAGTATCACCAAACAAAGCTATAAACAACTAGAAAGGGCATATTCAAGAAATTTCAGATATAAATATGGCAAATTCATCCAGAATCAACAGCTCTCCGCAAGGTTTGAGGGCAGGTACAGAAAAGAAACCAAAAAAAAAAATCATCCAGAATCTATCAGTCACTTAAATTTGAAAGTTTATAATAAAACAGGCAATACATCAATGAACCGGATGAGAAAGACAACAATTTACCAAAGGTGCATAGCTTCTTTTCATGTACTAACATGCACAAGTCTGTCAACGGATTAGGCAGCATGAATGTGCAAATGGACACACTCTTATGTTTACAAACTACTTCGATGTTAAATTTGAAGAGTCTAAGAGTTGTGACCTAACTACGATGATGAAAACAAGAAATGCATACCCAACCTAATGAGTCACAACATGACGCAAGGCAGATTCAAGTTACTCATTTTCTGAAACAAAACTAACTGTTTCTCTTCTACAAGCAACTGACATTCTTAAAAGGAAACCTTGACAACCCCGAATTGAACCCAACCTTTCCTATTCTTCCCTATTAATATCTGGACCGGAAAGGCCACATTTTCCAGTGAAGAAAATCAGATATAAAAATCTAGAAAAACTTTTGCATCTCACATTTATTTTTCTTTTCTGGGGTTCAATTAAAATTTAATTTTTTTTAGGGTTGCACCGTCAAATGCTCATACACCTACTTGAACTAATTAAAGTCTGGAAGAAATTAAGACACCCAAAGTAATTTTTGCCCTCTCCACCATTTTTTCCTCAGGAGGTCAACTGAGACGGCCTGAAAAGAAAACTTTTTTTTTATGACCGAAATACCCGTGATTAAGCCATTAATTACACCAACAAAACCCAGATTATCAACGTACAGCTGTTTCACAAAATATGAGAAACAAAAGTTAAAAATCAAAGATATAATTAATTAAGACATTCAATGTCAAACACGGAATCTTCCCCATTTCCCACTGTTATTTCCCTTAGAAATTAATTAAAAAATTTCGCTTTCGTCCACCTGAAAAAGTCTATAGAATCCTACTGTCATGTGTTAATTCATTAACCCTGGAGGGCATTACAGTAATTTCCACACCCCTTCCCGCAACCACCTGAACTAAACCTCCGGCGGTCATGGTCTAACACCGATCACTCCCTATGGCTCAACATAGCAAAAAGAAAAAAGGAACTTGAAAAAAAAAACTCAAATTTGAGCCTAAACTAAGTGGCGCACATTAGCAAAAAGCTTTGAAAGAACTTACTAGGATTCTGGCGGCAAGAGAGTGAGAAGGTCCACGATTAGACAGGGATTGGAGCGCGACTTCGGCAGCGGAGTGTTCGGCTTGACGAAGAGTAGAACAATAGTGAGGACTCTCAAAGGTTTCGCCGTTAAAGTTAACGGTGGCTTTGAACCTCGGCGCGTGGTCTGGACCTTCCCTAATGCACGTGTAGGAAGGAAGATTAAAGCAGCTCCTCTGCGCCAGCTCTTGTAGCTGGTTCTTGTACATTTTTCTCTTCTCTTTCTCTCCCACAAAACAAAAATTTTATCTTTTTTCCTTCTTTCTTAATTTTTGTTCGAATACTTTATCTGGGTGTTTCTTTCTCTGGTTGAAGAGGAGGGAGAAATGGGATCGGACCCAGATCGGTTCGCGTTAAGATAGGAAATGGGTCATTGAAGATCAAGGTTTTTAGGGTTTTTCCATTGAAGAAGTTGATGAAAAATGAAGAGAACAAAAATGAAAAGGTTAAATTTTTTTGTGAAGTGGGAAGAGAAAGGTTGGGTTGGGGGGCTTTGTATTTTATTAATGAAAATTCATTTATTTATTCATTTATTAATTAAATTATTTGTTTGTTAAACGCAGTCAACTGAACGTTAGGCTGCATGGATCATGATGTGATCTCTTTTCCTCCTAGATTTTCCACACTAATTTCTTTTTTTTTTAATTAATATTTTTTAGTTTCATTAATTTCATTAGTATAACTAATTTAATTATTTAAATACTGTTTTTTTATAAATTATTTAAATACATGTATTCATTTGATTTTTTTTTTTTACCAAGTTCATGTGAATAATTTGAAAACTATAAAAATACCAAAAAAAAAAAAAAAAAAATGTACTACTACAAGTGATATTATTTTTTTTATTAGTGATAAGCTATGTTTGTTTAATGTTGTCGAATAAATAATGTAACTTAAACTTTGATTAAAAAGTTGTCACCCCTTTGATAAAAGCATAATTAGTGATATTAATGAAGGTGATATTTTAAGAAAAAGTATAATTAATGCATTTTTTTATTTAATAAAAAAATCCTGATCTCTACCTATAGGTATCCGTTAACAAAAAAAAAAAAAAAAACCCAATGCATTTAATTGTAATTATGAATTATGATGATCTTAGTAAATTTGTGGGAAATTTGTGTTGAATCAGAATTGGGTTTGAAGAGCAAATTGTTGGTAGGTACTAATTATGTCATAATTCATTAATGGTACCATAAATTGGCCCATCAATTGTGTTTAATGAGTAGAATGATTCAATTAAAAAGAAAATTATTAGAAATGAGAGAAAGATTACACTTGTAAAGATTTCATATAAAAAAATTATGTAAGTAAAATTATAAATAATTTAGTTGATTTTTTTAATTATTTTTTAAAAAATAGTTTTTAATAGATTTAAAATTTAAATTAATATTTTAATGTATAAAAAATTATTTAAGTAAAACATAAGGATAACTTTTAAAAGTTAAACAATAACTTAAAATTTTAAAGTTATAATCACCTATAAATATATTTTATTGATAATAATTTTGGTACTATTTGAGATATACCTGAACATTTGATTTAATAATAATAGTATATATCACTCATGAAAAAATAATAAAAATAATTTAGAATTTTCTTTCTCAAAATATATATTTTAAAAAATAATGTTGAGATATCTCAATAATAAATACAACTCACCTTTCAAATAAGAGTCGGTTAATTGATGCTTATAGTCCTGGACTAAGAATTATTTAATTATTATTTACAAAATGATTTTTGCATTTAATGTATTATTTTTATTAAATTTAAGAAAAATTGCATTAAATGTATTTTTTGAAATATCATATTAATCAGAGTCCCAATACATGGGATTATAAGCTCAGATTGTTCTTTATTTCTTTTAAAAAACTCTCTACATTACAAAAAAAAAAAAAAAATAGTAGACTTTTTCTCTTAAGAACCGCAGTGGACTTTGAAAGTGCAACTTTCAAACCACTATCATTTTCCTTTTTTCTTTTTTTTTTTGTGTACTTTGCAATGTATGCTCTCATCCTACTTCATGTCAATTTAGCAATGAGTTTTTTTGACTTCTTCGCACACCGACCATGTTTTTTTACAAATGAAAGTATACATGCTTCACATTTTTTTTTTAACTCCATAATTTATTTTACTTTTAACAATCATTTTAATCTAAAATTAGATTACCTTATAATAATAAAAAAAATGTTTCGTTCATCATAATTTTTGAACTTCACAATAAAAATTCATCGAATAACACATATGTTAAAAAATAAAAATAAAATACATATACGTTTCTTAATTCCGCTTTCATCGAATATAAAATCAAATTCTAAATAGTAATGATAATGAAAGATGATCCCGTGACTTAAATTATGGTCACGTGGCCCAATGAATCAAAGTATTATTGGGTTTTTCCCTATCAATATGAAAATGGGGTGGCCTCCACACCATAGTGCACTCCTTTTATAAACTGATGATGATGATGAGGCCAAGTGAGAGGACTTTGGAATCTTCGGGATCGAAGATACGTAATTATGAAAATATCCTTTCATATTTTGCTATGACGCATGGCAAGGGAATGAATATATGAGGTTCTTTATGGTCATTTCATCATATATATAGATATATAATAAGATAGAATTCATTATCATCGACATGGTAAGTGGGGAACCAACTTTAATGATAATAATCTCCGAAATTGATGAAGTTTGACTCTTTTGAAATAACGAAAATGCCATTATAGAGTTTTAAAGATTGTTTGGTTTTGCTTTTAATAGCTTTCGACGAATCTACAATGGAAAAAATAATAATTAAGACGCAGTAGCTTTGTATTTTGTTTGTTTGAAAAAGTCTCGGATTCAATTACTTTTACATTGAATGAAAAGCAAACACGGTCTTCCATTAAAAGAAGAGTTCAGATTGTCATCTACGTTTTGTTTTTTATTGGATAAAACAACTAGTATTCTTTTTGACAAAGTATTAAACTCTTTGCATTTTTACCTGATCCAATCAAGGAAAAAATAAAATTTTTACTTTTAGCAAGTATAAAGGTTAAAAAAAAAGGGTTTTGACATTCAATGGCAAGAATATTATGGATCAATCCAAAATCTAACAAAACCCCATCAAGGAAATAGAAAAGCACATTTTAGAAAGGTAAAAAGTTATAAAAAAAAAAAAAAAAAAAAAAAGAAAGAAAGTGTTGACCAAACAGGTCCAAAGAATTTTACTGTAGAAAATGAATAAACATGAAGGGCAGCAAAACCAACCTAATAATAATAATAAATGCAAGGCATGGAAAAAATTTTTACTTCTTTTCATGAAATGGATGGTAAAAAAATAAACATGGGTATAGAGACAGACAAAAGATTCGGCATTCTAAATTTGCAGACAGTACTACTGAACTTCAATAAATTCATTTCACAGAATGACCATTGCTCCAATGAAAACCCTCTTGGTTTTATCTCCTTCACTGCTTCCATGAGGAACCTTTCACACGCCTCTTAATTACCTTTAGGTACAAAGCTTAATGCACCCTGCTTTGGTTTTAATGCTAGCTAGCTAGATTCATAACTGCAACTCAAACTCACTCAGACCAGACTAGGTAAATAGATAGATAGTATACATTTTCTCTTACAACAGACAAAAATAGAATGTGACTGAACCTTTGGATAATGTCTAATTTCTCAGTTCAAACAAGACAACAATATAGTTCTGGGTTAATGTTATGAATAACTTCTAAAATATAGTAAAATATTTAATATGATACCTCGGATTTAAAAGTCTCTAAAACATGAAATATGAATCTATTAATTAATGTAATACTCACCTTAACATGATTAACTCAAATGATTACACGAGACAGACAAATAACACTCCAAATATCACATTAGAGATTTTTAAACTTCTGATATCACATTAAGCATTCCATTCAGACAGGCTCTGCCTAAAGAATAAAGAAACAGTAGCTGTACTGCTGAAGTGCTATTAGGAAGATATTAGTTGAAGCATTCTTAAATTTACATGACTTCAGATGGCACTTTCAAAGGGATTTCCATGAGAAAGAAGCAGAGCAAAATTTTATGAAGAGGGAAAAGAAAATAAAGTATGGCTCAAACATGAAAAAAAGAAATAGAAACAAAATAAATTGTCATGGAGCAGTTGTAAGGTGAAGAGCTAATCTTTAGAAGGTGAATCATACAATTGGCCAGTTAACTAGGGGTATCATGAATATCTAACGTGTATGAGGTGCAAAAATTACTATTAGGAGTGTGAATAAACAAAAACTAGAGTACATTCTGTATTACATGATTTGACTTATCAGTTATCACCATGAAAAGGGACTTGCTCCCTGCAAAAAAATCTCATTTTCCACATCTTTTACCCATTGACAAACCTGGTTGCAAGTCTTTATGGCTAGAGCCTGCACATAACATAAATGAAACTTTAAAGCTTCTTTACAGAAAAGAATTCAGTAGGTATTTAAGGCAGGATTTGAACTTTGAACACCAAATGATTTAAAATATATATGCTAAAGCAAACCTTGTCTGCAAGGGGATCAAATGCCGCATAGAGTTCAAAATCCTGTGTGACCCAGCACAGTAAAACTGACATAAAAATAATCACATTAATTCTACGAAGTCTGTAAAATAAAAACTGTGTAGTTATAACTCATACGCAACACTTGCCCATTACCCATAGAACATTAAGAATGCTTTCATTGCTTGCAGAAAAGTCATTCAAACAGCAAAAGAAAAACAAAATTGTAACAAAGTTAACTTTCCTCTAAATAGTTATAGTTCAGATGTCAGCAAAGCTAATGTGCGTGTGTGTGTGTGTGTGTGTGTGTGTGTGTGAGAGAGAGAGAGAGAGAGAGAGAGAGAGTAACCATAGTTTTCATCTCTTCTAAACTGAGTTTTATGAGGCCCAATTCCTTTATCATGCATGGAAGCATACAGTCTCTGATAAGCTCTATATAACCTGCACAGCAGAAAACCAGTTATCCTACTGACTACAGCAAAGCAAAATACAATATTCTATCCCATAGGAAAGATGTTCCAATTGAACTGATACAAGATTCAGGCTTTTACCTTTTCTGTTGCTGCAGACTGGTAAGTGGTGGTGAGAACTCAGAGGATACATATTGATCCAGATATATACTACGATAAATGAAATGCCAAAGTCCAGCAGGACCACCAATGCCAATAAATGGTTCCCTAGGCCTCTCAGGAGAATCTGTTGGAAGTCTTTGCTGGCCTAGATGTGGAGATGATCCGGATCGAGGCAATGGGTCGATAGGCAAATCCTCAACACGCATTCCACCATCTATCATTGATCTCTGAACTTCACTAAGAACATTGGACTTCAAGAGGACCATTTCTATGCGAATCCTATAAAATTCAGTCAAATTTCTCAAGGGTCTAGAAAGGAAGAAAATAAACGTTTTATAGTTCTACATACAGAGCTAACATGTACTTTCCCCAATAAGGCATAGGGACGGCTAAGTATGGCTATATTTCCATCTAGTCTGATGGAGATAGATCAGTCTCAAGATGGGCAGTCAATTGATGTAGAAATTAGGAAGGTTATACCCAAAGTTCACTATTATCATGATCAATTAGGAAAATACAGTTTACCTGCAATCTTTAAGGTGATAGAAGGCATCTGAACTGGTAGTAAGCAACATCAAGTATGTATCGACCTGCCACAACAAAGTAGATTGTTATCTTGTGCAGTTGGTATGACCAATGTAGGGCAAACGTATAACAGCATTGTGTGTAGTAGAAGTTGCATAAATTAACATATTGTGAACCATGGGTCACTCACATCAAGAAAATGCAGATAAGCATACAAAAACGCCATAGGATTATATCTTGGTAAGCAAATTGGTGAGAATGATTCTGACGTCCTGCATAAAGTATGTAGATCTCTTAAGAACCAAAAGGCCCATGAAATCATCAGCATAAATACAAAATGAAGACTGCTATATTTTTATAGAAGAAGAGGAAAAAAAAAAAAGAATGAAAGAAATGAAAAGAGGACCGCACAAAGAATCAGGACTCAATTATTTAAGTTCCGGATTAACAAGATATTGATTTCTGCCTTTCAATTGTAATATATTGGGGTGTTTTAAGAAGAACCCTTCCAGAACATAGCCAGAAAACAACGAAAGAACTAGTAAACATGTTGATTGCTTATAGTATGGAACAAGTTTCAGAACTGGAACTTCAATTTAGAATTCAATTAATATGTTAGGGAGACCCTTCAGATAAGATACAATGGGATTGAGGTTGTTCATTTACCAAAACTATATTTAGATAGAAATCCACATAAAACCAACTGAAACATCCAAGCCAAAAGAGTCATCATTGCTGCTTTCGACTACCCTAACAAGGATTATCTAAGAGATAGTATCAAAACAGACCAATGATATCCAATGTGTTTCTTTAGGGCGTATGCATTCAAATGCACTAGAGTTGACCATACATGGGTATTAAATGCCTATTAATATTGATTTTACTTACCTAAGTGACTCCAATGACATCACGAAGTTTGAAAGTAGCAACATATCATCAGGATGAAGAGAGGCCTTTTGCGCACCAACAAGACTGATAACCTGAAATTGACCTTCAGGTCATTAAAATGCTCCAAACAGTAAAATATCATTTTATGGAATTAAATAGAAAAGTAACAATGACAAAAACATTGTCAAGATTACTTTGACGGAAAAAGAAGAAAAAAGAGCATGAGGGAGTTTTACCTTGTGTTTACACATTAGTATTGCAAATAGTACCCCAGAATCAGCAACATCTTGCAATATAGCACCTGCTGCTTGCCTTGTTGCATAAGCAAGGGGAAGACAAGTGTATGCATGAAGAAATGTAGCCGGGTTCCTGAAAGAAGAAAAAAAAAGTGTTTTTAACCAGGGATAGAATGTGACAAATTAAACCAGAACAAAAAATGTTGCAATTGACTTAATATAAGTAAAACTCAAGTAGGTTTGTTTTCAAGGATTAAGCAGGAAAGCAGAAGAATGGGTTAGTGGGGTGGGGTAAGGGGAGATGCAGCATCATTACACATGCAAGAAAAACACAATGAAACGCAGCAACTGAAGGGGAGGATGAAGAAAGAGAAAACAAGGGGTGGGGCAAGGAGAGGAGAGAACCAACATTATTAGACATGCAAGAAAAATACAATAAAACGCACCAACTGAAGGAGTGGATAAGGGAAGAGAAAACAACATCTGTTCCTCCAAGCAAAGGTGTCATATCAAACTTAGGATTCTTTTCAAAGCACCTATTTATGGACTTTGTTAAGATAAGTATCATCTGCATCCATTCCAAGCACGATTTAGTAGCATGAGAAGTACTTTTGGGCGACTTCATAAGCAAATAATGAAAAAATTGACTAAATCAAATGATCAAGGGAAATTTGCAAGCAAGCCTTCAATAGGAAGTGGGAATCAAATTCATCTGTACAGAAGAAGAGATTTGCAAGAGAGACTATAAGAGCTACCTGACCATAAATAAGCTCCAATTGTCCTTTTAATGATTCAAAGGGCTCCTCCGTACAGCTTATGCAAACTAAATAAATTGGGCCCTTCACAAGAAACACCACCTGAAGAAATAAACATCATCCCATATCTTATTCAATTGATCAAAAAAATAACGCTTGATTGTGTAAGATTTAATAGGCCCTTCAATATTTAGGCATTTTATACCAAAAGAATAAGAAACACTAACTGTTTTTGCGCAAGCTGTGCTTTATTGATATTGTCAACAGTTACAGTTTTCATGTAAACAAGCCTATTTCAATTAGTGTCAAACTTTCTGCTATCACATCTTTCACTTTTCTTACGAAAAACAATTACTTGCTAGTAACATGCTTTTCCAAATATAATAATCATCTAGAGGATTCAAGTTCCACAACGTCTACTGAAAATAAGTTAATTATATTAATATGAAAAAGAAATTAAAGTGCAGGTTCTCAATGTTTATTTCTAAAGTATTCAATATGTGAAAAGAAACTTCGAAAGGTCTACTTAAAAATCTTAACCCTTAAGTAGACGAGAAACTAATTCAAATGCAAGTAAATCTAATAACAATTGATTGTAAGCAAAAACAGACATAAATTTCACGTTCAGAAATAGCAAATATAACAATACCTGGTGTTTTCCAGCCCTCACCAGTTTGACACGATCTCCACTGAGAAGCAATAAAATGTTAAAATTCCTTCAAAGAACTGACATAAAAAGGAGAAAGTAGCCCAAATAATTGCACTTTAAAGCACGGGAATCATCACTAAAAACTAAGTAAGCTAGATAGAGCCAAGTACCCATTCTCCACAAAGGAAATAATGGCTTGTAATGTTGCTGAAAAACCAGCTAGCTTGTGTTCATCTCCATATCTGGAGTCAAATATATACAAAAGAAATTAAAATAGGATTTATAAGCAAGCAGTCCATATTAAATTTGCGCAGATTAAGCACATGCTGGCATTTTAGGAACAAGTAAAAAACCTGGAATATATTGGTTTGCCAGAATTACTCAAAATAAAGAAGTGCTTCTTCCTCTTTCTCCATGATATCGAAGCATCATCCTGCACTTCACTTTTAAATTAAACATGGCATAATATAGCAAGGATTGTTTAAAATAGAGCTTCTTTTTTTTTTTTCAATTGAGTGCTTGCCATGAGAGGAACATATTACTAATATTCAAATGATTAAATCATTATTGAATAATTCAAAACTTCATAAACATTCCCAATTCTAAAATTCAGTTTACATATGTGTACAACAATGACTGGTGAATTCGGATAAGAACAAGCTAAAACAAAACGAATTGGCTTACCTCATCGACGTGGCGTTTACCAGGAACCCAGGAGGAGGCCTGAGAATCGGAGATTCCTTCGAAGGAACCATCGTTCCTCACTTCCTGAATCTCATTATTGTCAATCTCACTCGCTTCATCGATCCTCGACGCGCTCGTGGCACTGCTGCTCCCTCTCTCACCAGCATATCCGCTACTGCCGGGACTTGAAGGCCCTTCATCACCAATGATTTCCTGATTCTCCGCCCCTAATCCATCGTCACCTTCGTCGCCGGTGTTTCTTTCCGGATTCAACGATCCAATCCCGATTTCATTCCCATTTCCACGATGATTAGGTTCCAATTCGACCGGTTCAGTCAATGTCAACAAACCGAACCGTTCATCAACCACTTTGGGATCAGAATTAGGGTTTAGGTCGGTGGAGTCATCAGCGGAAGATGGAGATAAGCCAGAATCCGACGACATTTTGTTTTCCCCTATCAAGGAAATCAAATTAAATAACTCAAAAAAATGAAAAAAAAAAAAAGGGCCCTAGGGCTTTGAATTGGGGACGACTCTTTTCAGGTTTGATGGCTACCAGTCGTTGTATTTGCTGTTTTCTGTTGTTGGTTGGATTCTCTTCGGCTCTTTTCCTTTGCTTTGTTTGCTGCATTTTATTATTATTTATTTCTGGATTGACTGGTAGTTGTCTCGATTGAATGCAACGAGCCAGGGGAGCACCGCAGCAGCAGGTAATTGGGCCCGAACCATGGCTGGCTATGCCTTTCACGTTGAGATTGGATTCTGCCCACATGCTCTTTGAGATTTGTTAGCCAAACTATTTGTTAGTTCGCTGTTTGGCTTATTTTTATGTATAATATTTGGATATGATTATAATTTTTTTTTAAATTATTTTTTTATAATCACAATCATAATTGGTAAAATCAAAACTAGTTTTAATATTAAAAAATTAGTGCATTAATAGCACTAATATTTTTCTTGTCTTAATTTTTTTCTATGATCTCTATTTTCACTAATTATATTTTAATTTCAAATTATTGTATTATTTACATATTAATTTTTAAATTTTTATTTCAGTAAGATTAATTTATGATTTATTTTATATTAATGTATATAATATAAAGAAATCTCAAATTCCAAATGATCCTTATTTTATAATTACCATTTTAAAATTATAACATACTTATATTAAATTTATAAATTATTCATAAAAATGACTGCTAGCAAGCAGAAATTGAAAATAAAATTTATAAACAAAGTATTTGACATATAATAATGCCATTAATTTGTTGGCCTTCCTTAAATATTGGATAAGATAGGAGCCCTTCAATGATGAGCCATCGGCAGTGTTGCTTTTTGGGCTCAAGCACTAGTCCATCATGGGACTGAACCTATTTTAATTCACCAACAACAAAGATTTAAAAATGGCCCCAACTTTGGTCCTGGGCTCAACATTTTAAGGGTTGTGCCCATCTCCAAGCGGCCCCTTTTTTTAACCCCCTTGCCTGATTGTTAGAATTATTCAAAGAACAAGTTATTCGTTCAAATTCAAAGATTTATCTAAGATAATTTAGATAAAAATTAAAATATATTAAATAAGTTTTGACGTAATTTTTAGATTCATTTAAATTTTGAGTTAAGCCTTTGACAATATTTGAAGTCCAAGTCCAACCCGAATTAATATATATATAAATTTTTTTATATATACGTTAATTATATATAAATTAATTTACATATAATTAAAATTAAAAAGAAAATTATATATATTTTAAACTTAATTTTTATTTTTATTTATATATGTGAATTTAATACAATTTTATTAACTTTAATTTAATTACATTTTTTAAATTTTTTATTATATAAATAAAATTTAATGTGTGAATATGAATTTTAATTTTTTAATTTAAGTTAAACTTAAAAAAAATTTAAAATCCAAAATTTTTTATTGAATCAGACTTAACAAATATATAAATTATTAATATTAAATATAATACTAACCTAAATCTAACTCAATCCAACTCGAACAAGCCCACGAACACCTTTACTGATTGCCCTGTATGTAGAGTTGGCATCGGGTCAGGTTCGGTATGAGTTTCGCTCACCTTGAACTATACTCTACCTAAATTTTTTTTTATTTTTTCATATCCGAATCCGACCCTGATCCGATACTATATAAACCGTATTCGACCCAATCTAACTTGAAATTAATAAAATATTATTTTTAAAATATAAATATTTAAAAATATCATTATATAAATATATATAAATAATTAATTAATTAATTAAAAAATAATTTTTATATAATATCGAATCGAATCGAATCGGATTTACTTAAAATTCCAAATCCGATCTGACCTAATTGTTTCATAATCTTACATGATCTGACTCGAAACTTGAATTTCGAAAAAAAAAATAATTGATCCCATAAAATCGAGTCGGATCGAAACCATCGGTAATTGATTAAATTGCCGACCCTACCTATATGCCACCAAAACCTTTCATTTCAGCGGAGCTTTCAAGTTTCAGCCATTTTAGATGACAGACACAAAAGTGGTACTATTATCTTTGTAAATTGGTTCACAACCAAATCATAAAGTATTTGTAGCTCGAGTCATGAAAATGAACTGCTCCAAGCTGCCCCTTTTTTTAACCCCTTTGCCTGATTGTTAGAATTATAAGAAGATTAGGTTATCCGTTCATGATTTAGATAAAAAAATTAAAATAAATTAAATGAGTTTTAACATAAATTTTAGATTTTCAGTCAAGCTTTTGACAGTATTTGAAGTTTAAATCTAATTCGAATTAATATATATATATATTATATATATGTGAATTATATGTAAATTAATTCATGTGTAACTAAAATTAAAAATAAAAATTATATATATTTTAAACTTAATTTTTATATTTATATATATATATATGAATTTAATAAAATTTTATTAAAATTAATTTAATAGTATTTTTTAATTTTTTATTATATAAATAAAATTTAATGTGTGAACATGGAATTTAATTTTTTAATTTGGATTAGAATTTAAAAAATTTTAAATAAAAAATATTGGATTGAAAATTTATTAATACTAAATATAATACCAATCTAAATCCAACTTGATCAAAGCCCTAAATGCCACCAAATCCTTTCATTTCAGCGGAGCTTTCAAGTTTCGGCCATTTTAGAAGATGACAAACAGAAAAATGGTACTATTATCTTTCTAAATTGGTTCACAACCAAATATAAAGTAATTGTAGCGTGAGTCATGAAAATGAACTGCTTACCTTAAAAATACAACGGATGACTGATAAGTTTTCCATAGCATGTAAATTTCCAAGGACTGCAACTAGTTTTCATGGTAATCATAAAAGGTCCATTGCTAAATGCTAATTTCAAACAAAAAATTAAAAAAATGTTACGATTATATTAGGTTTGATTTTCATATAACTTGTTTTTAGTTATGAATTTTACGAATTTTACTTAAAAAATTATATATTTTGCTATTTTATTTTTTATTATTAAAATATTTAGCTTATTTACCCTTGAATATTTAACTTAATAATTAGTGCATAATTTCTCATCGAGCAGAACTTAGATTACTTCATCTCAAATCAAATGTGTTTTAGCTTATTTATTGATACTACAAAAAACGAGTAAATCATTTTATATAAAAAAATCTTCATAGCTTATAAAAAATATTAAATTTAAAAGTTATTATTCATGAAGAGGATCAACTTACAAAAAAAAATTTTACACATTTTAATATCGATTTTAATAGTTTAACTGATGAGATTTTTTTTTTCACTTGTTTATTTTATTTTTTTGGATCTACTAAAATTAATAATTAAAAAAATATAATTTTTTTTTAGTTTTACGTTGAGGTAAATTGATTAATTTTCATTATTCATATAGATTTTTTATTTTCAGATATAAAGTTTAAATGTTAAAACTTAAAAATTTTTATGATCCTTTTTTCTTTAAGATTCAAAGAATTAAAAAGTTATAAATAAAGATTAATTAAAAATAATTATATTTTAAGACATCATTTATTTATTCTAAAAGATATATTTAAAAAAATTCACATAATATTTCGTGCGTGTTTGTATATACGCATCTTTCAAAATTCATGGGGGACGGCCCCTTCGGTTTTCAGGTGGCACGGTCACTGGATACATCAATTGTTAACTCTAGCATTTTGAGTTGCCCAGTTGCTCCCTTGAAACTTCCGTGTTAAGTATTCGACCAGACAATATCCTTAAACTCGCCTTTTGGGGAAGCTAAGAGTCACCTTCCCTCTACAGCAAATAAGCATAAGGAATGTAAATAATACATTAGTACTCATAAATTATTCGAGTTCGATTAGAAAAAAATTCGAATTTGATTCGATTATTATTGAGTTCGAGCTCAAACTCGAGTAATTCGACTTATCGATCGAGTCGAATTTAAGTATTTTTATATCTTGTTCGAATAGCTCGCGAGCCTAATCAAGTTTTTATATTTAAATATATATTTATTATTTTAATTAATAAAATATTCTAGTCTTAGTTCGAGCATAAATAATCAAACTTTTATCGAGTATACGAATCGAATTTATTTTTACATGTTAATCGAGCTTAATCGAACGAGTTTAAATAGCGCGAATTCGATAACGAATCGAGCTCGAATTTGAAAAATAAAATTCGATTGAATTCGAATCGAGTATCGAACTTTAAATTGTGAGTCGAGTTTAAACTCAAATTTTTCACTATATCAATTCGACTCGACTCGATTACATCCTTAAACATAATTAAGCTTGATTCGACTCTTCTCTTGCCAACATTAATAATAATAATAATAAAGTTTAAGCTACAAAAAGATATTCTACGGGAAAAGGCATCTATAAGTTTATCCAATTTTGTAATGCTGTCACCTAATTTTATGACACTTCTAACGTTCTGATAATGTTCCCACAAACGAACTTTATCTTTTCGAATACCTTTGAATAGATTCACTCTTTAGCTTATTAACTTCTTTTAGATCATGACTCATCTTCTTTTTATAAAGAAAAAGATAGCATCTTACATTGAACCTAAATTTATTAAATATTATTTTTTTTAAAGATGATTTTATAAATTAATTGAATTATATTTTAAATTTAAGATTTCTCTATATTTATTACATAATGCTCCCTCTATCACATTTTTTTTATCTATCTTTTATTTTTTTGGATGTCCTAAAATATATATTTTTTTTATATTTTTTACTTTTTGACATTAAAAATCATGTAATTTGAAATTTATAAAAATAATAAAATTTAATAATAAATATATTAAAATCAAAACTTTTTTTTTTTAATTTCATAACAATCAATAACACATAAACAATTTAGGATGAAGGGAATATTTATTAGTACTAAATTTGTTCATACCAAAACCGTTTTAGAATTCGTCATTGTTCAATAACCAAGTGGATTCCATAATTAAATTATTTCTATAATACACCATTAGTGACGTTTCTCAACTCTCAAATGAATATCTCATTATTGGCAAATACTAACTACTTCCCGCAGTTAATGCCCAACGCACTAGTTAAGGTTAAGGTACGATATTGCAATCAAATGCAATAATTAGCTTTTAGTAACAAAAATATTAGGTTATGGTGGGATTTGAGTAGATATCCTAAAGTAAAGCCGTAGCATTCTCCTTTGTAGGAGCTTTTTTTTTTTTAATAAAATTATCAATATAAAAGAAGTTATTATTATAATTATTACAAAAAATCACATAATTAAATTATATAAATCAATCAATGAACTATCATATGATTGAACAAATTTAATATAAAATTAAATTAAACTCACATTTTAACCTAAAATTTTAAGGTTTTATTTTTTTCACCAAATCAAAGTATAGTGGACCCTTATATGAGTATTTAAAAAAAAAAAATTCAATATTCTTAATATCTTTTCCTTATAAATCACAAAAAAATAATAAAAAAAAAAGTTTAAGACCACAGCCTGTATTCAATCTATTATGGGCCACCAAAACTTTTCTTTTATGATGGGCCCACTGACTTTACTACACGTCATCACTATAGCACGAAAGGACTGTCAGACTATTGGTGACATTACCAGTGCGACTAACCCCACAAAAGAAAAACAGTTTCATATTTGATATTCCCATGTCGACATACATGGGAAAGAATACAGGGTGACGAAAACAACGGGCGAACGTATACAAAACGCCACAAGCTATTTCATACAATAGAAATGGTCAACTAACCGTCACTATCTTTGTCCCCGCTACAAAGAGTTAATCTAACGGTTCCTAATTTCCCAATCCGCCAAAAAAAAAAAAAAACCGTTGTTTAATCTTTAGCTTTTTCAACAAAGACCGACGTAGCTTCTTTTATATATATATATATATATATATATATATATGTTCCTTTTTGCAATAGTTTAAAAATAATTTATTTTTAAAATTTTGTTTACCAATTATTTTATATTTGCATGATATTTATATTAATTAAAATTTTAAAAATAAAAAATTTAAAAAATTTAAATACATAAATATTTTTTGAATGGATTAAAGGGATAATAATAAATTAAAAATAAAAATTTTTGGTTTTTTTACACATAAAATATCATAATTTGAAAATAAATGAAAAAATTATAAACATTGATATTCAAATTTTAAATTTATTAAATACTATCTCTTAAAAATAATAATTATTATATTTACTAATTAATTAAATTTTAGTTTCGAAATTATTGGTTTTTGGTGGCTTGGTCGGAAGGTCTCCTAGCCCAAAGTTAAAGTTCATGTGGGGCAAAGTTTGTCCAAACAATTTTGGTCAGTAAAGATTTTATATGTGGGGGATGCTTTGTCCTAAATTGTCTGTTCTAGTCCTATTCAATTAAAAAAAAAAAAAAAAGAAAGTGAATTTTGATGGAACCACCAATTAAGCAAATACTATTTGTCATGTCTCAATTTGTCTACATGTGCTATCATCACTTTAGTATTTTCTGAATTTCCATTTTGAATCATTCACAAGCACGTAATATAATTTGTTAACAAGTATTTTTATTTAAATTAATTAAAGTTCATTAACTATATTATTTTTAATTGGGTTTGTGGTCCTAATTGTATAAATTGGTGAGATATTAAAGAAAATTAAAAAAAATAAATGAAATTTACCTATATTATTAATTTTTTCCCTTCTTCCCACCTTAGTATTTAGAAGAGTGCAGTTATTCACTTGGATCCAAATTGGTTGAGAGTTTTAAATTCAGTTCGTTGGAAATTAATTGCTTAGTACATACGAAGATGAGGTCTTATCCATTGTCTAAAGTAGTACACCCAAGGAGTACAAAGATATGAACAAGTGAAATATTTACTGACGATGTAACAAATAAGAAAATAATTAAATGATTCATATATCATTAGTTGAAAATTAAATTGAAGTTTTAAAGAAAAACATCAATGCTTTTGTTTGCCTCACATGGTGGGCCTGTCCAATTTTAGTTATAGTTAAGACTCGTGATTGAGTTAGTGTCGCAAATTAATTGGATGTAAATTTAATACGTAAATTGACAAATATTAAATTTTATTTAAAATAATCGAATTTAATATAACTATAATTTTTTTTTTCATATCGTTTTTATTTAAATAATTAAATTTAAATTTTACTCGCATAATGGGTGTGCACGATATTGATAACAATTCTCTAAATTTATTAATGAAAATTTCAAACTTTATTGATGGTAAATGATATTATTTTTCATATATGCATGTTTTTATTTTATAATGATTTAAAAAAATATATGGAAACTCTCTAGATGAGTCTTGATCATATAAGTTGGCTTAAGCTAGAATAAATCGAAGTCAATTTTATTATGTCATGGGACAAATTAATTTGTTAGGTAAGATTTACTAAGTTAAATAAATGTCAATAATTTACATATATATAGAGATGACATCGGGTTGGGTTCGGGACGGGTTTTACTCGTCCTGAATCCGATTCGATTTTATTATTTATTAAATTCGAATCCGATCATATTCGATTTTTTTATATTGAATCTGACTCGATCCGATACAACGTAAACAGTATCCGATCCGATCAGAAATTAATAAAATATTATTTTTTAAAATATAAAAATATTATTTTTTAAATATAAATATTTAAAAATATAATTATATAAATATATATAATTAAATAATTAATTAAAAAATAATTTTTTATATAATATCGAGTCAGATCGAGTTTTATGCATACCCGAACTTGATCCGACCTCAATTGTTCTCTAATTATACCCAATTCGACCTGATTCTAAACTCGAAATTCAAAAAAAAAATTCAACCTCATAAAATCAAATCAAATCAAAACCAATCAAAAACGAATTTAATTGACGTCCCTACGTATATACCGCGAAAAAACTTAGACTACTTGACCCATTTAGAGCAGTTGACTCAACCTTTTTGTACTCCACGAGGCCAAAGGTAAAAACCAAATTGAAATCTCCCTTAACAAACAAATTGGGTTTAAATTTTTTCATTTCACACCCCTATCAACAAAATTAGGTCGTATAAAATTATTTTTAATCTAAAATTGAGTTCTAATTTCACGGATTCGATTACGATAAATTTTAAATTCACGAAATAAATATTCACCAAAATTTTAGTATTCAATTAATTAAGAAAGATTTTAGTTATGTTTAATTTTGGATCAAATTAAGCAATGGGTCGCGTAAGTATTCATTTTAACCAACTAATATTTGTCGATATTATATATATATATATATTGAAATTTTTATTATATTATTAAATTATTTTTAATTAATTATTTATTTAATTGAAAAAAATATTATGAATATAAAATTTTTTGAACTTACAATATTTTAGTATCAATTTTAATATTATATTAACTGATTTAATAAATAATCGACATATCGTAACATATTTTTGTATAATTATATATTTTTTATATATAAATACCACGATGGAGAATAAAAAAATAAATTAAAAGTGTTGATATTTAATTTTAAATTTGTTAAATTTATATTTTAAGGGTGATTATTGAAATTAATTAATTTAAAAATTGATTTAAAATTTTTGCATAATTATATTATTACATTAAAAATACTTGAAAGAGGGCGGACAAAAATAAACGAGATAACAATTTAAATTGAACAAATTTTATTAAGGTATAATAAACATGAAAAAAATAGAAGAAAAATAATCAATTAAGTTGAATTATTTGAACGGTAGATTTGACATCTTGTTAATTAGGATGAATAATTTTCACGGGGCCGTGATGTCGCCGATTATATGTTTTTTTATTACATCGATAACGTAAAATCTTAATACAAGTTAAGGGAAAGGGACGTGATGTTGCCGCTTATGGCCTCTAGTTTTGCTTAACAACCCTACCAATTATTTAAATCCGACGGCCCACTTTCCTACTTTATTACCATAATACCCTCAGTGCTCAAACCACACATTTTCCGAAACTTAAAAAATGAACACTGCTTTAAATTATGAATTTCGAAAGTTTCTCTGCAAAATCTCATAAGAACTTCATATCACCGTGGCAAAAAGGAAAAAAATTATCTAAAATTTTGTAATGAAATTAAATATGATGGTCACAAAATTTCTCAACTCTTTTATTTTGTATTAATCTTGGAACCCAGTTTTTTCAAAAATTGCATTTCTGACCGTCCTCAGATCTCTTCCTTTCAAAGTCCTTCCTATCCCTTCATGAACTGAGAACGATGCGATCTTTGTCCTCGCCATTTGCTTCGCCAAAAACTCGTGAGGTGGAATCCTAACTCCTCCTTCCAACCACTCATCTCCTTCCACGTCTTCATCGTCACTCTCCGATCTCCTCCGATTATCCCTGTACTCTTCTCTCAAAATTTTCGACCAGTCCGGTATGTTGACCGGCAACGACGCTGGTGTCCTTCCCACTCCAGAATCCCCTCCGCCGCCGCCGCCGCGCTTTGCCAACGGCTTTTTCACCACTCGACCGGTACGAAACTCGGGTGAGTCAGAGCGAGTCGAGACTGAATTGTTGTAAATGTCCGACTCGTCTAACTCGAATGCCGTCGAGTCATGACTCAGCGTTGCTTGCAGTTGTTGATCGCTCGACAGAAATCGGTAGTTCGGTCTCGAGTAGCTTTTGCTGCTCGCCATAAAAAAAAAAAAAATCAAATTTCCTTTTCTTTTAATTCTCGAATTATTCTTTTTTTTTTTTTTAATATTCTCTCTTCTTCCTCTCTCTCTCTCTCTCTCTCTTTGGTTTTGAGTTTCTTCTTTGCCTTCCGATCAATTCCATCCGCTTTTATAAAGCTTGGCTTCCAAAATGGATAAGGCTGGTTTACTCAATTAAAAAATTTACTTTTTTAATACAATTAACAAAATTACAGAAAAACCCCTTTATCTTCACGGAAACGCCACGTAGGATTTGCTGGTTACAGTTTGAGAAGTTTTTGCCCGGTGTTTCAAATTTCACGTTTACGCAAATTTCCATTCATTGGGTCGTTGAGAGTGGATAAACTTTGTTTGATTCAAATTAACTGAATAACTATATTATTTCACTGAGAATCGGAGTTTTAACGCTAGGAGCTTGATACGGACACGTGGATTGAAAACCATAGATGGACGCCACGTGGAAAGTTGCAACTGGACGAATAAAAAGTGAGGTTAGGGGTAAAGAGAGAGTGAATTTTGTCTCTTACGAGAAATAAAAGTTTCGAGCGATTTTGTCGTAACGTGAAAAATTATGAGAGGGGGGTTCACCTGACCCGGTTCAATAAAGGAAGGACAAAAAGTGGTCCCCATTTAGACTATCGAGGATTCGACACGTGTTTACTGGCCTACGTAATACACGTGGCTTCCAGAAGTTTCCTGTAGGGTATAGAGCGTGATGGCACGTGAACTGGGGCCCTCCCAAGCTTTCTCTCTCTCGCTTGGATCTAGCGCGTTCTCGCTTGCCTTGTGTTTGCCGCTGCGTGGAGTTTATGAGGGGTAGTTTTCCGTTGAACGTTGAACTGAACTTCACGTTTTGCTTGTGAAAGTCCTATTTTTACATACTTTATAAAAGTTTATAAAAATAAAAATGAAATGATATTTTGATATTCTAATCGACTATACTTGAGTTAATTATATTTTTAATACAAAAAATTTGAGAAATATATAAAAATTGATATTTAAAAAATATAATTTATATTTAAATTTTTAAATAATATATCATTTTAATTTAAATTATAATATCGATAATTTAATTTGTTTTATTAAATCTATGTTATTTTTTGAAAAAAAAAAGTGAAATATCTCGTAAAAACTTTAATCTTTGAAAATAATTATTTTCAAGTTAATGTCCCTTTCATTGAAAATACGAAATTTGTTTGTGAAGAATTATATATATGAACTCTAATGTCGGTGAATGAGAGAATATATGTTTTTAGTTTTAAAAAAATGGATTTTTCAGGCCGATCGAATATTCTTGAAGGTGAGTTCATGATTCTAAGATTCGGATGTCAATGGCATTTCGGAAGGCTAGCTGGCATAAACGAATAAAAATGGGTGGGAAAGGGAAATTGAGTGATATCTTGGTGTAATATTATATTCTTGGTTCCCCCCAAAATATCAACAAGTTAAGTGGAAATTCTTTGATTATAAAATAAATGTTGCTCCCATAAGAAAAAAAAAAAAAACATTAAAGTGAGTGATGATGAGATTAGAATAATGTTTTTGAATAATAATAATAACAAAAGCTATGGTCCATGATTTTAAGTGATTGTGTTCACAGATTGTTCAATCCCGATTGCCAAGAAAACTAAGAACATTAAAAAAAAAAAAAAAAGCTACGTATTTTAACATCATTGAATGTTATATTTTAAAAAATAATTATATGAATAATTGAATTAATTTTGAATTTTAATTATTTTTTATTTTAACATAATAATAAATTTTTTATATAATATTAGTAATACATTTGATTTTAATTAAGACATAATTTTACAATTTCTTTTTAAATTGTAGTTTTTTAATATTTTTTCCTTCCGATTTATAAAATGCTTGCAATCATAATAGAAATATCTACTCACCTAAACATATGCGTTATGCTGGCCAAAAAAAAAAAAATGCACTATAAACATGTAACATATGCAACGATATATGTTTAACGTATACGTAAGTTTGATAATAAGGTATTTATACAGCTAAGTATAATACATATGTATGTACAAATCTAAACATATGCATTAGCTAAGCACACATTTTTTACATGATTTTTTGAAGTTTTTGAAACCTTTCATGCACGAAATAAATATACTTGCATTCAAACAATAGAGGGAGAAGAAGAAAATTAAACTCTTCGGCCTATTCCTTTGTCATATGAATGGCAACAAGAAGTCAAGGTCTACCTTGGCCACCTAATTAAACAAGTAAACACTATAGATTTAGAGTTTTCAATTTTCAAATCTTATAACTTGAGTAATAGATTAGTAGGGTTTGTTTTTTCCTGAAAATTTGTAATATATATAGGTAAAAGAAATTTTTGTGAATGGGTCACGTAAATATTTATTCACGGCTTGAATTTTGAATAGAATTTTCGAGATCATATATGATTTGATTTAAAATAGGGATGTTAATCTTATTTATAAGCAATGAGCAATTCAAATTTTTTATCTAGATGAGAATATATGACGATTGATGTTATATTGTAAAAATAAAGATAAGTATGATTTTAAATTTTTTATTAGGTATACAGATCATGATAGATAATATAATATCTTTCTTGTACTTGTACATTTACCTTACGTATTTATATATATTTAGTAAAAAATTTTTATTAAATAATATAAAATTTTTATTTTAGATTAATTAGATAAAAATATATTTCTATTTAAAAAGATATTAATACAAATTGGTTTTTATTTTTTATCAAAGTTATAGATACGAAGATTACTTATATCCATTAAATATTTATGAGATAAAATTAAAAATAAATTTTAAATAACTGTTAAATATAATTATGAGAATGAATATAATATAAAATTTCACGGACGATTAACAATGATACTCTACTTACTTTATAGTAAAATAATTGGCTAATGGAACGCACTAATGGGTAATCCCCAAATTAAAGCCAAGGATGTCGACATTGTAGACTAATATATACCTTGTTTGGATTCGAATCCAGCTTGGAAACAAAACTCTATTATTTTTCTTCAATAATGATGATCTTAATAAACCTATTTTAATGGTTACTACTTCATTGATATAACCTTAATTATTATATTACTTAAGATATCATTGTCCTAGCTGCAGCTTCTTTTATGCATTGCCAATCATATTCTCCTTTCAAATTTTCCTAACCTAGTTCAACCTAACTTATCATGGCATCATCTACAGTTTACAGCATTTAATTTGTTGCAAAAAAAATACTTCCTCTGGCTAAAAAATATTTGAGTTTGATTTTTTTTTTTTTAGTAAAATGTGTTTTAGATTACATTTAGATTTCATTTGAAAGGTATTTTATTTTTAATTATTTTTGTTTACAAACTTTTTATTATGGGTATTTTTTAATTCAAATGACAAATTAATTATTTTTCTGATAATAAATTATCAACAGACAGTTAAGAATATTTTTAATTTTTGAACCGACTTACATATATAATACCATGTCAACTTAACTACATTACCATTATACCCCACAAATCATTTGCATTCCACTTATAAAATAGAGCTATCCATATATTATCAATCCAATCTTATTTTTCTTTACATTCTTATATTCCTCTCTTTCCAAGATCTCTAGTCTCAACTTCAAATTTTAATGTCAGAGTGCAAATGTAAGTAGCATTTATTGCCTTTGCCCTAATCGCTTTATTTCTTTGCTTTATGATTTCAGGATTTTGATATTCGACTTAGAATTTTGCACCAACAACTATAAAAGTAAAAAAAAAGATAATAATAAATGAGAGATTTTTATGTTTGATAATTACATTTTCAGAGATTGAGTTATGATTATTGAAATTAATAGTCTAATATTTTATTTACAAATCACATAATTATTGATTAAATAGGTGATTTTATAAGTAATTAACTTTAATTTGCAACCTAACATGTTAATAAATTTATTAATTTATTATATTTATTTAAAATTAAAATTTAACTCATAAAATTTACATGTATTTTGTTGGCGTTTTAAGATAACGCGTGATTTACTTATGTCATCATAAGTTGTTTATAAAAATCATTGGTTCCTTTTTAGTTAGTGGACCATAATTGGTTAATGCAAAAACCCAAGGAATCCTAATACAAGAAGTCACATGCAACTACATACAAGTAATGATGTTGATCACGAATTGTCAAGCTGAGTCATTTTAATATAATTAATTTGGTAACCCCACTTGCTTCTTTTATTTACGCGTTTTCATAATAGTTGATTTGTGATTAACGTGATTCATTTTTAGTCATAAGCCTTTTCAACCTTCATTTAATCTTAATTTCTTAAGTAGAGTATCAATAAAAAAAAAAATGAAAGTTTACCATGCGACGAAATTGATATATGTAAAAATTAAATAAAATAATTTTTTATTTTTTATTTTTTTAAAGATTCTTTTTAAAGGTTTAGTTTATTGTAATTCGAAGATTGATTGATTTAATTTTATTATGTGATTAAATTTATAATTAAAAATTCAATTAAAAAAAATTAAACTTAATTAATTATAATAAAATATTAAAAACTTAAATAATTTGAGAACATTTTTAACATCTTAACCTATTTGTAAACTTTATTTCAAAATAAAGCCTCAATATTGAGCGGATCCCACGTTGAAGCTCCCACTACTCTGCCTTCTCCATTTCGAGCAACGATACCAATTCCTCCAGTTGTTGTTTCGATTCCTTCTCTTCTTTCTTCTGCAACTAAAATTTTTGTCTGTTTTTCAAAATTTATTCTCAGAATATCAAAATTCCATCAGATGATAATAAATTAATTAATAACTATGTTTCGACCACTTCACACTTAGAATAGAGCCATGGTCAAACCAGATTCACTACTGCTTGGATTTGGCTTGCAAGAACTTAGAATAGAGCCATGATCAAGAACAAAGCGATGGTCAAACCAGGGGCAATGAGATAAAGCTATACGAGAGTTTGTATTTTCAAATGTATGGGTAGTTTAAATTTAAAAAAATCACGGTCATTCGTCTGGTTAGCTATTATTGATACGTTGAAAACGATGAAAGCCTTCTGACTTTCCTGACTCACGGGCAGAAATTGCTAGGATGTGAGAAAGTGAATCGGTTCTTACAGGGATGAGAGAAAAATCAAGAAAATTGAAAAGTAATTTAAAATTTAGTGTTTGGTTTAGAATCGAAATTTTTTATTTAATTTAAATTAAGTTTAGATATTAAATTTATAAATTTGATTCAAATTGAAATTTTAATTAAGAATAAAAAATAAAAAATAAATTAAAATATATATTTTTATAATTTTGTAAAATAAAAATAATTATTTATATATAAATATATTAAAAATTATATTAAAATAATATATAAAAATAAAAATATTAAATTTCAAAATTCAATAAAATAAAATCGAATTGAAACATAAAATTCAATTTGAACAAATTATAATTTCAAAAAATTAAATTAAATCCAATCCATTTCAAACCATTATAATCCAAAATTGGACAAAAAGAATGAAAGTCGATCGTTTCTTGTTTGCTTTGGGTTCACGTGAGTTTGCTACGAGGTTTTTGATTTATGGTAGAGCAGTTGATGCAAATTGCTCTTGTCGTGCAGATGATGAATTCTCTGACACACTCACTAGCCATCAAGAAATGTTGGCTTTGTATGCATTAGTATTGACTTGTCTCTGGTCGTGTTTTATTTTTAATTTTATATCTTGAGAATGATTTTGAAGAAAGGGAAAACAGTGAGAAAGATAACAAGTTGACAATAGATAGATTAGGGATTCAATTTTAATATAAATTATAAAGAATTTAACATGCAATAAATGTGTGGTAACACTAATTTAAAAGGCTAATTGGTTAGCAAAATTATCACATGATAAACTCAGAAAAAATAAATGTTAGGAATCACATAATAATTTTGGACTATGATACTATGTTAAGTATTTATTTTTGAATTAATCGATAATAAATAAAATAATTTACTTTAAATATAAAATCACATAAAATTAAAGATCGAGCAAATACGAAGAATACCATTTTAATTAACGAAACAAAATGGTTCGTTAGTTTTTTTTAGGGATTAAAGTTAAATTTATCATTATATTATGTTTTGATATTTAGTTTTAATTGATTTAGAACTTATACCATTCAAGTTAAAAATCTCAAACTCTAATTTTATTTAAGTAGGATTTGTGAACATGATTAACAAAATAGTTGAATGACGTTTGAATTTATAATTTAATTTAATTGATTTATATAAAATCTTTAATAAATATTATTTAATAAATTTAAAATTTAAATCTCAATATATATATTTTTATCTTTAAACTCTAATATTTTTTACAAAAAATTTAAAATATATTTTTTAAACTATATACTGTAGACTAACGAAAAACAAATAAATGAAAGGGAAATTGAAAGGATATCTTACGTGTGTTTTTAGAAAAAGAATACCTATATATAGTGTATTGTTGTGGTACGTGGTGAAAAATGTCCACAAAAGGAAATTATAGCTAGCTCTTTATAGGATTGATAGAGCTAGAAATAAGGTTGCCTTTTCATTCAAAAATTGGTTGATGTGCTGGCTAGCTAACCATGCATGGGCCATAGCATGTATAATTTAGTTGCCAAAAGTCCTAAGGCTGACGATCATAGATAATGACTCTCCGAGGAGGGGCCAAAGTTGCACTCTTTTTTTTTTTTTCTTCCGTGGCTGTCGAGTGCTTGTAACTTACAACGTTGAAGCTCCTCCTCTGCAATTATTTGCCTTGAAGAAAGTTACATTTTGGTACTTGAAATGGACCCAAAGATGCTTATCCCCATGCTTGATCATTGATGTAATGTTTATCCATCTCATCCCCATAGCTGTTATTTGCCGCATTCAAACTCAGATAAATATTTAAAGCATCAATCGATTGATGAAATCAAAGACGCGGGTTATAATTTTTGTCAGTTACAAAGTAGATCGTAATTTTAAAAAAAATGTAAATAATAATTAAATTTAAAATTCATTGGATATTATCATTTATGAATAATTGCATAAACATACGAATTAAATTTAGATTCAACCTTTTTTTAATATTAAACCGTAATATTAAACTGTAAAGTAATAAAAAATTTTAAAGTTGAAGTATCGTATTCAAATTGTATTACTCTTACTAGAGTGGAAGTTCTTAATTTTTTTTAACATCCTCATGTTTAAATTTAAGTTAAATTTATTATTTCTTAAACATTTTTCCTTATCAATTTGACAATGTTAGGCTAATGACTTGCTACAATAATCAAACTTGACATCAATCCTTTTCCTTTATCGTCTCTATCAATGCAGTAGAATTCTATTTGTAACAACTTTGCTTGCATACATACGGGATAAAATGATAATGATCTAAAAAAAAAAACAAACATTTGAAAAATATGTTTAATGGCCCTTTGAAATACCGAAAATTGAGGGGTTGAATATCTTTCATGAGCTTTGAAATTCAGCTGCACGAAAACGAAACGCAGGCCTCGCTGTTCACTTTTGGTTCCCTTAGCTCCTCGATAAGCTTAGTCGATATCTAGGAAGTTGAACCAGAATCCATGGAAAATTGGAATACAAACAAAATATAAAACCTGCATGGGCCATGCATTTTTTTTTTCTGAAGAATTATTCCGACTAAATGTTGATGTCGATTCTGTGTTATTTTAAATGTTTGCAATAGCAATGTTAATAGAAATTTTTATGAAGAGTGGGGTATAAGGCACCATAGGTAAATATATATAAGTTATAATCTTAACGTATTTTATGTAGCAGACTAATATCTGGTTTTTTTTTTTTTTTGCATTTAAAAAAAATTTAATTATTAAAACACAAAGCAAGGCAAAAGAAACATCCAATTCGGAAAACCCACTGTTCATTTCAAAATTTAGGGCAGAAATTTCAATGTAAATCATCAGACCATAGGTGACTTGGCCTTTTGTTGTATATATTGATTCTGTTATTACTTATTAGTGCCAATTAGGTATTGTCTCAATGACAAAGAGGAGATTTCCTAAGCCCAGTTCAACCAGCATCAAGGCCGACCTAAAATGCTTGGTTTCCATGCAACCTATCAATTTGCAAGAAGCCCAAAACGGTACCCAATTTTCTTTCTTCTTTAGGGATGAAAAGCCCAACTCCAACCCTCTAATTTTCCTTTCTTTTCTTGTTGCTAAAAGTCCAACCCAATTTTAAGCAGAAGCCCAAGCAGAAAAACCCCAGCAATTGCTCTGCTTAATGCAGTTGGCTTAAATGTTAAAATTACGAAAAAACCCTTCCTTTTTTCTCTTGTTCATTATTACCTTTAAGGTTAAATCGGACATTAAAGGAGACAAACCCTAGCTATTTGATCTCCACTCTTTTTACTGTCTCATTTCTGAAAACCCTAGCCCCCTTCTTTTCTCCATCAAAGAGCAAGCCCAACAATGCCGCCCAAGTTCGACCCAACCCAAGTCGTCGACGTTTTCGTCCGCGTCACCGGCGGCGAAGTCGGAGCAGCTAGTTCCCTCGCTCCAAAGATCGGTCCGCTCGGTCTTTCTCCCAAAAAGATCGGTGAAGATATCGCCAAAGAAACCGCCAAGGACTGGAAGGGTCTCCGCGTCACTGTCAAGCTCACCGTCCAGAACCGTCAGGCGAAAGTCACGGTGGTCCCGTCGGCGGCGGCACTTGTAATCAAGGCGTTGAAGGAGCCGGAGAGGGATAGGAAGAAGACCAAGAACATCAAGCATAACGGAAGCATCAGCCTCGATGACGTAATCGAGATTGCTAAGGTAATGAGACCGAGGTCGATGGCTAAGGATTTGAAAGGGACGGTGAAGGAGATTTTGGGCACGTGCGTTTCTGTCGGGTGTACGGTCGATGGGAAAGACCCTAAAGATTTGCAGCAGGAGATCGATGATGGCGATGTTGATGTTCCTTTGGAGTGAGAAATCTTTGTTTTTTTAAGATTATTGTCCTGTTTGTCCTTTTTCTTAATTTTGTTTAATTTTAAGGTTTTCGACAATTTCCGGATATTTTTTTCCGAGGATTTTTTGAGGTTAATTTAGATGGATCCTTTAATAGCTATAGATGTGATGTTTTTTTTTATTGGGGGTATTTTTTAGTTCTCTTTCTGCTTCTTATATTGTCTATTTAGGACGCTAGTTTTGGTAGTGCTTCTGCTTGGTAACTAAGAAATGTGAGTTAATGGTGCTGCTTCTGCTTGCTAAGGAAGAAACCAGTGGAAAATGTGAGTTTTGATAGTGCTTCAGCTTGTTATGTTAGGAATGAATGGAGAATTTAAGGTTTGCTAGTGCTTCTGCTTGGTGAGTAAGAAATGGATGGAAAATGGTGCATGTTAGTTGAGTTTAAGCTATTGAATATGCTTTTGGATGTGAATCACTCTGTCTGATGGATATGTGTGATATTTTTGAGCTTATGTTTTGAGATTGAGATAACTTTGAACGGTTGCTTCTGGATGTTGCAGTTAAAAATTGTGTATTCGGTTTGTTTTGGATATTGGTTTTATGATGAGTCTATTCTTGTTGGATTCTGTTGGATAATTTTGATTGTAGAACATAGAATAAGTATTCTGTGATGGTGCCAAAGAAGCACATGCTTAGTTGTAGCATTCTGGCTTAGTTTCTTCATAGAAGTCTTGGAATAGCTCATTCTTTTTTCTGTCATTGTTGGCCGCAATCAGTACTTCTTCATATGTTTAACTCTTTTCTTATCCATCTAGCTAAACTTTTGCTTCATTGGTAAATATTTGATTTATGATATTGGTTTTATGCTTTCTTCTTTAATTTTCATATGCATAACAGTGTTTATCTTGATTCATGTTACATCGAGAAGGTGTAATGGTGCACATTATGAACTAACATATGGTTTACATACATGTCCAAGGAAAGGCGTTCTCGTGTTATTGCTCAAATGAGATTTAGGCTTTTTTTTTTTTAGAATCATTTCCTCCTTAGCTTTCCATTTATTCTGTTACTTCTGAAATGAGATTACAGCATTGTGAATGATGTGTTCTCTGCCTCAAAAGTTTCATGTAACTCGTTAGAAGTTGCTACTATTTTGTTCTGAAGTTATGATTAATTTCAGAGTTTCTGATTTTTCATTGTGGCATATGTCATATGTGGGAGGTGTGTGACTTATGTTTTGCATGATATCATACTTAATTGTATGGTGCTTGCTATAAGTTGGAATGTCGCTTAATTTTGACTTATTTGCAAGTATGACTGTAAGTAAATGTTCAGTGTCCTAAAGACCTTGTTCTTCTTATCTGCTGATTAGGTTTAGGTAGGGCAAACCGGAGAATTATTGAACCTTGGGATTATGTGTAAGATCTTTCATTGAATTTGCCTATAGAACAACTACCTTTCTGCCTCCTTATACTTGTATGCTTGTTTTTGTGTTCTGAACCATTCAGAAAGCAATGAAGATCCTTTACTTTGACCTGAAAATCTTTTTTAGATGTCTAAACAGTTGGTATTGGGAAGAACTGCTACTAATTGTCTATCATCTTTCATTCTTTGACTTGGTTAGGCTTTCTCATCTTGATGGGTATTTAGCTGAATGTATCTCAGTACGTTCTATTGATAAAGTGCTCTCCCTTTCTGATACGTAGCATCTAAATATATTAATCTCTTTGTAATGATCATTTGTTGCTGCAAGTTATAGTATTGGCAATGTTTTGTATGCTCGGTAGATGATTACATATATAAACTAAGAAAATAGACCAACTGAAGTTAAAAATATTTGAAGTGATGGAAAATAGAAATAAACTTTTGAAAGGTTTCATTGTAATGAAAGGGGTGTTCTAGTCTTTCATTTATTCTTGATTCTGCCTCAATGTACCGACCTTGATTTCCCTTTGGTTTGGTTTCTTTGGTGTGCGTATTTATCCTATTATATTGTCAGTTTCATTGCCTTTTTGTAGGTGCCATGTTTATCTGCTTTAGGCTCCAACTTTTATTATTGGTTTTAGCACCAATATTGGAAACTTTTGTTGATTTGATTAGATTGATACGAAGATTTTGAGGATCTTATTGAACCATTTATGTTCTAATAATGGAGTATGCCTCTAACAAGCTTAAGGTACGTTGCAACCTTCATCCGAAAAATGTCTCTTCCATTCGTTTTCGCGGGAAGTTAGGGTGTCTGCTATTTTCAGTAATAATTCATTGAATCCTTATTTTCTTCCATAATCATCTTCTACTTGTTTCCTTTTCTTAGTCATCATGTTTCTGTATATAAACGTCCCCAATATGTTCCCCCTTTGCTCAATAACATTCCATAAATCTTTGTGGGAAAGGACTATCCCATACAAAATTTGCATTTGCCATTGGCAGTTCGTGCGTTGTCTTTCCTAGCTCCCTCTCTTTCTCGGCTTAGAGAAGGAGAGATCTTGAATTTTCATCTTCTATTCGTCCCCTCTTTCGCGTTATCATTTGTTCTTTCAATAAATATTTGATTAATAACACGATGGCAAGAGAGCTGAGGTTCATGATGAAGCCTTGGATTGAGGCTGCCCCATACCTCATCGGTGTCCCCTTGAGGCCTTCCAACACTCCTAAACTAGAGACGATAAGAGAAGAGGGAGGTGACGATGATGATGATGATTAGCTTTTGGTTATGCAAAGTTTTAGTGGTCAGGACGGCGTCCTGGTTCTGGAAATGAACTTAAAAAGAGACGTTAAATGAAGCAGTCAATGGAGTTAAAGAATCATCTACTATATATGTTCATCATAGTACAATACCTGATTTGTCGGTGTAACTATTTCTACTTTTTTCTTGGTGTATATTGAAATATAATATCAAATTTAATTAAATATATTTATTTTTTGGCACTAGCTAGAATGTTCAAAGTCATATCGATAAATGATAACAAGTTTAACCCATACAATCATGCCCAAAATTCTGGGACAACCAAAAACTGTCTTTAATTGTAGATCAGTAAAGATGCTGCTTAATTTTCTGAGAACGAAGAACGCATAAGATTGTTTGTGGTTGACACTTATATTGCATTATTGCTAGCAAGCCACTGGGACAGGCCTAAATTTGGTTTAAATGTGCTTTTGAACTAATCGTTTTAATAGTCTGCAAGCTGACCTTATTTTACGTGTAAAATGAAGAAAAACACCCTCTTATCCCTCTCTCGATACTTTACCATGAACAACGATATCTTTTCTTTGACTTGCAGTGTCTTCACACAAAAATTTTCTTCAATAGGGTAATTTTTCTACATATATTTGCAAACTTCAAGTTATATACACATGCATCAGTTAATTACATTATCCAAAAACAAAGAAAAAGAAAATTCAGAACAGTCGGTATAGCATATTCTTCTGATGCAAGAAAGTAATGTCTTCTAAATGTTACTTATAATATCTGGTTTCATCTCATCAACACACACACACATATATACACAAAATATCTCCATACTTCTCATTCTTATTCAACTCCACAAAATAACTCATATTATTGTAAACATGAACTATAGCAACTGAATCTAAAACCTAACCTTTATCACTTTTCAAAAATTGAGTCTCATTTAAACAAGTTGTCAAAACAACATCATCATCAGACACAACGATAGTAGTATCATTAATTTCTTCATCTGATTTCTTTTCATCATTCGTTCTTTTGAAAGCAATCATATCCTTTCTCAGCTTTCTGTAGCGCATTTGGATATGTTTTTTTTTACCACAATAATAACATTCTATATCACTGTAATCTTTGTCTCTTGACTTAGATTTCTCTCTTGATCCATCAATCTCTTTTGAGTCCTCCTTCGATCAAACCCTCTACAGTTAGGGTACTTCCTCTAGGTGATGAGTTTTGTGGTCCCATAAACCTTTCATTTTCACACAATAAGACAGTCACATCATCCAACTTCAAAGTAAACCTACCTACCAACAAAGTCTGAACTAAAGGCCTATAAAACTTAGGCAAAGATGACAACAAAATTAAAGCATTCTCTTCATCTTTTAACTCATCAACAAAAATCACCAGTAATTGAGAAACCAATATATTAAACTCATTCAGATGATTATGAAGATTCGTACTTTCTTTCATCTTCAGAGAATACAGATCTATCTTCAAATATAATCTATTAGTCAACGACTTTGAAACATAAATACCTTCAAGCTTATCTCACAAACTCTTCGGAGTACTTTCAGTCAACACACTGTATTTTACATCTGGAGCTAGTACCAATCTAATAGTACTAACAGCTTTCTTCTGAATCTTATTCCAATTAGCGTCCGACATTCCTTCAGGCTTATTACTCTCTAATGCCTGATCTAACTCTTGTTGTACTAACAGATCTTGACTCATACTTTACCATAATATAAAATTACTCTTTTATCAAATAACGGAATCTCAAACTTATGCATAGACATACTAGACGTACCTTCTTCAGACATCTTCAAACATTGCTTCACTATCTCTTGGGCCAACGAACTTTAAACTTCGAACCCGAACCTTGCTTTGATATCACTTATTAAGAATCACCACAGCTCTGATACCACTTGTTGAAAAAGTAATACTACACTGGCTCTTGGAGGAAGGTTGTGTAACAATAGACTGCATTAGTCTTAGTTTCAATATCCCCTGCTCTTGTTGAGTCGACTGTTCATGGTTTGGTGGGACCAAGAATTGCTATTGTTCCCGGACCGGGAAGTGCTTGCATTGATGCCGGGAATACACACTCTCTCTTTATCTTTCTCTTTGAAGGAATCCGCATGGAAGGCTCTCGACCAGGTCATGGCATTGCTCTAGCAATACCCACGAACAAAATAACGAACACAAATCAAGAATAAGAAATTAGGTCATGGCATTACTCTGGCAATACCCACGAACAAAATAGCAAACACAAATCAATAATAAGAATATACAAATATATTTATTTCGGTCTAACTCAAAATAGTCTACTCCAAACTTAATCCACTATCAAATAAATCTTTACAATTGTGAGACTTTTAGAATGAGAAAAATCTCTAAAAACTACTTACTCAAAACTTAACACAAAACTCAATTACATCTTTTAATAACCTACTCACTTAACTATTCTCTTGATGTCTAATTATCTGAGGCTACCAAACTAAAACTAAAACATTTTATTTATAAGGACAAAATTCTTTATATTTTTACAAAACTTTCGATATGAGATACAAAATAAACTTAAAAAACTCATTAATTTTCGATATAAAATTATGAGACTTAAGAAAAATCTCAACATTAATGTAGCACTTTGCAAAAACTAATTATACAAATAATATTGGCCAGCTTTGTAAGGCTGGTCGGTCTTTTAAAAATATTTATTTATAAATTTTATACAAATATATTTTGACATTTAGTAATTTGATTATGAGGAGAAGACATTGATTTGGCAGCTTATTTTGTACTATTAAATGACCCTTTTGATGACCCTCAACTTTTTTCTCTAAAACAAAAAAGGTAAAATTAAATATCAATTAATCAGTGCAGTTTGTACAATTGGTTTTAATGTCTATTGTAAATTTAATAAAACATTCGATTGTTATATTCAATTTTATTGTTATCGTTACATTTATTTATAATCTCTCTGCTTAATTTGAACATATTTAGAGAAATGATAACCTGGGCTGCTTTTGTTTTATTAAGAACCTAATGTGTTTGATGGTAAAAAAAAAGAAAAGAAAAGAGAAAATTAAACAGTGTAAAAAGAAAATAATAATAAAATAAAAGATTTGCAATCCTTTTATCTAGATGGGCATGACATTTCAGCTGCTTTACAATCAAAACCATGTACATCCTCATAATTGAAGAAAACCATAAAACATCCATGTATTTTGCAAAATTTAATTAGCTTTTAGCCGTGTCCAGATCATAAGTTTATCTGGCAAAGCCGCCACCAATCTGACAACAGTTGTGCTAATTTAATCATTCAATTAATAATGAAGGAATCAGGCCTATTTATATAATACTATTTTCTTTTCACTGGATAACATAAGATAATGGGTTTTGAAGTTATTGAATTTGCATAAATTTTTTTAAAAAATTTTCATTAGTTGTATGATTTGTATTTTCTTAGCAAAAAAAATTTCCTGATTCTGGGAATTTCAGGTAAAGAAGCAAAGAGTTGTTGCAATAATAAAAAGCCAACATTATCTGATGCATCAAAAGTATGGTAGCCACAATTCTTTTGGTGGAAAGAAAATAAAGTGATCAAAGTGAAAGTTTTATACTTTCATTTTGTTCTACCTTTTTGGCATCTTATTGGTGTAGTTTAGCCAAAAAGTAGGTCTAATGGCAGAATCTATATTGTGCTTGCTTGTATTGTTTTTTTTTTACAAAAGAAGTAACAATCTGAAATAAAAAAAATCGTAAACGTTAAAATTTAAATTACAAATATATTAAATATTATTTTTAAAAATGATTGATTTATTATTCTTGCTAGTAAAATCTTAAGGCTTTCGAGAAGTTTATCTGATCAAATATTATGCAACAATATAATTGTACGAGTGATTGTGTTTTTTTCTGGTTTATTATCTAAAAATTTTGAATTGAATCCTAAATTTAACAGTGAAGCTAAATTGTTAGGCATATGCCCATTTCAAAGATTCCTTCCTCATTAAGTATTAGGACTTGATTTGAACCTCAAAGTTACAAAGCAATTACTAAAAACAAACTCAAATGTCAATCATGCAGTACCCAAAGTCCCCTAAGATGCCAAGAAAACAGGGTCTGAACTGACCTGGCTTTGGAGATGAGATTGAAAGGAAGAATTTTTCTAAAACATTAAACATTTCCCAATTCCAGAAATATGCTCATTTCAAAGGTTCCTTCCTAGCATATTCTTTCTGATGCAAGAAAGTAATAAAAACTAACCAAAAATAATTGAAACCATTACTCGAAAAGAAAATATGAAATAGCCGTTGTGTAGCTAATGGTGGGTCCATGGAAACGAAGAAGATCGAAATCAAAGGTGGATTGGACGGCTAAAAATATATGTTAAAATAATGTGATTACACATAATTACTGTTTTTGATCATTATCATCCTCTCTCCCTTATATACCCTTCTTCCCCCACTCAGCTCTCGTCATTCACAGCTTAATCACAAACCCAAAACTCCCAACTCCCTTTTATCTCACAATTTTCATAGTTTAGCAAAGGAAAAAATATCATGGCTAAGGATGTTGAGATCGCAGAGCAAGCAGGGGGGGAGTTCTCAGCCAAGGACTACCAAGATCCACCTCCGGCACCCTTGATTGATGCTGAAGAGCTGATCCAATGGTCGTTTTACAGGGCACTGATTGCTGAGTTCATTGCAACCCTTCTCTTCTTGTATGTCACAGTGTTGACTGTGATTGGTTATAATGTCCAAACCGACAGAACCAAGAACACTGTTGACCCTGACTGTGGTGGTGTTGGCGTTCTTGGTATTGCTTGGGCTTTTGGTGGCATGATCTTTATTCTTGTTTACTGCACTGCTGGTATATCTGGTGAGTCATGTTTCTTCTCTTAACCATCTTCAACTATCCCTTGTTTTGTCTTAAAAAAAAATCTAACTCGGCACTCAATCTTGCCCCAATATTTATATTAGGTTCAGTTAAATGGGGTTTCTGTGTTTCTGTTTCTACTGTCTCTTGAATGAGAAAGGAAGTTTCTTTCCCAGTAACCAAACAAAAGTTAGCAACACCTAGTCTTGCAACTGTTAAATGCAAACTTTAACTTTGGGTGATAAAATTTTTCTAAACTGTGATACAGGAGGACACATCAACCCGGCTGTGACCTTTGGACTGTTCTTGGCACGCAAGGTGTCACTCATCCGAGCCGTTCTGTACATGGTAGCTCAGTGCTTGGGTGCCATCTGCGGCTGTGGGTTCGTCAAGGCTTTCCAGAAGAGTTACTACAACGACTACGGAGGTGGTGCCAACCAGCTCCATCAGGGCTACAACAAGGGCACTGGATTGGGTGCTGAGATCATTGGTACCTTTGTTCTTGTCTACACCGTCTTCTCTGCCACTGATCCCAAGAGGAATGCAAGGGATTCCCATGTTCCTGTATGTACTTTATAAATCCTCTTTATCCTGCAGTACTCTCCTTTTTTTGTGTTGTCCAAGTGTCTTTATCCTTTTATCTCCACTTCGTTTTCATTTTAGGTTATAGGTCGTTTTCTTACTGACCTCTCTTTCCATTAAGTGGTTTGATTTTGGATGACTCTTCACTTTCAACCATGGATAACTTCAAGTACAGTACAAATTTTGGCTTTTAACCCCAGGGTTTTTTTCCCCCACAATGCACAATTAACTCTATATTTGTACAAAGTGCTGCTTAATATAGTTTGATTAAGTAATAATTTTGAATAACCAACTTTGACACACCTATAATTTTTTTCCCTTCAATTTGTAAAATTGTGACTGATTAATTTTCTTTGCAAAAAAAAAAAAAAAACAAGGTGTTGGCACCACTCCCCATTGGATTTGCTGTGTTCATGGTTCACCTCGCCACTATTCCAATCACTGGCACTGGTATCAACCCTGCTAGGAGTTTTGGAGCTGCTGTGATTTACAACAACGATAAGGCCTGGGATGACCAAGTAAATTATTTCCCTCCCTATATATATATATATATATTCCATTTCAATAGTTTTTCAATTGAAAAGGAATGTAAGAGAAAATATTTGCGTGCTAATATTAATGCGTTCTTCTTGGTCAGTGGATCTTCTGGGTTGGACCCTTCATTGGAGCTGCTGTTGCTGCATTCTACCACCAATACATCCTCAGAGCAGCAGCCATCAAAGCCCTTGGATCTTTCAGGAGCAATGCTTAAAATTCAGCTTTATTTTCATAGATAATACTAGAAAAAAAAAAGGGTCACGAATTATGATGGGAGATGTTTTCCAAAAGAATAACAAATGAAGAAGAAGAGTGCTGCAAGTCTGTCTGAAGGTTCCCTTTTGCATTTTCTTTCTGTCACTTACAGAGGTTTGGGAGAAGAACCTTGAGGGAGCCAATTGAACTGTAAATAAAAATATTTATGGACAAGGGTGTCTTTTCAATCCATGTTGTATTTTTTTTTCTCTTGCTTTCAATGTATTTAAGTTGGGTTTGTCATCTTTGTTTATCCTTATCATCATCATCTGATCCTTTTTTTTTTTGTGCAATCTTGTGTATTAATCATGTTTTTTTTAATGCATAATTATCCTCCGAAAATTGTATTGTCTTCTTTAATCTCAAACACTTATCTTTATCCCTTTGTCATCATCAATCCATTCAAGCTAAACATGCTATTAAAATATAGCTTAATCATCAAGAATTATGTGATTTATTGATAGAATGTTTACTTTAATTATAGTGATTAAAATTCAAACCTTGTATACTGTCTCAAATAAAAAAAAATTATAGCTTAGCCAATTGCTTGAAACTGAAATGACATAATCAATATCCCTAAACTTGATTATGTCTTCAATTAAAATTAATGTAAATGAAACTTTATTATTTTATTCCTTAATAACTAAACAGTTGATTGTGAAAGACTTCTAGTTTTTACTGACACTTGACAAGCTTTAATTGAGCAGAAAAGTATTAATCGTGAAGGAATCCCTAAAGGCAAGTGATCATCCACTAGGGCTAGGGATGTATAATCTAGCACAATTAAAGGGTTTTAGTAAACAACCCTATTTCAACCCCAACTACTAGCTCTTCTTTGCAAAATTTTTTTTGGGTTTTCATATGGGGTAGTGGAGAACCTTTCTCCTCCTCCTTTTTATAGTGTTTGGGCAAGTTTCTTCTTCCTCCATTCCATGGTTATATTTCTCTGTGGGCACTTCTTACCCTCAATCCCTTAAATTATTACACTCTTAAGCATTGGTCAAAGAGCTCAAATATTAATATTTTGCAGCAAAAAAAAAAAAAAAAGTTCAATTGGTTACCCTAAAATTAATACTACTAGACAATGATATCCCAAAAGAGATTAGGGTGAGTTGGCTTTTGTGGTGGTGGTTTTTGGAAATGAGATGATGCATTTGATTCTTTATTTATTAAGTATTATATTTACAGTAGTTACTAAGGACAAAAGTTATAAAAAAAAAAAAAGAAAGGGAAAAAGAAATGCGTTAGGTGAAGAAAGCTTTGAGAATATTTTTTTTTTTTAAGTTGGATGTTTCTCATCCTCTTCATATAAGATTATAGTTTAATGAATTAATTTACCTTATCTTATTCTTATTTTATGGCCCTTTGGTCATTTTGCAGGGCAAAGTAGGTGAGTCTTTAGCTTCTTGGTGGTGAACAATTTTGGCTTTAAATTATAGATAAGGTGAGTTTTTCGTGTTGAAGTTACCTATATGAAAGAGAAATATATTAATTTTGATATTAATGTTGATGTCACCATTGGAGCTATCCATTGGTTTTGAAGGCAAAAATATTCAAATTTGAGGGTGATGAAATCATCAACTTGAAGCAAAATCCCTTTTATTTATATAATAATAAAAGCTAAATCTTATTTAAGTGAAGGAAACCAAGCAAACAATTAAAATAAGTTTCTTCCCTGGTTGATAAGCAATGAATAATTAAAGTTTTATTTTCAAAATAAAATTATTATAACACCCAGAGCTCTCTGAATTTTTAACTTTTTAATTTTTTTTTTAGAACTTCATAATTTATTATTTATAGGGAAAAAAAAATTAGCCCTAGCATTTCTCACTCTTTCATATAATAGCATAATGTGCTTCTTTATATAAGCAGGTGTTGAAAAACAATTGCATAAGCAATTGTTTCTATTTCTCTTCAACCCCTTGATATATATTATATTATATATATTATAATTATTTTATATATTTTAATTTAATTTAATTAATTCTCACATTAAAATTGTTATTTATTAATTTTATTTTTTATTTTTAATTTAAGTTTAACAATTGTAATTTAAAAAGAATTAAAATCACATTTTTATTTGTCCATTTATTATATTAGAATAAACTCTTAAAAATAATAGATTTGCAATAATATTAAGTTACATTCATGTAAATTTAAAAAAAAATTGATATTAACTCTCGAATTTGAATAATATAACAAATAAAAAAAAATTTTTAATTAATCTTTTCAAAATTAAATGTTAAAAACCGTCACTGTCTATTTCCTTATCCAAATAATAAAAAAAAATTTCATACTTATTACTTGTACTATTATTTTGTATAAAAGAGATAGTAATTTAAAGATTAAAAAAATTAAAATTATTAAATAATATTTTTAAAAAAATTAATTAAATTAAAATTATATTTTTATTTTTATTTTATAGTTAAGACATAAGGTAGTTGATATTCATTCGTATCTTTTCATTAGAGAGGAAATCTTCAGTTGGAATATTCCTTTACCTAAAATCATCATAAAATTTTGGATCAATTATTGTCTCTCCACAGCATTCGACACTAATCAAAGATTCCATTAAGAGCAAAATTGAACTATTTTTTTTGTCATAGCTTAATCAATCAAATTAATGTCACATCAGTGTCGCCAGAAATGTCTACATTATGCATAGAAATTTGGGAGTGTGATTATCTTTATCTATTTCCTAGTATGATGATGATGTAAATGTTACGGACCTTTAGTATCTTGTTCATCAATACTCATCAAAACTCAACAAGCCCACTACCAAACAAGTTAAGACAGATGGATTTAAAGGGATGGGGATTTTTTTTTTTTAAATCAGAGGAGTGATCAATTTTATTTTCATAAAAAAAATAGACATATACTTGGTTGCTAGGGTTACAGATGATAACACAATCCGTTTTGATTGATTCCAATTTAATCCAATCTTTTATGATTAATTTTTTTTTAATTAAGTTTGGTTCGGGTCAAAATTAAATTTTAGGTAAATTTATCTTGATCCAATTTAATATATATAAAAAATTATTTTTAATTTTTTAAATTATATCTATATATTTTATATTTATATTAAAAATTAATATTTTATTAATTTTAAATCGAATCAAATTTAAAATAAATAAAAATTTATTTTGATATGATTCATTGTCATCTCTCCTTAAGGTTTGATTACAAGGGTTTTTGCATCATTGCCTGACGGCTGATCCAATCCAATTACCTTTGCAGCCCGTTGAATCACCAAGGGAAAAAGAAAATTTTCAGGAAAAATCTTGAAAACATATATCTCACATGACTACAGAGGTGGATGGGTAAAACATGTGAAGCCTCAGAAGCCCATTGACTCAAAAACACAAGAATCTTGTGGAAATGTTAAAATGGGCGACTGCAGGCAGGGAAAGGGATATAAAGCATGAAAAAGTTACATGTGGGGAAGATGGCTGCAATTATTTCAGTTTTGGGGCTTTTGGGCATGCTCTACCCTTCTCCTGCAATAATAGTCGAGGCCAGGCAGGTCACACAGGCTAGCTTTTATAATTACTCACATCAAATATGTGTTTTTAGGCCCTTTTCTCGTCCTCAAGCTAAGTAAAACCCCACGCTTCCATTACCTTTATTTTCATATATAATAAAAAATATATGAAGAATATAGAATTTGCTTTAATTGATTCGTACTGTTATTTTTAAAAGATAATATTTAATAGATTTAAAATTTAAATTTAAAATTTATATATAATTTTTTATTTATTTCAAGCTACAATATTTTATGTGCCTAAAAATATATATATACAAAGAGAAAAGCATCAAGAACATTGTTTTGCCATCTTTTTTTTTTTATCATTTAAAGCCTAAAACATAACTTCATTTAAAATGATGAGATTAGAATATGATTTTCTTCTCAATTGACTTACATGTGCAGGGTGGATCTACATTTAAAAATAAGATTTGCATGGACATCTTAAAATTAAAAAAAAAAAAAAATCTAAAAGAAAAATTTTTTTAATGCTTTCAAAATTTTATCTGAACACTATTTTTATTGGCAGAACTGATAAATCCATACGTAATTATATATATATATATATTTATGTTATATAAGTGAACATCCATAAAAAGAAAAAAAAAAACTCGAATCCATGATATGAGTGCATGAGAAATTATAATGAAGTTATTAAAATTTTTTGTTCTCAATCCCTAGTCCGTAAAAGTGTTTGAGAAGGCACTCAAGTATATAGAAACTTGGCTTTGAGAGAAAGTATATGGGAGACAAGTACAATGATAGGTCAATGGAGATTAAAAAACAAAGAAAAATTGTTGATAAATGATAATAACCCAACAACTCCACTGAACTTTTGTCATTTTTGAGACGATTAGCTATATTCTACAATGATGAGAAAAGGGATAGAAACTAACAGCATGAGGCATTTAGTTTAGAATAAGAACTTGAAATGTTGGCCACTTTCTCAAGGGTTGGTCCCAATTAAGACTACAATGACTTCACGAGCAAATATTTCGATAAAGTTAAAAATGAAAAACAAAAGTTGAAAATTAAATTTATTGAGATAAAATAATATACTTTTAATTTTAATGATCAAATAATTAAAAATTTGATTCGTGACAATCTCAAATTTATATATTTATATATTTATATAAAATTACTTGGAAGTTAAAAACTGGTTTTATGTCTGGCATGCACCTTCCCAATGTACATATTGGGCACTGATATCCCAAGGATGACATCAAGTGGAAATTTGGGAGACCTGCTTTTTAGAAAGAATTATTCTCATCATTTTGTTCCCACCCTTTTGAACCATAATATACCTTACCAAAATTAAATGTGAAGCAACAACCACTTTGAAAGGCCTTATAAAAGCCATTGTAAAGGCACCCAAAGTTTTAACTCAAAAGGCCACAGCTGCTTTTGCTTTTCTTCACTCCAAAAAAAGAAAAGAGTGCAAACTAGAAAACATGACTCCATTTGCTTCTTTCTTGCTACTCTTATCTTCTCTAGCTCTTCTCTCTATTGCTAGGAGCCAAGACAGAGCGCCCCATGGCATTGCTTACGAGAATCCCATGGCCTTCTCGCCCTCAGCATATGAATTTTTCCATCCGAAAACCCAAGAACCAGACACCAAAAACCCCTGTGCAGCTTCCAACTGTTCATCATTGCCTATTGCAGCCCATGTGGATGCTACTAAAGCACTTGAAAGCAAGGAATCAACAGCACAGAAATCTGGGCATCGACTGGGAAGTGGTGGAATTGCAGGCATTGTTTTTGGTTTGACATTTGCAGTGCTTTTCGCAATGGGTGTTTACTATGTGCATAACACCCGTCGAGCTAATGCTAATCAAGCTACCTCTGTTCAACCTGATGTCTGATCTTGTGCTCCTCAATCACCAGTTCTCCATTGTATAATACAGGCTAAGGCTTGAGATTGATATAAATAGTAGTAGTTAAGAATTAAGCCTTTCTTCTCTTTTCTTCGGTTTTTCCTCCTTCCAATCTGCTTTCATGGAGTGTATTGTTTTATGATTCAATTTGTTATGTAATTGCAAGATAGTGTTTTACATGTTTAGAGTATAGTGTCTGAGATTATGTAATCATCACAATCATGAAGGCAATGGCAGACACAAAGACTGTTGTAGTTCCTGAAAGTCAAGGAATGATCATTGAGATTACGCCCATAATCATTGGATGCATAAATTTTATGTTATGTTCAGATACATTAATTTAGGAGAGGGAATTTGGATATAATTTTGCTGAATAAATTGCAAATAGTTTCGTATATCATGAAATCTTTACATCACGAAAATTGAATTTACCATTATTATATGTTATGTATTACAACATAGCATTGCCCCAGGGCAAGGATGCACGCCCCTTTTAGGTTCAAAAAATTTAGAGAGATACAGCTGAGTTGAAGCTTGTATGCACTCAATTACTCCAACATCAACATTTGACTGTAAAATTACTCCAAATCTTCTACCATCTACGTGAACTAAAGGACTCAATTACTGACACAAATACCTGGTCCACAGCTTTGTTCCATAGAAGTGCAAACTCCGAGTGAGATTTCTTTCCAAATATCGGCTCTTTCATCTGGAAGAGGTTCAAAGTAAAACTATGAGAATTTAATCCACACGCACTGCAAATGATGAAACAGAGTTTTACTCGTGAAAGCCCAATCTACTTGTATAGCAATTTTTTGACAATAATAATCGGTTCATCATTTCGATGAGGTTAACCATTTCTTACAAAAAAAATGCATTCCCGTTTCCTATAATTTCCCTCAAGATATACGGCAAAACCACATGAATAGGTCTCATATATGTCCCAAGTCACAAGGCATATGACCTAAAACATAAGGTTTTATACTTTTTTCATTAGAGGTAACACAAATTATCTACAAAATAGAGAAGTTTGAAGAGAATGGTTCTTTCAATAGGGTGATATTATTGCTAAAGATATTTGATTGCTTCCACCGTCATTAAAAAGTGTTTAAGACATATTTAAAAGCTGTGGAAGCATCCAAAATATCTCTGGAAACTACATTTTCCCTTCTAAATAAACCAGTAACAACATTGTTAATAACATCCTAGATGAGATTGCTTTGCTTTCAGATCTAAAGATAAAAGTCTGCAATTTTAGAAATTTACACGATTAGACCTCTTAACAAATTATATCCAAACAGTTTAATTTCCTTTATTTCTTATGCAAAACTAGGGAGTCTATTCACCAAGTTAGATCATTAATTTTGAGGCATTCACAGATACAAAGAGGTGATTTTGAACATCAAATTTTAAAAAATGCGACGGTATGCCACAGGATTTAGAAAATTTGTACAAGAAAGCAAGCAACTCTATATTCCTCACAAGTTTTTCTCCTGATCAACCTCAATTCTTAGAAAAAGAACAAGATAACAGGAGAAAGCAATACAAAGTTTATAAAGCAAAACAAAATTTATAAGAAATTTCCAAAATGATAGGGAAGAAAACCATTTCCCCTTGTTCCTTCCAAGAGCTAATATAAAACTAAAAATCTACATTTCTTATTACACATTTGATTTTCACAATTTCACTCCTTTCCTGCCTCCAATCAAATTCCCATTTTTTATCAACTGAGCTAAAGCACAAGGGTTCGACCGAATACTTTGCAACCCTATAAACTAGGACATAGTTACTTTTGCTACAGAAAGCATTAGGCATTGGCTTAAGCAGTTAAAGAAAATTCATTTTCTAACAAAAATACAACTAATTTATGAGAAGAAGCTTCAAAATTGATTTTTTTTAAAGTAATTATAACAACTTTAATCCACTACTTTTTCTAGGGTTTCAAATAGCAATTGTAAAAAAAAAAAAAAAAACTGGAAATAAAAAAAGGGGACCTGAGATTGGGAAGCGAGTTGAGATTGATGATCTGAAATGGATTCATAGATGCGTTTTCGTTGCTCAAATACTAGGATCCCCGTCAACGCGGTTCCAAGTGCAGCACCAAGCAAACGCTCCTGCATTTGCATTCAAAAGATCAGAAATTTAAAAAGAAAAAAGCATTTAGGAAAGCAAGAGATTAACCATTTTGGATTTAATTTGATTTGATTGGGAACCTGTGCGAGGACGCTGATCATGGTTAGAATTTTGGCGTCGGGATTCAGATTTGGGGAAATTTCTTTACTTTCTGGTTCAATTCGGAAAAAAAAAAATGAAAACAGTAAGAAAGATAATACTCTAATTTGGGTACCCTTTTTAAGTCCAAAAGCCTGAAATGAAAAACACTGAGGCCCATTTCCCCCCATTTAGGGGCCCATTAAGTTCATTTCAGGTTTTTTTTTTTTTGATATGTTTGAAGTTGTTTAAGTATGAAATTATTAAGTGGTTGGTTCAATTGATTAAGTTATTTGTGGGTCATTTCGAATATAAATTTATAATTATTTGTTTTAAATTGTGGATATAATACATTTTATTCTGATTTGAGAGATTAAATAATTTATTTATTTTTGAATGTTTTTTTATAAAAAAAAAAAAAGTCCGAAATTAACTGCGAATTCACCCAAATAACTATGTATTAATCAAGTTTGATCCATTTCTTTGGAAAAGGGTGTTCAATTTGGATATTTTTTCATTAAATAGAATGGTACTTACTGCACTTGCTTGAATGAATCCATGGGCTGGTGGCTGATGGGTAGTGGCAATGTTTAAAATTGGAAAAGGGTCGTCGAGTTTTATATGGGAAATGGAACCCCTAATAAAAGGAAACGTAATGGCAAAGACGGTGTGTGCTTGCATGTGAGTGGCTGTCAGTGCCCCTCATCACATTTTCCCTCACGTGATTGTCTCAGATGCTATACCTGCAATGCAATGCAAGAAGCTGCAACAATTGAAAAATGGTCCGTCTCTTATTCCCTGCTCATTGCAACCATGTGTCCCAAACTCTTCCTGATTGGGACTTATCATCTAAACCCCAAGGGGACCAAATTAGTTTGCAATTTTCGTATCCACTCTAACTGTAGTGTGTAGGGTACCCGACCCTTCCAACATATGGACAAGTTTTACAACATCTTTCCCATGTTCCTCCCATGGACACGGACAAAATATAATTCGGTTTCAGTGTTAAAATATTTGAGGGAAAAAAGTGAAAATGCACATGAAAAAGAGATTAACTTGAAGTGAAATGTATATCGGTTGTTATATGTAACCATTGACCATTTCTATGGGAAAAGCCAAGAAAATTAACTGCCTTTGGAAGTAGGTCAACTGTTGCTTTTGCCTCATAGGAACATCCGGTCCTACTTAGAAAGATTTGGATGTGGAAATTAATTATATGGCTTGCTTCTATCCCTTGCTGCTAATTGGAAGTCTACCATTCTTTAATGCATAGTTGCATACCTACAAAAGAAGGCCTCTGGTTCTGGCAACTGTAAAAAGTTGGCTCTGCTCAGCCAAGGAAAAACACAGCTTTTGTTCTTGACTTGATGACTCTGTCTGCAGGGCATCGCCAGCTTTAATGGTACGTATTCTATAATTGTTTTTGCTTCTGCTCTTGCTGGGTACTTTGCGTTATTGGTATAGACATTCTGTCAATGGTGACTTCACCTTGGTGCACTTTTTTTGTTACTCTTGCTTTGTCCTGGATCAGTTCATTGATTTTTAATTCCCTGGTTAAAAGTGGAAAAGCAAAAGGCTTTTCGTTTTCTTTATCCACATAATGTTGAGAATCATACGTGTCGCTTTTTGTCTATATCCTGTACGGCTATACTTTTACCGAATTGTATTGTTTTATTCAAACAAAACACATAAATCTTTTGAAGATTTAGGTGGAGCCTGGAAGTTTATTAGATTATGTAGCATGAGAGATCAGTATACGGGTTAATGGGTTATATAAAATTTCTGTGGATGGTCTGGCAATCATTTTTCTTGCCTGACAGTTGACCACTTTATTAGATTCTCTCAGGGAATCTTTTAGGATTTGTCATGCCAAGTGGAGATTTACAGACATGAACATTGCTGGCCAGTGAACGAAAACCAGAGACAACTATATCTGTCCACTTCAATACAGACAGAAATTTTTTTAACTGTTCTTTTTACTAGCTTAGCTGGAATTTTCAGTAAAGAGAAGCATTATTGTTCAATCAGACATTTTTGATGCAAAGTTTTTCTAGTACCCATCCAGCTCACTGATATACAAAGTTTGAATTACCAGAAAGTAACATAGAAATTTGTGCTACATGAGTACCATAACCATTCCTCTTGTCATCATGCAGATTCCTCTAATTTATTTACTCTTGCTGAAGCTTTCTCCCTTCCTTTCCAACGAGCCTGTTCATTTTCTTGTGAATGGCCTTTATCTATTTGGTTACTTTTGATGAAGGTTTATCTGTCCTTTTCTACAATTTTGTGATAAGAAAGGGTCATTTTTTAAGGGTTGTTGCGTAGTTACTCAAGACTCTTGTTATCCAGAAAATGTTTTATTCTCAATGATGTAATTGTAAATCCTTAACTGATACAAGTGACAATAGGCTTTATGTATTTGGCACATTGGTGGTGACTATTCAAGGAATGAGGGAGTGCTTTTGAGAAATTGATGTGATTCTGTTTAGAGTGCCCAGAAAATGTTTGGTCAATGGAGGCTCCAATGGAGTGAGGCTTATTGACAATGCGCTTGTTCTGGTGGCATCGGCTGCCACTGCTTTTACTGATTCAACTATTGCAACCCAACCGTCCAAGTCCCAAGCTCTACAGTAAGCTTTCTTTGTTTTGTTTCAGAATAGCAATTTCTTACGTACCATAAATTTGAAACTGTAGCCAAGAGATTAGAACCTCCAAACCATTCATTTGCTATAATTTCTCTGTTCAAGGAAATAATCAATGATTCTTGGATTATTGCCTAATCCACTTACACCCTCTAAATGTCATGATTGGAATTTGATTTTCGGAATGAATATACCAGAGTCCCTCGATTCATTCTTGACATTATCTTTGTTTCGACCATATTGTTTGTTTGCTGCAGCTGAAGCTTTACTGATTTGCAAGAGCACAGTTTGCACTCCTCAGCTAACCAACAGTAGATTTGGAAGGTTCCCCAGCTTGAGGCAATGGGCATATGTCAATTGTTATCAAACAGAAGATGCGGATGTTGTTTCCTGGTAAGCTCCTTCTTTGTTTCCTGCTTAGACATACACATGCCCACTCTGACACATGCATGGTTGGATTTTTATGCAGTTCTCTTCACTTTAATAATATATTGATATCCTAATCTATCAGAACAGTTAGAATAGAGCACTTAATATGACACTGTCTTACCGTGTATTGTGCAAACAACAAGAACCGACATTTACATGATCACAGGATCAGGCACCAGGTATCAAGCAAGCACAGAACTTTAGTACTGGAGAAAATCCTCTAAATGTGTTGGTTGTCTGTCCAAAATAGTTGTGTTTATTTTTATGGAAATGCTTTCATGTCTGCATACTTATAAATTAACTATACATATTGATTGAAACATTCTAATAAAAGACCTGAAAATCTCAACATGCGTATTAGCATGACCTGGTGAATTATATCACTGATGTCTTCCATTTGTTTGGACTTCAAACTTCTCTTCTAAGTCTCAATAAGAGCCAAGTTAGTGCCTTCTTCAGTAGCTAGCTACATGAAAATTTTTTTCTTTGGTGCTTCCTTGTTGAACACCTGAATCCATTTTGATGGCGGTAGCCATGTTTCAGCATTTTGGTCTTTCAAACATGATCTGATACAATTATAATAACTCATTTCTGAGTTTAGTGGTGGACTTGAATTTAATATTTCTGTCTTTTCTTTTATACCATCTGCTCCATTGACAGAACGTTTAATTTCATCTCAGATTCTGAAAGACTGTTTTGAGTTATAACAAGCTGTTTCCTCAATTCTTTGCCACAATAAAAAAAATACTTGCCATAATATCTTGGGATCCTATTCTTGAACAGGATTCCTGGAATCTCTCACATATCTCTTCCAAGTAGATTAATTGAATTGTTCTCTTTTGCTCCAAATTTCATCTCCTCGAAGTCTCCAATTCACTTTCAAGAGAAGCCCTCTAAATCAAGACACAGAAGGGTAGCAGCAGCTTCTGTGGATGGAGAAAATAGTGTTCCAACACTCACACCTTTGCAAGCAGGTGATAAGAAACCAAGAAAACAGACACTTGCTGCCTTAATTGGGGGCGCTAGTGCAGCTCTGCTTGTGGTGATCATTTTGGTGCTTGTGTATATCTGCTTGATGCGTGTTAAAAGATTCATGAGGAGAACATCTGATACAGCATCTTCCCTGCCATCTCCTACTGGTAAGCTTATCTTCTTAACACAAGAAGATCTACTGGTTACAATTATGCTACCACTTACCACAGATAGCTGCCTTTAAGGATCTTCACAGTCAGGTCGTGTGGTAGTGGATCTTGAACTAGCGTTCTTTTTTCAGAATGATGACTGTGAATGCATTATTCAGGTTTCCTGGACCATAAGGTATACATTTTAATAACAGAGTTTCCCCTCTCTCTTCTCTCTGAGCAGTTGAGCTGGAAGGAATTAAAACTTCCCACTATGCTGGTGCTCCATCTCCACATGATACACAAAACCTAAGGCAACTATCAATGTCAGAGCTGGAACATGCTACACACAACTTCAGTCAAAGTAATATCGTTGGTGAAGGTCGATTTGGTTTAGTCTATAAAGGACTACTTCAAGATGGAGCTATTGTGGCAATCAAAAGATGTTTAAATACCTCGGTTCATGTTTTCCTTCGTGAGGTAAAATATCTATGCCATACTGATGCTGGAGAGCCTAAATGATGTTTAGTTTCGTTTAAGCATTACAAAGATCTGATAGGAGAAGAAATGACCCTAGATATGACCTTTCTTAGCATCTTAAAACTAGTTCAGTGGCAGAGCTCATGACTATGTTGGTCTGGGTGCAATGCATGCAGGTAAAGCAAATAGCTCAAGTCAGCCACAGGCATCTTGTCAAGCTTGTTGGTTATTGTGAAGATGGTCACCAGCAGTTTCTAGTCTATGATTATATTCCTAATGGAAATGTTGGAAATCACCTATATGGTAATATTTCTTTTACATATATTTACAAATTTCGAATGTCAAAATGCAAGTTAATCCTAAGGTTCTTTTTCCCTGTTCTTTTTTCCAGATAGTGAAGGTTCACCAACTGGAAAACTAAACATGCGGCAAAGGTTATTGATTGCTCTAGGTGCAGCCAAAGGTACGTTTACCAATTTAGTGCTCCAACCCCACTTTTTTTTTTTTTTCTCATACAAAAACATTATAGGCATTAGCTTTCTCAACCCTACTTTATATTTGGACCAGGAATTGAATATCTTCACAGTTTGGCTCCTCCTCTCCTGCACATGCATTTCAGAAGTAGTAATGTTCTTCTAGATGACAATTTTACAGCCAAAGTTTCTGATTATGGATTGTCCAAATTGGTGTCTGAGGATCAATTTTACGCATCATCTTCAGCCATTGACTGCTTTCTTGATCCAGAGTAAGCAAATCCCCCTCCTTGAAACCCATTCCATACTTGATCAAATAGTCTGAAAACTTCCTTACGCATGTCTAATTCATCCACTTTATCTGAAGGTTGTCCGCATCAAAGAAATTTTCAGTGCAAAGCGATGTGTATAGCTTTGGGGTCTTCCTACTGGAGTTGACTAGTGGACGTGAAGCACTTTGGATGGATGAGTCAAACTCAGAGCCAACGTTAATCATGCAGGTTTGCAGAGTTCATCTTCCTCCAATACGTTGTTTGGTCTTTTACATCTCACCACCTCGATTATCATAGCACCACTGTCATGCATTTATATTGTACAAGTAACCTTCCATTCTTACAAGAACCTCTTCTTTTGTTTTGAAGGCCAAGGATTCCGACAATCTAGTCAATTTTGTCGATGAAACCTTAGGGGACAGGTCAATGCGTGGTGCAAAACAGATAGTGGAGTTAGCATTACAATGTATTGAGATTAGTCCCCGAAGACCATCCATGAAAAGCATCGTTGAAGAGCTAGAACGAATTCAGGAGAAAGAAATTGGCCGTTTAATTTTTGAATCAGCTGAGGAGATTGGTGCAGTAACACTTGGAAGCGAGCTCTTCAAATGAGCTCTGCTTGCCATTGTATGTTTCCCTTTGTAGTAATCATTCTTTTATTGAATTTATTGATTGTAATTACGAAATTCTCACAAGCAAATTGATTGTATATATATATATATATATATAGCAAAATGAATTAGACTAAACTTTCTAATTCAATTGAGCTATTAATGTCTCCCAGATATAGAGGAGGCTACATCTCAAGTCCTCTGATTCAGCTGAGCTACAAATATCCGCATATAGAGAAGGCTAAAGTTACAGCAACCTCAAAACATACACCCAAGAAAACCTTATCTATATTCCTCTGGCAAATTATAACCGGTCATGACGATTTTGTCAGCAAACATCTTTCCAGTCTTAGGCATCACATGCCAATGCAATGTTAAGTTGAATTCTTTGCCCCGGAGACTGTTTCCCTAGATTTGGAAAAATTAAAGAAAAGAGACAATTAATTCTCGTTTGCAGGAAACCCCTAATTAATTTATGTAAATCTAGATGAACAATAACAAATTACTTCATCTTAATGGTATACCTGATCAACAAAACGATACTTGTTTGAGGTATGGATCCAAAACTTTGCATGCTCTTTGGCAGGTATTATAGCATCCCAAAGTGACACCTAGAAAATACCATGTCAAAAAGAATCAATAAGTGGAGGTATTTTCTGCCAAGACCCAAACAGAAACAGCCTCAGCCTCAAAAGAGTAATATCGGTCAGAGACTCAAACAGGTAATAACCAGAGGCATTTAATCTTTACCTGATTCAAGGAATTCTTTGGGGTTTCGTACTCTGCTGCTACAAATATAAAAACCTGTGATGATCAACAAGGTGATGATATTTAAAATCTGCTTCAAAAGGATGGATGATTATGATAAAAGAACAGCTAACTGAAAAGGGAAGCCTAAGAATATGACCAGTCTATCAAAAATGGAATTGTTCGATTACAAATATGAAATTTTTCCCAAACTCCATCATCAAAAGAATTATCTCAATTATCTCATGCACCAACAATATATAGAATGGAAGAAGCAAATGATAGGAATATCCAAAAAACGAAAATATAAAGATCCATGAAGAAGCAAACCTGTTTTGTGTTCCATGTAAATAATGATTGTAAATCAGCTGATATATTCATCGTCAGGCTGACCTACATAAAGTCAAAAGCATTTACTTAGAATTGACCAAACTATCAGCAGTCGCAGCCTTCCAGGATAAAAGCCGAACAACGGCTAAAAATATGAGAATATGAACCCAATGAACAGATTAAAAAGAATGGGGGAGGTGGGAGAGTAAGATAATGGAGATATCAACGCAATAAAGACACATAAACAGGCAGTGACTAAACACAATTTGACCAATTACTGGAAACAACATTACCAAATGAAAGACAAGGTAATGGAAACAACATTACCTCATCATTCCCCTGTGGCTGCTTCTGGAACCAATTAATGTTCATAATCTACAGTCACAGCCAACAAAATAAAAAATAACGAAACAATCCAAAAAGGGTTTATGAAAAAGAGAACCAATCATGGATCTAAACACCAATCCAAAGATGAGTATGTGCGTAAAGATGGACCTGGATTTCCGCAGAGGGAGATGGAGTGTTGAGGTTGTCGGAGAGAGACGCGATGGCACACATTAGCGCCAGAATCGTCACCGAAAATGTTAGCAGAGCATTTAATCTGTACCCAAAAGAATGCATCTTTTCCTCTTCCTTTACTTTGTTTAATCCTACTGTTCCCCAGATTTCAGTTCAGTTCCTCTGTTTACTAGGGTTTGAAGTATGATAAACCAAATATATATATATATATATATATATATAAATCTAGCAAATATTTCCCTTACACTACTATACATCCCTCAAAGACTTTATTATAATTATTGCAAATTAATCCTTCATAAACCTACTTTCAAAAAAAATTCAGCAAAACCCATCACCAAAAGGAAAAACCCAGAATAAAAATCAAATCAGACTAGGGTTTCAAATTGTGAATCGGGGTGAGGGAAGATCAACAGAAAAAACTTTAGAGAGTAAAGTCGCCCACAGTCAAAATCAACGAAAACGCCCACAGATATAAGAAATTTATATAAAAAATGACAAAACAATAAAGAAAAAGGTTAGAAAATTTTACCAAAAGTGAAGAGAGAGGAAATTGATGCAGAGAAAGTTAAGGCTTTGTCGGGAAGAAAAAGGAAGTAATAGAGAAGTTCGGAAACAGGTTTTATACTGTGTTTTTAACTTCATGGAAAAGCAGTGCGGGAATGATGAGATTTTGAAGTTCTATTGGGGTTTCGGTGAAAAAAGCTAAAGAAGGTGGGTCAAAATGAAAATACTGAGAAATGAGGGGTGAGCCGTGAGCTAGTGCAGTGGGCTGTGGCCATGGGTCACATAAGAAACCGAATTAAAACCTCGGTTTCTATGGCGTATTTTTTTACTATTATTTTTTAAAAAATAAAAATACTAAAAGTAAAGAACAAATAATAAAATTATTAATCAAGTGTAACTTTTAATTAATTCAAAAACATTGAGATTTGATTACTTATTTCAAATTTTTAATTTTTTTATTTTTACAAATTTAATTTGATTGAAGATCACTCTAAAAAATTAGATTAATAAAAATTTACTTAATTTATTAATAGAATATTAAATTTTTAATCAAAATTTATATTTGGTCAATTTTAAATAAAAAATATATAATAAATGTATTATTCTTTAAAAACTTATATGTTAGTACTTTATAAGAAAGATTAAGAAATTAATGTTCTAAGTAGACTTATACATCAGTCCGGCCACTTCCCCAAACATATAAGTTTGACTCAGTTTGTAACAGATTTTTTAAATCAAAGCTCAACTTTTGTTCCACATGCATCATTACTTCATTAAATATATATTTTTTGTTAACTTTATTCAAAATTTTATTTATAATATTTAGACATTTTTATAAATTTAAATTAAAACCATACATAATTATACTATTACCAAATCCATTGACATTTCTAATTGCATTAATCAATACCCATATTTACGTTCTTCACAAACTCGACATTGAGAATGTTGACTTTTGTGACCATTTCTTTTGGTTCTCTTTTCATGTATCGTATGTCTCAATGTTGAACCAAATTCTTGTTGACCTTCAACCCAAAATTACGATGTTGTTTTAATCTCGTGTTCATTTTTTAAATTTGTAGGGAATTTTTTACAGTATCGCTTCAAATATATTACTACGTCTTTAAAATTTGTCATCAAAATCTAAATGGGGAGAGATATTTGGTTACTCTAACTAAATTATATAGCAAAGTAACGAATGATCATGACACTAAATTAAGCATATAATAACTTCTAAATATATGTATATTTATGTAAATGAGGTTGTTTTGATATTCTGACAATAAATTTTTTTATTTATTAAATAAAAAATAAAAAATGATGATGGTAGAGTTTGAATTTTTATTTTATATATATTTAAATTTTTTTAATTATTAAATTAAAAAATTGAAGATTACTGACAATAAATTTTTTTATTTCACCTATCGATTATTAAAAAGATTAAATATATTTTACTTATATTTTTAATTAATTTTTTTTAAATGGAGCATTTTGTCACAACTCTCTCATTTAATTTTTTTATTATATGAGTCAGAATCCAGCGAAATCCACATGATTTGTCAGAACGATCAAGGCCAACTGAAAGAATAAAACACCGTCGTTTTCACTTAGTTGCTGACTTCTTGCTCATTTTGACTTCTTTCCATTTCTGTCCCTACTGATCTATAAACCCGACTCAGATCTCTCCTCTGTCCAAGCTTCTCTAACACTTCGATCTCTTCTCAACTCCCCATTGCGGCAGAAATGACGTCGTTTCGGTGCTTTTTAATTCTCTCCCTCATATCTCTCCTTCTCTTTTCAACTCTCACCCCTTCCTTCTCCAAGACTGCTAAAAACGACGACGCTGAAGACGACGAGGATCTCCGCTTCCTCGAAGAAACGGAAGGCAAAAACGACGCAGCTTCTTCTCACTCCCATTTCAACGAAGAAGACAACGACGATCAATACTCCGACTTAGACGACGACGACTTCGGAAACTACCAAGATTTCGACGACTCCGATTCGGATCCGTACAAAGAACCGAAAGTCGACGACAAGGACGTCGTCGTTTTAAAAGAGGGAAACTTCAGCGAATTCATCGAAAAGAACAAGTTCGTGATGGTAGAATTTTACGCGCCTTGGTGTGGACATTGCCAGGCGTTGGCTCCTGAATATGCGACGGCGGCGACGGAGTTGAAAGGAGAAGGAGTGGTGTTGGCCAAGGTGGATGCCACGGAGGAGAATGAGCTGGCACAAGAGTATGATGTGCAGGGTTTCCCTACTGTTTATTTCTTTGTTGATGGAGAGCATAAGCCTTATCCCGGTGCTAGAAACAAGTAAGTTTCGAATACAAAAACATAATTAGGATCTTGGGTTTTCGACTATCTGTTACTTCTTGAGTTGGTGATGTTAATTTGGTTTTGGTTAATCATGCAAAATGCACAAATTAGAAATTTCTATTTGGTTTCTTATCTGGGTTCGTTTCTTAGCGTATTATCTGTGTTTAATGGAAGGTTTAATTTTAGAAAAACAATGCTAGGGACTAATGATTTATTCATTGACAATTCAGGGAGGCGATAGTGACCTGGATTAAGAAGAAGATAGGACCTGGTATATACAACATTACCACCGTGGAGGATGCTGAACGCATTTTGACTTCTGAAACTAAAGTTGCCTTGGGCTACTTGAATTCTTTGGTGGTATGATTTACCTTTGGCTTGCTATCTTTTGGGGTGTGATGTAGTTTTAATACCCCTGCTGTTTTAATCAACATCTTTCGATTGTGATTCAAAGTTTTGAGACACACAAGGTTATTGAGTCTTTGTATCATCATATTCGTGACCCAATCATCGATGTTTAACATATATAAAGAAACCCCCTTCTAGGATGATGTTGTAATTCAGATTTGGCCTGTTCTAATGACAACAGGGTTCTGAGAGTGAGGAACTTGCTGCTGCTTCAAGACTTCAAGATGATGTCAGCTTCTATCAAACTGTGAATCCTGATGTTGCGAAGCTTTTCCACATAGATCCTCAAGTTAAACGACCCGCTTTGGTCGTACTTAAAAGGGAGGCTGAAAAAATAAGCCACTTTGGTTAGTGTTCTAGACAGATGTAATATTGTTTGGAATCTTAATTCAGCGTTCTTAGGGGGTATTTTATATCCAATTTTTTCATCTTGCAGATGGTCAGTTTGTCAAGACTGCAATATCTGAGTTTGTATTTTCCAGCAAGCTTCCTTTGGTTACAATATTTACTAGGGAAAGTGCTCCTTCGATTTTTGAAAGCTCAATTAAGAAACAGGTGTGCATGTTATAATTTTGCGATTCTTCCTACTTGTGAATTTTTGGACAGCATATGCCTTGAATTGAGCTTTTTAACAATTTTATGATTGTCTTATTGACACATAAGAATCTTCTTCATGAAGCTGTTGTTGTTTGCCACATCAAACATTTCTGAGAAGGTTAGCCCAGTATTCCAAGAAGCAGCAAAACTTTTTAAGGGAAAGGTAACTTCAATTCTATAGATCAAATAAAAGTATTCTTTAGTATTGTACGTGCTGGTTTTAATAGACTGTTGAAGTATACCATGTCCGAAAAGTTCTCTATTCCTGTTGATGATGACTTCAAGAATTGTTACTAATTTGTATCTTGTATGCTTACTTGCAGCTTATCTTTGTTTATGTGCAAGTGGATAATGAAGACTTTGGAAGACCTGTTGCAGATTATTTCGGTGTCAGTGGAGATGGTCCCAAAGTAAGTCTATCTTATCCCCTCAAAAAAAAATTTGTTTTTTGGATGGAATATGCGGATGGAAGGGGGAGATTTGTTGTATCTCTATTGGCAATGAATTTGATGTTCACTGTTCATTTATGGTTTTCTTTTATCACACAGATCCTTGCATACACTGGAAATGATGATGCTAGGAAGTTTGTCTTTGATGGAGAGGTGACATTGGATAAAATTAAGGTGGTATCTCTCTCTCTCTCTCACCATTTTATGTTTATCAGTCTCTCATTAATGTGGTTGGTTGACTAAATTTTATGGTTCTACCTTTCTGTAGGGCTTTGGAGAGGATTTTTTAGAAGACAAGCTTAAACCATTCTATAAGTCAGACCCCATTCCTGAAACTGTAAGTATCTTTTTCCTGTGGTTGACTTTGTCATTGTTGATTGTAAGCTAACTTTCTTTTTTTTGTTTTTTTATCCCAAAATTCTATTTGACACAGAATGACGAGGATGTGAAAGTAGTGGTTGGCAATAACTTTGATGAAATTGTTTTAGATGAGTCCAAGGATGTCCTTCTTGAGGTAATCTTGTAGCCCAATATGAGAAAAAGAAAACTCATTTAAATCTTTCTTTTAAATGGGCTTATTCTGTTGAACGCTGTAAATACCAGATCTATGCACCTTGGTGTGGCCATTGCCAAGCATTGGAGCCAACATACAACAAGCTTGCCAAACATCTTCGAGAAATTGACTCTCTGGTTATTGCCAAAATGGATGGGACAACAAATGAACATCCTAGGGCAAAGGTAAAATTTAAATCAATCTGCACTTCCCACTGATAAAGCACTTCTTACCAGATTCGCCGATGAAGCACTTCTTACCAGATTCATGGGTGATTTGTCTTATATTTACTTGTTAAGTTGGCACTACCTGAAGGAAAGATAGCAATAACCTGTTTTAAGTAAAAGGATAAGATTCAAATGCCATTTTGCACTCGGGCTGAGAATGGGATTTCATGATAAAAAGTTGTTTATTTTTGCAGTCTGATGGGTTCCCCACGATTCTGTTCTTCCCAGCAGGAAACAAGAGTTTTGATCCTGTAAGTACTATATTCTCTTCTGCCTCTATCAATCCATCTATGACATCGTTTTCTCTCTCTAAAATATTGAAAATTATTGCATGCTGCGCATTGGCAGATAACTGTGGACACTGACCGCACTGTAGTGGCATTATATAAGTTCCTCAAGAAACATGCTTCAATCCCTTTTAAACTCCAAAAACCAGTTTCAGCTCCCAAAGAAACCAAGACTTCTGACTCCAAGGAGAGTGACAAGAGCAGCAGTGCGGATTTGAAGGATGAGTTATGACCTGATCAGAAGGATTCAAATTGAGGATTTTAAATCACATCCCAAGTAATGTGCCTTATATGTGTTATCAATAGTTAGAAAAAGGGAATAGCTATAAGATAGATCCAAAATAGAAAAGAGGAATCCGAAAATTGTCATGGTCGTTCAAACGTTAGTCCCAGACCTTTCTCTTGTCGAGAAGAAGAGGGAAACCAAAAGGGTGTATTTGCATTTGGTCATTGTTTCAACTATGTATCTCTGAAACGTATTCTGAAAAATAAATGGCTCCTTCCTTATTACCCCATATCTGTTACCATCTTTTGCTGTCACGGCATCATGGCAGTTTGCCCCCAGTTCGGTCTTACGTTGGTATGGATTTCAGTATGGGTGATAACATTTGGGATCAATTTCGGTATGGTTTTTGAAATAATGTATAATATTATAAATTTTTAAAATTTGATTCAAATTTGAATTTATAATTTTTTCAAACGGGTATGATTCAAATTAAATTTTATCGGGTTCATTGATTTTTAAATTTTATTTTAATAAAATTTTTAATATATTTAAATAAATTTATTTTATAAAAATTTTAAAAAATATAAAAATTAATAAAAATAAATAATTTAATTTAATTTGATTTTTTATATTTCGATTTAAAATTAGATTTAAATTTAATATATACATTTAATATTTAAATTTAATTTAAATTAAATAAAAAATAATTCAAACTGAATTAATTATTACAATTTTAAATCGATTTTAAATTTTTTTTTTAGCCTTAAACTTCAGATCCATTTAAAAATAATTTTCTTCCATTGGTTTTGAATCGTTAGTGCACAAAGTAGATCCCAATAAATTTTCTTCTTCTGATGTAAGACCTAAATTCTTTTAGCGTACAAGTAATGACAAAAGGGAATACGGCGGGGTCTGAGGATGCCGGGCATGTGAAATCATGTGCCATGGGCCATGAGACTTGGAATCTACTGAGTATCCTCTTAAAAATTTAACGCGTACATTTTGGCCCATGACTACGAGCTCATGACTATCTTGAACTCTTGATTATTAATAATTAAAAAAAAGATTGCATTGCCTAATTTATACACTTAATAATTACTTTTACTTATTTGGAAAACTTAAAATTATATTCATAATATGGTATCAAATACTTAATAAGTTTATTTTTTTTAATTAAAGCTTTAGTACATTGATATTGGTCACTACAACTATATATCTTGATATATGTATAATATTATTTGAGGAAAAAAAATATTTTGGGCCAGAATTGAGGAAAAAATTTTCGAACTCTAAAAAAATAATGGATTATATACCGATCCTCAAGTCAAATGCTTGAATGCATTATATTCGTCAATAGTATTGTGCTCAAAACAGCACTTGGATTTTAGTTAAATGGAAAACCAAACGAGTCGGTGGGTACTTTTTTCCGTGTGTAAGGTAAATGGGTCTAAATCATTAATTTTTTAAATAACTAAAATTAAAACATTATTTTTTAATACCTAAAATTATTAGAAATTGAATTATAATAATGAAATCAAAAGCAATAAAAATTAATTAATGAATCAAATAAATGTAAAATTTAAAAAAATTAAAATTAAAATTTTATATTGATCAATCTAACCGACACAAAAATCAAAACAACATAGTATTACCATTGTATCAATTTTTTTCAAAATCAATACATACTTATCAATATTAATAACAATGGGTGACATTTAAAAATTTAAAATTTAAAATTTATTTTTTTCCTATTTACATATAGAACTTTCTTTAAATTTTTTCCTCATCACATCTTTAATTAAACACAATCAAAATCAAAGAAAATGACATTCGTCTTGCAATTTTTGTTCTTATGGCTTAATAGCATATTCAATCACTTTCCTTTTCTTTGATCTCTTATTAAATTCATATATTCTCCCTTTACTTAATCGTCAAGTTCCTTAATTCCCTCATCAAATCCTTATATAAAAAAAACCTTATTAACGTATTTTTCTTCATTTTCAATTTACTGAATTTTAAAATTTATCAGTGGTGGTTTCCGTTGCTACTCTCTCTACGTCCGTCTGACGTTTACAGTACATTATTTAACCCCCCCCCCCTAAATTTCCGTTCCACTAGATCTACCCCTTTTTATTAATTTTTTTTCCCTTAAATTCCGCTTCAAAAGTCTCATTCATTTTGAAACTTCCTTTACTTCTCTCAAATCTCCAAAATTTATGAACATTTTTCTGATCTACTGAAATGGAAAAACTTGGATTTCTTACTATTGTTTTGTTCTTAGTTCTTGAACTCACCTTCGCTGCCGATTCGCCGGCGCCCGCCCCGTCATTCGGTGCAGACTCGTCACCGCAACTCGCTCCTACTCCGGTGAGTGGATCTCAAGACTCTGCACCAGCAATCTCACCGGTGACGTCCGCTTCGCCTCCGGCGCCAATGGCGCCGTCTCCATCAGATCTGGCTCAAGGAAAGTCATCACCGGCGAGTTCTCCTGCACCTTCACCGGATGATGTGAGCGATATCAACCACAGCAACATCAATGCAGAAGGTAACGAAGAGAAAAGCGATGGTGACGGAGGAATGAGCGGAGGGAAAAAGGCGGGAATCGCGGTGGCAGTGGTGGCAGCGGCGTGTTTGGTTGGCTTCGGTGGATTGGTTTACAAGAAGAGACAAGATAATATCAGAAGATCTCAGTATGGAAACGCCGCCAGAAGAGAAATTCTGTGAAGAAGACGAGACGATTGCAGATTTTAAAAAAATGATTAGAAGAGGTTATATTCAAATTTATTATCACTTGCATTTGATTTTATTTTGTTATAGTAATGATTAGTTGACGATTTCGAAGTTCATTATTTCTATGTTTCTTTTTTTAATATTTTAACTTTCTGAGAAAATCTTTTACTTTCTTTTTAAGATTAACGTCATCAATAAATCATTACGAATTTGAGCTGAACGAATACATTGATTGAGCCATCGTGGTTGAAATTGAAGTCGTTTCATACTTGCTATATATTTTATGTTCAGGGGAACAATACTACGTAGAACTCACTCTGTATTTGTAAATATTAATGTGTTATACAACATAATGCAATTTCCGTGTAGCTAGGCCTTCATCTTTACCAATATGATCTTCTACTGCCGTGATGCACTGTATGTGGGATTGCGATATTGAGAGTACCACCGGTAAACGAGGATGGGAAATGTGATTCCCCTGGCCGGCGCCGCAAACTACGCTTATTCTTCGGCAGGAGGGTCTACCCAGCGACCGTGATCTTTTATTAATTGGATCAGAGCATCGGTTGCATGCTCCATTGCAATTCCACGCTTCACAACATTCTGAAAGAGAGTCCACATACCAGTTAGGTACACAATATGTTAATCAAGGAAAACAGTTATTTGCATGCATTGGATTTGAAAGAATGAAATGCTATAGTACCTTGCCAACATAGAGGTCAATTTTTCCAGGAGCACCACCCACATATCCAAAATCAGCATCAGCCATTTCCCCTGGACCGTTGACGATGCAACCCATAATTGCAATCTGGCAGAGAAAAGAAATTAAATTATTAATCTGGAGATTTAAAATAAAACAATGATTAACTCAAGTATCATTCAATGTCAGACGGGGCAAAGAAGATAGGTAGTTACCGAAACACCAGGCAAGTGTGATGTCTTTTCTCGTATTTGTGCACTTATTTCTTGGAGGTCAAATAAAGTTCTGCCACAAGACGGGCATGAAACATACTCCTGCGACCAGAATTTCACACAAGTTAGAAATAACTCTGAAGATTGTTGCTGCTTTGCAATATTTTGAAGTTCACTTTTTTTTTCCCTTCAAAGATAAGATTCATACTGTCTTGGTATTCCTCATTCTACAACCCTGTAGTAAGTTGAAAGAAGTATTTCTGAGGAAATCAAAATCTTGGTCGGGGGCTTCTAACAAGACACCATCTCCAAGTCCGTCCACCAGAAGGGCTCCGGCATTGGTGCCAGCATTAATCACCAAGTCATCCCTGCGTGTTGAGAAAAATATTATAAACCAAAACTAATCATACCTTGCACCTCAATCAAAAAGCACCATGGGGCTTTTAGGTACCTGTGAATCCCGTTTGGAAACTGAACATGGTGGATTACAGGGAAATTCAGAGCATTCTCTGACAAACACTCAAATAACCTGTGGCAGCATAATGTTCAAATATCAGAGACCAAGAATGGTAGGCAATGGGTGGCAAAACTGTACAAGTAGAGAAAGTGAAATGATAAAACAAGCATAACCAAAATAGAGAGAGACAACTCGTAACTTGCTTCCTTGGTCACATTTAATCATGTATTGGTCTCAGCAACCAGATCTGGATTCGGACTTCAGTTGGCATGCTTAATGATACTTGTTATGGGTCATAAGAGAGGCAATGGCAGATAATTGCATGAGAAAATTACTCTATCTATTTCATGATTAATGCGAGCAAATGTGCTTATTATGCCCTTGTCATCATATAAATTTTTATTTCAAAGTGGCTTGAGTCAAGCTCTCTTCCAACTAGCAAAACATGACACCCAACAAATGTCTTTTACCGGTAATTCCGCAATGAATTAACAGATTGACTTTGAACAAGCCACCTAACTCCCTTAGTTTATGAATCACTCGACCTTGACCTTCAACTAGCCACTTAACACCTTTGATCTTATGAGAGATAGCAAATTCAAGTCATTAGCATATTACCTCCTTGCTGCATGCACTCTCCCAATTTTATCTTCATTGTAAGGTATACTATGAAGAAGCATTGTAGCATCAATGTCTTTGAGGATTTCCAGCTCTTCATAGGGCTCATCACCACGTAGAGATACAACCAAGCGTGTACCTGCAAGGTAACGAATTGATATCATATGAGCAAAGAAGAATAAACAAGGATAACCATCCATATGTTAAGAATTCAATATTAAAAATAAGCTGCAGCACCTTCCGGCAAAAGTTTGTAAGCTCCAGTTGATAGTTCCTTGAGGTTTACCAGAGCCATAGCATTAGGCAATGGCTTTGTTAGCTGCTCTGATAAAGGAGTTATGACCCCCATGCTTATGTCTATCAACCTTTTAAGAGCCAGCCGCTGGTTATAACACAAGGAACAGTACCAATCATTTCCATTTTTGCGGTGAAGAGAGATACAGAAAGGACAAGAGATGAGCATGAGGGAGGGAGTCAGAGACTTCTTTCCCCAAGGAAACTAAGCAAAAGAAGTCGGATTCTTACAGCCTCACTGTCATCTACTGGTGGAAGCTCCCTCAATATGATTGAGTCCACTGTTGCCAAGTCCTACCTCAACATATGACAATTCAACTGTGATGAAAGCCAATATAATGTAGCCAAATTTATATGAGTAAATGAACCAAGAGTAGACCTTAAATGGCATGCCAACAACCAGCTTTGCTGCAAGTGACCTGTACAAGAGTTCCGGGGCCTGCAGAGGTGAGGAAGGAATTAATAAAATTTTACCCATCTCACCAAAGAAATCAAGGAAGTCTAGTGTCAAAGTTACCTTCAACTGATCCAAGGAAACGGACATAAGAACAGAGCCATCACGATGCAAAACACCTCTATAATCCACCTCTTCACCCTAAAAAAAAAAAAAATTCTCCATTTAAAATAGTACAGGGCACAGGTACAACTAACACTATGTTACTGAGACATTTATGGCTAACCTCCTTTTGTGTTGGCAATTGACCAGATCGACGCTGGAAATCAAAGTAATGTCTGTGCTTTTCCTCGAATGGTGCCTGACGAAAATTTGAGTTTGAGATAGAAAAGGTTCTCAAAATGACAGAATTGAAGTGTGAAACATGTTGTCTAATTCCTTAAAGTTGTAGAATCCTACCACCCCTTGCTGGAGTTGAGCAGCTCTCACACCAAGGTTAGCCATCCTTCTGCAGGGATCTATCTCCTCCTCTGGAGGCTCTGTAAGTGAAACCCTGATTGTGTCACCTAAACCATCCTGCAAGTCAGTAGAGTTCCAAAGCACTCTGGTTATTACATATTTTGCATATGTAATTTATGGCTACAAACTTTTAAGAGAAATTACACATAAGGGAAACCAATTTGACCAATTCCCTGCCAATTTTTACGAACTTGCAGTTTCTGGCTCATAGAACCCCATAATCAGATTTTTTTTTTTCAATTCGGAAACTTGTTATCAACAAATGAGCCAGAGTTGTCAAATACATTTTTGAAATTACCATAGATGTGGAGCATTGTGTGACCATGGCAAGAAAACTTTGAATGGTCATTGCTTCTACTGATTATGCTATTTATATCATGGAGGTACCTGAAGGAGGGTCCCAATGCCAATTGCAGATTTCATCCTCCCATCCTCACCTTCTCCAGCTTCGGTGACTCCCAAGTGTAACGGATAATCCCATCCATGAACATACATTTCAGCCACAAGCAGACGGTAAGCCTGGACCATGACAACTGGATTGCTCGCTTTCATTGAAAAGACAAAGTTATGGTAGTCTAACTTTCTGCATATCCTAGCAAACTCAAATGCAGATTCCACCTGTTTGACAAAAACCAATTAGTGGGATGCATAGGAAGAGAAAATGCACTTGAAAACTGTTAGGCAGTAAGAGAAGATATATGTTCACCATTCCCCTAGGAGAATCCCCATAGTAGCTCATTATACGGTCAGAAAGGCTCCCATGGTTGGTGCCAATACGCATCGCCCTTCCATACTTCTTACATTTTTCAACCAATGGAGTAAAAACCTGTTGTAGTACATTGTTGGGAAAAATCAATATGCATAATGAAACTGATACGTGCATAAAGAATCTGACTGCGAGATGTTAGATACTATTGGTCTTAATAAGCTTCACCCAAATCCTGCTGGATAATGCATGATTGAAATCTAAAAGAAGAGTGGTTTCACCTCCTCAATATGCTCAAGTTCTTTCTGATATTCCTCATCTGTATATTCTATTTGCTCAAACTGAGCCCGTCTATCAGCTGCAATTAACCACCTTTTTGGATTCAGAATAGCTGAAATCAAAATCTAAAAACACAAATGAACATACAGCAAATCACTTACCAAAATTTCCTGGGTTGACTCGAATTTTGTCAAAGCACTCAGCAACTCTCAATGCAACTGAAGGAGCAAAATGGATATCTGCCACCAGAGGAATATTATAACTGCACTAATAAAAAGTTAGTGACATGATTAATTTACATATTACATATGTGACTGAAAATTCAAGTGCTAAATAGTTCCTATAAAGAATCAGACGTACTTTTTCTGTACCAAAGAGTTTTTTATTTCAAAACATGCATCTGCCTCTCTCTTCCCTTGAACAGTTATCCGGACAATATCCGCTCCCTTGTCTGCTATTCTCATTACCTATGAAAAGAAGCAGTAGCTAATTTCATAAGACTAATTCATAGCATCATTGTACACATGTTAGAACATTAGTTATCAACTAAAAGCTTAGAGCTCCTCTAAAAACTCCAAAGACTAATACAATTATAACATTGGTTAGGAGATGTAAACATTGGGATACCTTAAGAAAAAAAACAACATCACATTCTACGCATCTGAACATGCACTAGATATTCATGTACCTTGCCGGTCCTTATGACCAGACAATGCAGGAAGAGAGCCCAAACCCATTATTTGAACAGAATAAAGCTTAAGCACATGGGAGAAGTTGATACCTGCTCCACTGTTCCAGCAACATCCTTTGTGTCAGTTGTAGTCATTGTTTGAATCCTTATAGGATGCTCGCTACCAAGAGCCACATTTCCAACCATTACTGTCCGTGTTTTTCTCCTGACAGTTTTGTTTAAGGATTCACAATACTTTTGCCTGGGAACTAAATTAAAACAATTAATCAGAGAAAATGGAACTGATACCGTCACCTTAACTCATAGGAGGTTCCTTAGTAAACAAATGGACATAGAAGTAACCGGAACACTGAATCCCAATAAACCAAGTTGAATCAAACAAGTACTTAGCTTAACTGAAAAATGAAAATTAACTTGCACTTGGTATAGCTAAATGATATGGGAAACTAGGCTGAATTCATCATGATTCGGAAAGACCCTCTTTTCAACTAAGTTTATCACATTAGTTTATCTAAAGATCAACACAAAATTCAAGAAATAGCATACAAATCCAAAATTCAATTTCTTTTGTTTACTTTTCCTTTGTTTGAGCTTTCTACCTAACAGAGGACTCCCTTCTGATGCAGGCTGAAGTTCAGCAATATCCGGACCGGGATTCTGATTCCTAATCACTGAGATTCTGGTTCTACCAGACTTAGTTCTCTTAAAATCACAAACTCTCACAAAATCCACACTTTTTGCAAATCCTAAGCTTGAGTCCCTGCTCTTCAAACCTGGAAAAGAAGCTGGTACAGCTCCAGTCGCCATTTCCACACAGCACAAAGCCTTCACCTTTACTGTCCAATGATACAAAACTCAATTAATCAAACCAACGCACAATTTTATGGCTAAAAAAATGGGGCAAATTAACAATTTTTCTTTTTAAATTCTTTTAACCCAAAACTGAAAATTTAAAGGCATGCAAGATTGTTTGGTTCAAAAGAATCAAAATTTTCATTCTATTACCAACAAAAACAGCTGAAAATTACTTCAAAAAACTCTCATTTAATCACCTTTTTCATCAATCAGACCGTACTAGCTCTATTATTAGCATGATCATCAACTCAACATAGAAAAAAAAGAAAGTTTTACACCCCAAAAAAAATTCTTTAAAGGGCAAAAATCGACCTTAAAAAGAACAACTTTTTGACTGTATCAACCTTTGAAAAAGTGGGGTTTTTTTTTTCTTCTTCAAACTGACTTTTTTTTTCTATAAGCAAAATTTTCCCCCAAAAAGTAATTAAAAAAGAAGAGCTTTTTAAAGATAGCTATTGAACTAGAAACTGGACTTATGGTTACCTTATGCAGAGGTTTCGACTTAAAAGAGAGAATTGCAAACTGATGAATGGAAAGGTCTGGAGAAGAAAAAATTGGTGGTGGGAACTTTTTGCAAGGATTTTCAGAATAAATAGGTGAATTTTGAATTATCTGAGAAATTATGTAGAAGAAAAAAAAAAGATGGGAAGTGGGAACAAGACAAATATTTTTTGAGCATCTGTTTCTCTTGGCCATGAAAATATGCACTGCTGAAAAAGAAATGGCTATTAGTCTTTTTTGCCCTTTGTGTTTTCAAATATTCTTCTTAAGTCCCTGATATTTATTCTTTCCAATTTTTTATTTTTAAGAAAGTTTACATTTTTGCATGTTTAATTAATATTATCCAATATAAATTTTAAGATTTATAAGTATTTTGTGAAATTTTGGATAGGTTTTTAATATACGGTTTTTTTAAGAAAAAAGAAAATATTTAAAAATTCACTTAAATACCATATTAGTTTTCAAGGAAAGTTGTAATAAGAATTTTCTTTTCAATTATATTAATGAAAAATTATGGAAAGAATCTCCCATAAGGAAATGCCTTTTTGGCCTCACATTTTTCTTAGGAAAATTAAATAGAGTTAGGAAACTTAACTTTATCTTTTATCAAAATTAAAAAACTAAATTGAAAAATTTAATTTAGTTAGTTAATACAATTTTTTTAAGTGACATTTAATAATGATAAGGTTCAAATTTTAATATTTACATCTTTTATCTTAATTAGTGACTAAATTTAGATAATTATAACTTGATAGCTTTATTATTTATATTTTCAAATAGACCCTTAAAAAAACTTAAAATTATAGTAGTCTAATGTAAATAAAAAACAAAGGAAAGACAAAGATTGACTTATCCTAGCCCAACTTCACAATTAGGCCATAATACAAGGAATTAACTGCAAAATTCCCAAGGTACAGTGACGAATCATTAGAATTAGGCGGCGAGAAACTTGGTAACAATTAGGAATCTAACATAGGCAACTCTAGGATATTCAGTCACAGGAAGTTAATTACTCCCACGTGGCTCCTTGGGATTGGTGCGTGGAACAATAAACAGTGTTCCCTATCTCCTTGATTAAAAGGACGTAGGTTTTCAGGATTTTCAACAAAAACACTTCGTTAGGTTCCCACGAAATTCACGATCCAATGTTTCGTTAGAACACGTGAATTACGAGTTTGGCAAGTTGCTGTCCATGTAGAATTCTAGATTGATATGACTTCCTCTACATTTCCTGTCAACAGAATACATGTTTTTCATGATTTTGTTGCTTTGGGGTTGGAGAGTGCAAACAAAAGATGTTAGCCCCTTCCTCATTTGCATAAATTGACAGTTTAACACAGCATATAATGTAATTTAAGCAGATAATGAACAAGGTTTGAGATTTTGAAGTTTAAAAAAAAAAAAAAAAACCCACACCGCCATTTCATGATTTAGTGTAAAACCTGTTCTTTTAACTATCCACTCAAATTCATATCCAGGATTGTGTCTAGTGGAACCTGATAAATACAACTCAAGAATATGTTTTGATGACAGTAATACAATGACCACAGGATCACTTCTCTGTCTCCTGTGCCCAGAAAGAATAATTTTTTTCCGTATAACAACCATCGGGTTTCATCTTCAACCACTTGCTGCCTCTTCAAGAAGAGAATACTTTTCAAGGATTGTAACAGTTTCTTCCTTGGCACTGGAAATACATGGGAAAACATATATATGTAAATCCGTCTAGGCCTAGAAATTTGGCAATAACAACTTTAAATGGTAAGAATGAATGAATGAATGAATATATGATGAAACATATATTATATGTTAAAGGCAGTTCCTTGAAGTGGAATTATATTCTTCATAAGCCAAAGTTATGTTGAGCATTCACTAACATTACAATAAGATTATGAAAGTGTTTGACTCAATTATATCCTTACCTTCCAGGTCTAAGAATCCTGTACTTTCCAGGCTTCGTAAGGTCCACAACTGTTGATCCTGCACGACCTGCCGGAAGCACACCACCATCATAAACATATGTGCAGTGTTCCCACAGGCTCTCAAAATCCTTGATGCTCACACTACTTGGCTGTCCACTTAGGTTAGCACTTGTAAGAGCCAGTGCACCTTCTGCACCACGGGAAATAATCCTAATGAAGTCAGAGTCAGGCACTCGCACTCCTATACTATCTAATCCTGGGTTCAAGGACTTCTCAAGGATGCTTGATTCACCTGAAAAACATAAACCACAATTATATTTTAGCCACAAACATCTTATGTTTGAGTTTGACAACCACAGTGATAAACTGATAGGTGGCAACTAATTCCTTCTTTTTTCGTCAGCAAAAACACAAACCTCGCCCTAGTATAACAGTAACAGGTCCTGGCAGGAGAGAATCGAGTAAGCCATCAGGTAAATGGTCTGTGATAGCAAAGCGCTTTATGTTGGGCACATCACCAACACAGATCGCAAGAGGACTGGTATGCTTGCGGCCTTTGATCTCATAAATCCTATTTACTGCTTCTGAAGAACTGCATGAGTGTTCCCATTAAAGGAAGTAGTAAAACTCTAGATGAAGCAAAATAAAGTTTGCTGATATTTAAAGGCTGAGTAATCATTCCAAACCATTCAGTAGAAATAAATTATTTAACACAATGATAAAATAATGGAAGACATTTAGTGGAAATTTTAGAACAACCTTTCATGGTCTTGATGCTCATATTGTGAAATCATTGAACAATGATTCTGATATAACAATTTCATTGAGAACAGATTCTCCAAGAAAGTTTAGATAAATTCCAGTAACTCCAGAGAACAATATGAACTCTAAAAGTATAACTTTGCTTTCTCAAATGATTAAGTTTTCACCCACTAATAGCTGAAATTCTCAATTCATAAAACTCGACGTTCATATTTTGTGCTTTTAATCCGTTTTATTTGTATTCATCCAAGGATAACTCTTCAGAAAACACTAAGCTAAAAACAAAAAGGAAGAAAGAATAACTATTCTCCTCACTCCATACCTCTGTTTCCCTTTCTCTCCTTCAACCATAAGATTGATCTGAGCAATTTAGCTACTTAGCTCCCTATTTTCTCTCCTATTGATCACCCAATATAGCATAAAAGCTGGCTTAAGAAGTTAAAAGTTTGAATTAATAAATTAATTCTTGCCTTTAACTCCAGCACAAAAAAACATATGTATCCTTCACTCGACCATTTCCTTCCTTTACGTAGTTGGAATTGCAAATTATCGAATAGCTAAAAGCACAGAAAAGAAGAAGTATAGCTAACAAGTCACATTTACATTTTACACATTTTTTGCATCTAAGAAACGAGGGAAAGTAGATGAAGCAGGCAGATACCAAGCATCACAAGCAAATCCATAAAGTGTATCGGTGGGCACTGCAATAACTTTCCCAACTTTGAGAGCTTCAATGGCTTCATCAGCATAGAATTCTGTAGCAGGGTGAACCAACCCCAACTTGCTTTCAACACCCACCTCGTATTTTTCCACATTCGTAGCCATTTTCTTCAAAAAACCACTTTGAAATCTCCTCTTTTGACGTAAAAATGGCAGAAACCCCAACTTGGGCACCCCTAAAAGATATCATCCAACGCTTTAAGATGCCTTTTTAAGCTCAAAAATGAAACAGCGACATGAACAAAAGGAATAGGAAAAACATTATATAAGAAACACTAAAAACCAAGAGAACTTTAACCGGGGTGTCATACTCAGCCTACATTCAGCAAAAAATGGAACCTTTACAGGAAAAAAGAAAAAAAATTGCAGTCCCAAATCATCCATTTTCAGAACCCACCAATGGTTCTATTCAAAGAAGCCCCTTAATTAAAAATAAAATCAATCAAATGTCACTTTACACAGAAAAATACTGAAAAAAAATGGGGGGGGGGGGAAGAGAGAAAATAAGGAAGAGACTAACGATTAAGTTGTGGATTAAAGAGCACCTCGGAGAGGAACACGAGTGCTGAAAAGAGGCAGCTTTACTGCAAATCTTGTGGAAAGGTTCATAATTTTGCAGGAGAATTGTTCTGCTTAGAGTTCCTGTTCCTTTGTAAGTACAAAGTGTTCAGTTCTGTTCTGTAATCTGGAGTTTATGTCCGAACGTTATGCGACACTGCACACCAATATGCCCTAGTCAACGGAAAAACATCACGTGCTAATCACATGATTGAAATGACTCAAAACTTCTAAGCTCTAATTAAGCACGAAAGAGTAATTAAAACAAATTTAATCAAGGCATAATCAACAATGCAAGTACTTTAATTCCATGGGATAATCTTTTAGTTGATATATTTCATAGAAGTATTTAAAATTTTTATTTAAAATTTCAAATATTAATTTTATTTTATTTATAAATTTTTTATAATTATAAATTTATGACTTACGTTTATAAATTATTTATTTTACATTTATTATTTATTATATCGTTTCAACACCATCGATCAAGAGTTTTTATGCATCTTACATCTTTAATGATATAAATAAAAAACTTTTAGAACATTACATTTTTATGAAATTATTAACCTATTATTTATTTGTTTTTCATTATTTTGTTGGTGAAAGATAAACTCTTAATAGTGCATTTAACAGCCTTGGAGAAGAAGAAACTGCATTAAAACAGTGCAAAATTGCAAATATGTATTCATTTTATACCCTTTTGCAAACACATTACAACCTAATTCATTGAAATCTCTTGGAAGATAAACCTCAGAAACTTACATTAATTTGCAGGGTAGTTGGTATGTGGTTTTTGAATCTTCTTTTTCATTTGGTCTAAATGGTGGAATGTATGAGAGCCTATAGGGTTTATATTACAGAAGCAACAATGCTTCATCTTCAAGTAAATTACAAATGCAGTGTGGGAGCCTCAATGTTGTGCTCTTAAGTAAGAAACCAAATCAGCTCCCACCAAAGTTTCTGCATTCTGCCGGTTTACATTAGGACCTCTCCTAGGTGAATTAACAGCTCTAGGAGATTGGACTGGTGGTCGAGTCATCACTTGCAAACTATGCTGCTGCTGCTGCTGCTGCTGCTGCTGCTCTGACCAAGCACGCCATCTTCTTCTCCATCGCAGGATCTCAACGATGATAGAACTCCCACTCATTGCAACACCCAATCCAGAAAATGTTGCAAGGAGAACTGATAGAATTGCTTGTACTTTCACCTGCATGCCACAAACCATTAAAAGTGAATTGATTCTATTCAACCTTGTTTTACACAAATTTTATGTTTATAATGTCCATAATTGATTTTGGTACAAGAATAAAGCTAGAGTATAGACCCAATGTGTGGCTTGATAACCAGTGCATTGATATTTCGCAACGAGGAAAGTTTGCAAGCATTAGCACTAGCACTGATTGGGAATGCACAAATCAAGGCAAGATGATACTAACTTGTCTGGTTGGTTGGTGAAACACTTCCACAAGCCTGACAATTCACAGCTTGTAGTGTCCTTTATCTAATTAAATTACCAATGGAATTATCATGCTGAATAGAGTCACATATAATCATCAATCCAGGATGCAAAAATTCATTCCCAACCCTTTACAACCTTACTGAAAAAATTGACTTTTTGAATCAGCACTGCAAGGAAAAGGATGCTAAAAGGTAGAGAGAACCACTTACCAACGAATAAAATATATGAGCAAAAATAACCACCAAAGCAAATTGAATTGATGCATAAACCCAGACAAATCTTCGCTTCACTGAATACAAAGATTCAAGAGGTTTAAGTCAGAAAATATTATCAACATTTGGCTTTCCTGTAAAATTTCAGAGTTGTGACTGTCATCAGTATACCAGTATTTTCCAGCCTAGTCTACAATGGTTTCCTCTTATCCACTGCAAGTGTCTGCTGTGTGTGTAAGCATGCATGTGCATGAAATTGGAGTCTGGCATCTAACCTAAAAATATAATGATGAAATCTAAAATGCTGCTAATAAATAATAACTTAGATCAATTTATGGTGATTATATTCCTGTTTCAGGTGAACAGACATGATATATCCCCCCCCCCCCCAACAGAAAAAGAAAAAAGGAAATAGAAAATAACGTAAAAACATGTTAAACAGATATTGAAAATCTTGAAAATATTAATTATACAGCTCAAGGGTGTTTGCCAGCCTACCCATGGTTGACGAAGTCATAGATGCAAGGAGGCCTAACACACAAGAAAATGGAAGAGATATAGCAATTGCTCCAGTACCCATTTTTCCAACCTACAGGTAAACAAATATATATAGATAGATCTCAAATATACAAAGTAGTAAAACAGGGAAAATCTGAATGAGAAACCACTTAGCCTACCAGAAGCTGCTCAAGAAAACAAAAATATGCAAGCATGCTGACGATAACAAGAACAGGGACCTCCTGCCAAATCCTGCAAAAATCAAACCAATAAGCTCAGAATATAGAAAAATAACAAAACATGGAGATAACATAGAACAAGATAGAGCACTTCTGTAATTCAGTTTTTACACACTATTTAGCAGGGATAATAGTTGGATGAACTAAAGCCAGGCATCATTGCCCTTGGAAGCCAAAGACATAACATACAAACATCAACCAATAGCACATGAAAACTCCTGTTCCAAAATAAACAATTTACAACAAGGGAACAGAAGAAGGGCATATTGAATAGAGAAAGACATTGCAAGTCCATAAGACATCCTTCCTCATGATAAATTCTATAATGAAACATGCTAGATTTCATCTTGCATTACTTGTGTGTGTTACATCTTTTCTTTTTCTACCATTGAAGATAACTTCAAACATGGGAGAAGCAAACACACAGAATCTTGCAGGTTGGAAACAAACAGCTACACATGATCCCATATTTTTATTTGTATCCTACAAGTTTTCAGCAATCATAGGTATATAATGCCATCCATTAGGAGAAAAACCAGTGAGTCAGTAACAAATTATTTTTACCTGTATGCATGAACATCAGCCTGAAGAGCTCTGCTTGTTCCACCATTTCTAGCTCGTATACTTTGGATTCGTAAAAGAGTGACAGGTAGGTTCTGAACCTCTTGCTTGCACACATCACATGTCTTGTTGCCTTTGATGGTAAACCATTTCACAGCACAGTCTTTGTGGGCCAAAGCAAGATCGCCTTTGCAGCTGCATTCCATCTTAAGTGTTTCACCTCCTTCACATAGTTCAACCAGACAAATTCTACAAACAGCCTCTTCTTCAGGTATGTCCTCACCATCAGGGTCACTGTTTTCTAAATAATAAGACTTTGATAAGACATTGGCTTGTAATAATTGGCTAAGAGATTCCACTGATGTAGGATGCAATTATCATAGAAAGGAAAAGGATTACTGACAAACACAAACGGCTGAAAATCTTTAAATGCTTTATTTTTCTGCTAAATACATGGATAGCTGAAAGCTTCTAGTCTAATGTTAAAGTGTTCTCATAATTTAAGATTTCATTTCTGATACCTATCTCATCTTGGAAACCAAAAGGACTTTTGAGGAAAAGGAATTGACAACAAATTTTCAGATGCTATCAAGTTTATATGGATTAAAATGAAATGACAACTTCAAAATCTATGGTCTGTTATATAGTTGTGCTAATAAACATAGGCATACATACACACACACACACACACACATATATATATATACATGCATAAATGAATGATTAAAGACAATGAAATACCAGCATCAGGTCCCACAGAAGCACTTGAACTTATTTCTCCTTCCTTTACTCGTGGGGTTGAGGGAACCACTCGAAAAAATGAATCCATTCTCCTTAATTTTCCTTCTTTGTTGTTTACAGGAACTGAAAGTGAGCGAGATATCTGCAGCATGCCTCCTTTTCTCTGCAAAGGAACTAACAACTTGAAACAACAGACATTTAAAATCCTTTTACGGAAATGACTAACTTCAGAAAGGAGAAATCTGTTTATCGGGAAATATTTATAAAAAGTAAGTTCTACTTCACATTAATACAGACAGTTTCAGATGCTCTTTATTTAACATTAAGACATCACTTGAACAGGTCAAAAGATTATATATATGTTACATCACACATGAGTTCTAGCAACTAACTACCATGCCCCTAAGCATTAAAGTGAGAACCGAGAACCCAAATAGGTCAATCCAAGTAGATACACTCCAAATGTTCACCGTGCTCATTGCTAGAATAGAAAATTCAGATCCAATAAAATATACACACAATCATGAAAAAATATCACAAAACTTACACTAGAATTTACAGAGCCATCTACGCTTCCAACGCTTGCAGATTCCGGGTTTGAACTTGCAATAGGAGTTACAGGCAGTGATGATGTCCTTTTTATCCGAGGAGTAAATATCTTTGTAAGTGACAATGTCCTCGAGATGGAGGGCTTCTCTCTTAGTGAAGTGGAAGAAGATTCTGGAGCAAAGTTTGCAGCCTTTTCGATATCCGAATTAATACTTCTATGCTTGAAGCTTAGTTTTGGTATGAGACTCTTCAAGGATGATTTGCCTTTAGATGAGGAGGGACCTGGGGACCCACTAATTCTTGCATCAGATGGACTAGGAGTCAAGAGAAAATTCACTTTTCTGGGAGTCAGACTAGGTGTTGGAGGCATCTTTATTATGACAGACTCTTGAGAAGAGTCTTCCAAAGTTCTAGAGGGTATCTCTAGAAAGAGATTGCTTCGCTTCCAATGATGAGCATGAATCGTTTCCTCAGTTATTCCAGTTGAATCTTCAACCTGAAAAACAAACAATAACAATTTATCATTATACAAGAAAATATACAAAGATGAACTGCCCTTGACAGTTGCTTTTAGTAATTAAAACTAGCTAACCATTTTTATTCCAAGTGTTTCAATAAACAAAAATTATTACAAAAATGAAGCTTTGAAGAAAACACTAAAAGTACTATAGATTTTAATGCAAAGTGAGGTAGACACATAGACTAGCTCTGTGGTATAGATTCTCTGACTCACAGAAACAAAAAGTAGAATTCTTTGAAAATAATTCATTCCTTTTTAGGTAATTGAACTTAAAATCTCTATACAAACTTTCATACTCCAACACAAGCTATGCCCCAAGGGGATAATGTACCAAGAGAAACTACTTCCAAACCAAAGATAACCGAGTGATTCAGCCCATGTTTAACTACTATTCTAGGATTAATTGTGAAATTCCAAATTCGCCAGTACAATTATTCCCCTTAAACATTAGAAAGATCAGCAACACGGTTCAAGTCCACCAGACTGAAGTTGAATTAATTTCTGGTCCATTTTCCTCAAAAAAACAAATAGCCATGGGAAAAGGCCTAAATCGAAATCTTACATGAAGTAAGCATGCATGATCTGCACCTAAGCTGAATTAGAACAGTTGATTTATAGCACTATACCACATATCCAGCTATGAAATCTCAAAGTAAACGCATGCAGCGGGTTCTGAACTTATTTTGTCGTGAAATTCGACTGTATTCAGAGAAAATTACAATTAAAGCATAGCTCAGCTGGCATATATAGGCCAAAAGATCCAAAAACGAATTAAAAACTAAAAAGTTGTCCGAAGCGATGCAGAGCCTTTTAAGAAAGAACTGAACGAGTTAAAATCCTCAGTTGCAGAAACCCATCTTGTTCAAACAGAAAATAATTCAAAACAATTATTTGTAGAGCATAAAAAACCACAATTGGAGCTAGCCATGAAAATTCTCTTCAAGGTCTCAAAACCTTTGCCATGAAGCTAAATTCTCTACAGTAATAATAGTACTCGGCCAAAACATAAAAGAAACAAAGAAAAAAGGATAAAAATGAAAAATTAAATAATACAGAACTCAAAAGGCAGAAACAAGAAGCTAGAAAATACCTGTTGAACAGGAACAGCATCTCTTCCTTGGCTTGCAGCACCTCCAACATCATGTTCCTCAATCACAGTTTTCTCTTCAGATTCCATTTTTCATGAACAAAATCAAAGAAATCCCACCAATAACTAATAATAACCCAAAATTAACAGGCTCAGAAACCAAAAAAAAAAAAAAAATCTTTGCAGCCTTAAAAGAGATACAAACAAAGGAAAGAAAGATGAAGATCAAAAGAAGAGTTGTTGTAGGCTCGTGGGTTTATCCCGAAAAGTGTGGGAGGTGAAGAAGTTGAGTAAATAGGGAGTTAGGCACAATGTTTCTCATTTAAGGCAAAAGGTTACGGGAAATATGGCCTACTTACTGACACAATCTCTCCCCACTGTACTCTCCTGACTTCAGTCCACACCAACATCAAACAAATGTCTGGAGTTACACTTTCACTTCTTTATTGTCTGATCCCTTACACCCCAGTGCATGAGGACGAGACCCCATTTTTTCTTCTTGGCTCAATTGTTAAATCTGCAACCATTGCTCCTTTTTTTCTTCTTGTTCTGTTAAAAGCAGCTGAGCCCGATCAACGTCTTAATAAATGTTACGTGTTGTTCTTGGCTTTTCAGGGTTTCCTATGTGTCAAGTCTCTCTCAAGCTCACTTTTTCTCGTGAGAATTTAGCTATGAAAAGAATTTCTCATACCAAACCTAGGAGAAACTTGTTGGTATTAATAATGACTATTTATTGGAAATTTGTAAGGTTTAAATTTAATGCAATTTGTTAGCCTATCTAAGGATTACTTAGACAGTAAATGAGATTAATTTTTTGGGATTGAAAATTATAATGATAAAATTAATTATTATACTAATAAAATTAAATATTATAATATATAATTAAAATAATTTATAAAAATATATGTTTAAATGTTAATGCAACAATAAAGATAAAATTAAATCAACTGTTATAACATAAAATTCTCCTTTATTTCAATTTTATATTAAACAGTTCACCGAGCTTTGAGGTCCAGTAATGAAATCCAAATGACCTAAAAATTTCAGATTGAGCGGTTTGAACTTTGAATAATTGTTATTTGTAAAGAGAAAAGATTGGACGGCTAAAGTTAAGAGATTGTTGGGGCATCGGAAGATAAGGAGTGAAAGATGTGAACTTCATTTACGGCCAAGCATGCATGCCGCCCTAATTTATTGAGAGATTCTTAATTATGACAAACCCTAAATTATCAAATAAAAACATATTCCATATTATTTGTGTCTGCCTTTAAGGATTTATAATGTGAATTTTGGAAAACTAGATCGTCTAATGATTTTTTTTTGTTTGTTTTCGTTAGTAATGGCAATTAAAAAATTAAGGGGAAAATCTCTTCTTCTTTTTTTTTCCTTCTTCCTTCTGAATCTTATGGTACCAATATTTATTAAGGGTTTAATTATTAAAATGATAAGAATGATGCTGTAGCTTTGATTTACATTGAATAATTCATAGTGTTGGTGGTCATATCCTTAGGAAAGCAGCAAAGTAAGCAACGTTGGTCCACTCCTGCATTCTGACAATCCCTCTTTCCTTTTTTCTTTTTTTTTTTCATTACAGCAGCTTTTATTTGAACTGAGACATGAGTAACATATTAATAATTGGATTTCATCTCATCTCACGAGAAAATCACCAAGCTTTGAATATTCTTAACATATTTATTTCATGTTAAATACATATAAAATATAAAAATATAATATTATAATTTTAATGAGATTTAATTTAAATGTAAAGGGTATTAATTTTATATTACCTGTATATTTTATTCTCTTCAGCCCAAGTAGAAAGGGCCTATATCCTGTCATTCTGTCAAGATTCTGGCAAGAAAACTCAAATTTTGAATGGTTTAAGATTATTTAGAATAGTCTGAAGATGAATCTTTTGCGCTTGGCCACTACATTTTTTACAGAAACCCAACCTTTGCTTTTTGTCTTTTTGGTTGCTTTTCCTTTTAGAAGAGAACTTCTAGGAAAGCAGGTGCAGTTGATCTCATCTTCATGTCCTAAAAGCATTGGAATCTGTAACAGTCAAAATGGTTCTGTCTTTGTCTTTGTGGCGCTTGCTTTATTCAAAAACACGTATACTTTTTTGTCAATATGGTCACTACTGTTTCATGCTCATTCCTTAAACTTTAGTAATTAAATTCTATCTAACCAGACACTAATCCACACCTATTTGGGCATAAATGATGTCAGAAGTTGGCAATTTGACAAGGTTTGGCAGAGGTTGAATTCATGATTGATCGTACAGGTTGGATTCATGTTAGAGTTGGCAATTTGACAGGTTTTAGCATAATTTCCCATAAAGCTCGATTCCAATAGCATTCAAAAAAAAAACGAGACATGGCTTCACCCTTGGATCCAAAAACACAGAAACTATCAACCAGCTCAATTCCTCTATTCAAAAGATTTGATCTTACTGGTATTATGTCCCAAGCCACCCTCCACAAAAACACCTTGATCTCTGGTCATATATTAACTTCCCACTGCAGAGACCATAAAGCTTCCCCACTCGTAAAGTTCAAATCATTAGTTATTTAGGTTAATTAGGTTGATATTCAAAGTTACCAGAATTAAAATCTAATCATTAAAATTAAAAGTTTAATATTCTATTAATATCCTCACACTTTAATTTAAAAATCAAATACTGTACCATGGTAAAAAAGGGTGTAATTTTTTCTTTTTTTGCTTTTGAGCTGACCAGAGTATTAGTGGAAGACTGCAGGCGAGTGTAGTGACGAGAAAGACTGTTCCAAAAACGGTGGGGGAGAAGATAATATGTGGATAAAATAATTAATGTCGCTTTGAAGATTATAAAAAATCCAGGGGTAGAAATGGAGGGACCCCAAAAGGGTGGAAATTGACGAAGTGGACAAAGACTTTTAGAGCTTTCATGGTTGCTAAGTGCTTAACTGTTGAAAGAAAATAATGCATCTGACAAAAGGAAACCCACCACTAGGAGTTTTATAATGACTTTATCCGTTGTACTTATGCCTGACGAATGACGATGAAAACATTAATTTGACCCCAATAAGACGACATGATTCATACCATTTTCTACACGTCAAAATGTGTTGGGATTTCAGTTCTGTTTTATTCATTTATGCAAATATATCCAAATCATATGTAATAGTCAAAGAAAGATCGAATTCTCGAGAGAGTTTGGTAGAAGAGAGGGATTTGAATACTAAAAAAAGGTGTAACTGCCAGCCTGTGAGAGGAGGGTTGAAAAGAATAAGAACCATGAATGAAAAGCAGAGAAAAGGCTGGTGTGGACCTCAAACGATCTCACCAAAGGTGAGTTGGGACTTGGGATTGAATGAATTAGGTCTTCCATTGTTGCGTTAGGCATGCATGAAAGATTTTTTATGGTAACATAAACCTAACAAAACCAACCAGTCCTTGTAGTGGGCATATGCACGAAATGGCTAATGAGATTCTAACTATAACAAAGGAGCTTTAATTTTCCTATCTGTTCAGGGTAAAAACCATGAAACAAAAGTAAAAACAGAGAAGAAACTACTGCATAAAGATAAATAAAGGCAAGAACATGTTCATTGGGTTGGATGGGATGGGACTTGGGAAGGGAAATATGGAGAAAGAAAGGCTAGGGTAAATCTCGGCAATAAGGCTGGGGCATCTGTGCCACTACTGTATATCCCACGAGACCCGTCATCGGTCATCCACGCAATTCTTACTATTCATAGTGGAGACAAGTCCATCTTAATTATCCTATAGAGGTCCACTAATTTCCTTAGTGCGACTCTGGCAAAATTTTCAAGCTCTTCAGAGTAGAGATAACAAACGAGTGGACCCAATCACCCATTTGTGATAGCAACTTACAGAAGCGAAGACGAGTTGTCTTATTGATAGGTTGGATCATGGGCTCAAACTTCAAATTTTGCAGAAGGGTCAGCCAAGAATTGATGTAGCATATATATAAAATAGCCCAAAGCGGGATACCCCAATATCATGTCTCAGCAAGTCAACTAAATGGAGATAGAAAAAGTGGAGGGCAGTTCACCCTCGTCGGGGAAATTTCACTACGAAATTTAAAATATAAATACAACAGTTATGCAAAAGTTTTAATGCTAACAAGAAAGGAAACAACTTTGAGCTTCAAAATTTCTGTTGGTAGACTTATCTTCTGCACTATATTCATGTTTGACTTGATATAAAGTTATATAATCACCAAACAGAGTAGGCCACATTATCTCTCCAAGAGCATCACCATTTCACAGTGTGGAGTATGCGGGAAAAGATCAACAGCCATGGCTTTTACAGGTCGGAAAGGCTCTGAAACAGGCATCGACTTGGCTCGTTGCCTTGCTAAACCAGCACTACTCATGTTCCTCCATCCCCGATTGTCTTTCTTCCCCTTTTCAACTTTCTCAGGAGATGGTGTGCAGAGCTCAATGGCATTTGCCACTAAGCTTTCAGGATTGCAGGAAATATACCTAGGAACAGAAAGAAGGTTGAATTCAGGCTGAGGAGAGAGGCGACGGAACAAACAAAGCAAGGATACAAAAAGCTCAAAATGGGAACTTACACAAGACAACGTAGACGTGCATGAGTTCTTAAAGCTTTGATCACCTGCATTTTCAGAAAACATCAAAATGGTAAGCAGTTTTTGTTTTGTTTAGTACACAGATGAGGTCCAAGATTCTAAGATAAGATGGATATGCATTTAAATGAAACCTTTAATTTTCTAAAAGCATATACGTTTTGCACAAATAAACTGCAGACAGAAGAACAACATCTAAAATTAAAGCCAACTACTTGGAAGAAGGATTAGGGAAATGTTGAATTTGGGTCAACATCACTTCCAGAGGGAACTTCCAAAGTATAGGTCCACAATCTTCGAAATAACTGCTACTTGATGGGGATCAAATTTAAACTAGGCAACAATGAAGTCAACAATGAACTACATGTCATATTCATAAAGCTTAAAGGAATTGCAACATAGACAACCGCCGGTATATCAAGAGTGAAATAATACTTACAGTGGGATGAAGTCCCATACGTGGAGGATCAACAATAGCAATGACATTTTTGAATAGCTGCACTGAAGAGTTTCCATCTTTTGGAGTGGAACTCTCCTGAAGTTGATTTTGGATCTCTTTTCCATCATTTTCTGAATAACAGTTTTCAGGCTCTTGGCATGAGCTCTCTCCATCATTATGTGCACTGGTTGCGTATGCATCTTTCTCTTCACAGTTAACTATTCCTTTGTCACTACTTTCTAAGGCACTTGAAAGTTGACCTTGTTTCTCAGACACGATTAGGTACTCCTTCAACAGAGAGCCTATTACATCCTCAGCCTGTTCCTCATAAGACAGCAAAGAGGAAAATAACCCCAAATGAAATGCTGTTTGTAAAAGTATAACAATAGAACTCTGCCCCCACCCCCAAACCCAAAATAAGAGAACCAAGGATGCAAGCAGGCAAATTAAACCTTTGAACAGATGAATCTACAATTCTTTATCCCATTAATCTCGGCATTCTTATGAGCATCTTGAACTGCAGAAGCATTCATTTCAATGCCAATAACCTGCAGATTTCATTGCAAAACAAGTTCAATTGTTAAAAAGGAGAGAATCTGCTATTTCATATACAAAGTAACTGAAAACATTATCATTTAATTTAATACTTCACAATAACAACATCAAAAAGCCTCGAAGTTTGTCATTTTTTATGTTGTTATCCAATATGGTGCTCAAACTATGTCATATAACTCAAGACTAGAGTCTAGATCATGTATGAGACAATAAACAAGAGGAAGGAAAGGAAATGGATAGTGTTATTACCATACCAACACGATGAGCTAATGTAAGGCCAATTGTTCCGGTCCCACAGCATATATCAAACAGCAAGGTATCAGAACCCAAACCAGCCCACTCGCCAGCAAGTGAATATAATTTCTCTGCAGCTAGGGTATTGACCTGCAACAGCGTTGCCATTGCAAATTATCCAGAATTACCATAAAAATGCTTCAACTGAAACAGATATCCATAGAGGCTCAAGGTCCTAACCTGAAAAAATGCTGTTGGAGATATAGAGAACTGAAGATTGCTTATACAATCATGAATTCTTGCTTCTACAACATTATTGGTTGTCTCCAGCTCAAGAACACTTTCTGCCTTCAGGATGGGTATTGAACGCAATGGAGCATCAGCTGGTGCCACGTTTGATATTCCTTGATGATCCTGGATGAAAACAAAGACCACAAAGTCAATGAGAAAAAAAAACAATTAGATGAAGAGACAACATATGCCACTGCCACCTGGCTTAGCTCATGCAACTGCAAGGGTAGAGATATAGTTCAAGCATAGTGCCCTTGTTCCCAGAAAGAGAAAAGAATTATGATGGAACACAAATTATATAATGATTTAGCTAAATACAACCAAATTATGATGGAAAAAGTACCTGAACAATAAAAGCTGTTAGAGGCAGAGTAGGAGAATTTGCAGCAGCACCTGCTGCAAATGCTTGAGCCAGCCTCTCGAACTCACTGGTTATTTGTGCATCACCAAACCCAACAGAACAAACCTATGTGATCAGTGTATAAGAAACAAGTTAGCAGATATGTATACATTTCTCTAAGGTGGTATATTAGTCATTTAACCCGATCCATGAAGAAAAACTGTCTACACACCCAAGTGAAAAAATTTCCCAGCTTAAGGCAAAATTATTTTCTCTATTTATTCTTAATCAGCACACGATATGGCTAAAAAGATAACATGAACAATGAGAATAGAGCTTTCAGAATAGACACAAACCTGAACAATGAGCATGACCTCTGAAATATTGGCCTCAAGATTTTCGTCCACAGCCTTCCCAGCTGATCTTCCTTCTCGCACCTTGTAAATTGAAATAGAATTTGAACAGAAGATTCAACGGACTTTACCAACAAATGAAGTTTAGCGCATTGGAACAAAAGACGGCGATAGTCTCTAGATTGGTAAAATTTGTTATGCTCAAAGCTATTGGCAAAAGGACATACAGTTAACTGACGCCAGAATCCTGTATTTTTAAATCTGTTCCAAATTGGTAAGCTTGAATGTTGCAGAAATTCCTGCAAGATTGAAGCATATTTGCAAGCAATTTTCGAAACATTTGGGCAGTCCACAGGCTCTTCAACCGCTGTCACACCCTCCCTGAAAGGATTCGTCTTTAGAGGCACAACTCCAATGCCCAAGTTTCCAAACAGGTTAAAAGTTTTACCTAAAATTTCCAAGCATGAACCCCACAGTCGGTTTGCCCTGTTGAGAATATCCAATAGAAAACTCACACTTGTTGCGGTATCCATTTACAACTGGAGATTCAATTATGCCTTCTAGTTCACATGGAAGACCACCTATACAAGTGGGGATTTAAAAAAAAAAAAGGCCATAAGTGACCCTACTATTCTCATTTTGAATTTAAAGAAGTGATGAACAAGTATTATCCAACTGCAAATTCAAATTATTTTACTTTTACATATAAGTCCAACGTGAGGATCACTTTTGGAAGAGTAAAAGGTGAAACAAACCTCTTTCCCTAGACTTAAGAACCCATTCAGGAAGTGAAACACCATTAGGACAAGCTTTACGCGCATTTCTAGTCTGCCAAATAATTAATAACAGTGAGTCTGATAAAGATTGAAAATGCAAATTACGATAGCAAAAACAGAACAGAAGAAAAGTGTTTCTAACAAGTTTTTTGAGCATTTGCTTGACAGAATTCTTCTTATGCTCCAACTGATCACCGTAAGGCATATGTGCAAGGGGAGTGACAGCATCACGGGCATTTTTTGCCTTTGAGGCTGAATCATCCAGTGCAGAACCATCATCATTTGAAGCACCATCTTCAATTCCATTTGAAGCAATAGAGACACCAGCATTCTCCTTAACTGATGCATCTTCCATATTTTGTTGGAAGCTCAGAGGCGCAGCCATTGCTGATTTGACTTTCCTCTCAAATGATCGAGGAATGATATTTGCAACCTTTAAATTCTTGTTGCCAAAAGATTTTCCTTCCAGCTCCTTTCACATTGAAGATATTTAACATACCAGTCAGAAAATTCATAGAATGTGTATGGATCACTGATTTTGTATATAACAGAAACATGGGATACCTCAACTGCACTTGTCAATTGTTCAGCACTTTCAAAACTCACAAAACCGACCACCATGCCTTTCTTTTTCTTTGCAGATTTAAAAGGAATTCCCTGGAAAAAGAAAATAATTCATATGAGAAAGTATAGAACTTAGAATAGCAAACATACTTTTGTTTGAAACCGAAAAAGACTAAAGTAAACTCAGTATATGAATGTGAAGACTTAAACCTATAACACACTTACTTGATCACTAAGAAACTTCCTCAAATTATCCGAATGCCACTTCCTTGGCAAATGCACCAAGCATTTACTCAATTGAGGGTCTCCACACTCTTCACCACCTTCAGCATCCTCCCCATCCATAACCATCTCCGTCATCATAACCTCCTTCTCCTCCTCTTCTTCCTTCGCCGCCAACTTCTCCCCATTCTCTCCCTTCATCGCCTTCTTTGCCCTCTCCGAAGTCGGGTCCCACGTGTTATCCGGCCGTGGCCGGAGCTCTTCCTCGCCGTGCGCGTACCTGCACGTGCTGCCATGGCTGCAGGACCCATCTTGCCGTCTGAAGTAAGAGCAAAGGCTGGTTTTCCATAGAGGGTTGGGGGCCGGGTTCTGGGTCGGGTCTTGGTCCTCCTCCCGCTTTCGTTTCTCTCCAGGATTGGTGTCGGCCGTTGATTGGCGATCGGACGGCAGGATTGCTTCATGAAGAGGTTGGGGATCTTCTGGGATTGAATCTTGGCCATTGGTTTGGGAGTTTTGGACGGCGGAATCTAGTGTTTTAGTCTCAGAAAGTTCGTCATTTGGAGAAGCCGCCATTTTTTGTAACTTAGGAGTCACCGGTAACTAGGTTAAGTTCACTTCAGTTTTGTAAGCGACGAACGTGTCTTGCCTTTTGCTCGGGGTAGTTAGTTCACTTCTGGTCTTTTAGATTCTTTCTGTTTTTTCGTAATTTTTTCTTTGCTTAGTCACCATTTGAATTTCACCGATTTAAATATCAATTTTAATGACTACAAATTAATATAAAATTTTCATTAAAATTTTTAATCACAATTATAATAATTTTTTCAATAGTAATTATAATAATAATTATTATTAATTTTAATTTAATCATAAATTAAATTCAAATATTAATTTTAAAAAAATTAAATTAACATAAATTTTTTATTAAAATTTTTTGAATTGTAACTACAATAATTTTTTTAATTATAATTATAATTATAATTATTATTTTTAATATCATCACAACTAATTTTATTATCTGTCCAAATAAAACTTTAAAATAAAAAAAATCAGAATAAAAAAAAATCTTTTAAAATTGTATAATTATTATTTTTTAAACAATATTGCGTAATTTTATTAGATTTTTGTAGCTTGTGTACTTCATATTATTACACTTTTAAGAAAATATAAAATCATATTATTTAAAATTACATAAATTTGATAAAAATAAAATTTTTTTTTTTACAAATTAACATAATTATAACAATAATTTTTATATTTTACAGATATTAAATATAAAATAAATAAATACAATACAATACAAAATTTATGTATATTCAACAAAAACTCAAACCTATATTTAAAAAAAAAAAAAAAAACTCTAAAGCATGATTGTATTAATTAAAATGTAAATAGAAGTGCGGCATATCTCTAAAAGAATCGTTTTGAAATTATTTTTAATCAGACACAAAACAAGAAAAACACGAGGAAAAAGGTTGTACTGTACTGTATGTAAAAAAATCGTTTCAAAAAATTGGGAGACCGGTTTCAGATTGCACCAAAGGCCTGAGAAAGAGAATGGACCGTCTCTCAAATGCGTTTTCGGTGCTGGAGATTCACGTCGAAGACCATCAACCCCCTTCCGCCTCTTCTTCCACTTCCAAAACTTCAGGTCCATCTTTCAGTTTCAAACACCCAGTTACTTGCCTTTTGGGTTTGGTTTTAATTAAATTTTATTTCTTTGAATCATTTGGCCTTTGGGTTTCTCTTTTATTTACTCAAAAGTTTATTCCTTTATTGATTCTATGCACGCTTGTGGTGTTGGTGTGGAATCTTTTAATATCTAGTTTAGGGCTATAAAAAATGGTGATGAACCCACCAAAGGTTATATGCTGAAGATTGTGATTACAAGTGTTTGATTATTGAATGACATTTGCCTTTGCTACAGGTAAGAGCAAAAGCAATGGAAAGGGTTCGACAGATAAACAAGAGAATCAGAGTGAATCGAATTCGGTGTTGATCTCGGACAACTACAAGTTACCCCATTGTGTGGATTGACTTGGAAATGACTGGTAAGTAAGCAAAGTGTTATTTGTAACTAATTTAGTCACCGTAATGGTGATTATGTGATGTCAAAATGGTATGCATTTCATTTCATGTCTTGTTTATATCTGTTGCTATACAGGTTTGGATATTGAGGTTAATAGAATCTTGGAGATAGCTTGTATAATTACAGATGGCAGTCTCACTAAATCATAGGAGGTATTTATTTCTTTTCTTTTCCATTTTAGTGTCCTTGATTTCGGATAAGCATTTGATATTTTGTTAAAACAAAGCATCGTTTTTGAAGAAAGTATGATTTTGATAATTATAAATTGGTCAAAGAATTTTCTGTTTTTAATGTCATTTAACCTAATAATGCATATGCATTTTGTTGAAGTAAAAGGCCTCTTTCCTAATGCCGTATTCCTTAGTTCTAATTCAGAATATTTTCTCTTTCAGGGTCCTGATCTGGTTATCCATCAGTCAAAAGAGTGTTTAGATAGAATGGGGGAATGGTGTCAAAATCATCATGCAGCTAGTGGTATGTGGCTCAAGACAAATTGTGTTCTGATGTGTAAATTTCCATTGCAGCATCCTTCTGCTCTTTTAAAATTTTTTTTTTTATGGAATAATAGATCAGGAACCATGACTAACAACCCTAAATTATTTTAGGACTGACAAAGAAAGTGCTACAAAGTACAATTAGCGAAAGAGAAGCTGAAAAGCAGGTCAGCAAGAATTTCATCAAGTGGTTTGCTTTAATTATCTTAGTTGAATAAGAATCTCCTATTCTCCCTACATGCTATGCTTTAACTATAGGTTATAAAATTCTAGTTAGATGCATTTTTTCTTTTTTTAAAAACTTTGCAGTTATATATTTTTTTAAGTGCAGGTCATAGAATTTGTAAAAAGAAATGTTGGTACATACAAACCTCATTTAGCTGGCAATTCTGTGTACATGGATTTTCTCTTTTTGAAGGTAGTAAGTCGAGCCATATCACTTTCAGTTTAGCGTGCATGCTTTCTATTGAGAATTGAAACAAACATTGGATATTTGCTCCTTTAACCTGGTCATACAGAGTTGAGTTTGGGGGTGCTTAGATGATAATTGGGCCAGGACATAATCTATAAAATAGCAAAGGGTCAAATCTCATTAATTTTTTTTTCTTTTCCTGTGCTATTTCAAATGGCTAAGTCATCTGTGGTTCTTGCATAAACTTCCTCTTATTCTTGCTTTAATAATTTTCTGGTCAGTTCTTAAAAGGGTAATTGCATGTGCTAGAAGATGAATGTGGAGTTAGTTTCATTTAGTGGCAATTGATTATTCCGACCAATTTTATTGATGATCTTCTTGTGATCTGTTTGTACTTTTTCTTGAAGTTATGTCATAAATTATGAAATGTATGCCAGCCTAGAAAGCTTCTTTCGTTTTCGACAGACTGAGAGGCCTTTGTTCTTTTAGCATTTGTTTAGTTTCTTGTACTACTTTTCTCCTTCCATTCTATTGGCACTATTTGCACTATTTGGCCTCCTAACCAGATTTTTTGTTTTGGCAGAAATATATGCCAGATTTGGCTAGTCTTTTCTCTCATGTAATTGTTGATGTGAGCAGTGTAAGGGCTCTTTGCATTCGCTGGTATCCTAAAGGTAAATCCAGCTCTTTGCTGTAAAATTTCCATTTGATCGTGAAAATTCTGAGTAAACAAATTTCGTTGAATTGTTTGATGAATCAAACTATTGGCCTGATACCTAGATTGCTCAATTTGTTATGTGTGTGCTTCTTATCACGCCTTATAATTTTTTATTTGCATGTCCACACAAACACCTAATAGTGTACAGTGCTTAGATAATAATGGTAAATCCTAACTCTTTTTGCTGAATCATATGCTAATCTCATCATATGTCTATGGCCATAACTCATGCAGATCAAAAGAAAGCCCCTCCCAAAGAAAAGAAACACAGAGCCATGGATGATATCAGAGAGAGCATATTAGAACTCAAGTACTTCAAGGAGACGATATTTAAAGCTAAGTCCATGAAGTGAACGCCACTTGCTTTTATAGACAAATTCATACAACTGCTACTCATGGTAAGAACAGTTAGGTCATTGAACAAGTTGTTTGTAATTTTGGTACAAGAATTCTCTTATGGTTATCCCTCAATGCGCTTGTACAATATCTATTTTGTAATCAGCCTCAACATATGATGATTACTCCAAATAGGTGTGCGGCATAGAGGGCTATGTCATTTGTCTGTTGATGCAAATGTGCAATGGTTATAAGACAGAATCCTCTATTGGATAGTTACTGTCTTTCATTTTCAGTTATTTCTCATTCAACAGAATACTCGACACTAAGAGCACGTTCTAACGGAAAAGCTACAGCTAATGCTTTCATTTATAGGGATTATTCTCATTTCCAAACTAGTTTTCTTATAAGAAACCTGTACATCTCAATGCTTGCACTAATATTTTTTCCTTCTATGACCACATACGTCTTGGCAACCCACAGGTTTGAGCCCTGTTTGAAGTAAATGTAAGCTTGCTGCTAGTAGTGTGCAGTCTTGCCTCATGAGATATATGTTCTATGTCTGATTCCGAATCAACTTTTGTTTTTGCTCTTCTCCTTGGTTGGATCAAGTGTCCAGTAAAGGTTTTACCTAATTGCTTTTACACATCAACTGCCACTTCAGTTTATAAAGCTGGAGAAAAACTAGACAAAGCAAAAATAGCATAGCAGCTGCTTAACTTTCAATTGTGAGTGAGATGGCAAAATTTTCAGTATGCAAATATTTGAAGGCAAACAAATGTTTTTAAGTAAAACAAAACAAACAAAGAGAATGTTAAAGTGTCAAAGCAGATCTATAAAACACAGGTACCTTCACAAACAAATGTGAAAGTTACTTTGATTTCTTTACAGAGTGAAGTCTGGGAAAACAACTTGTTACCTTTTCAGTGGCTTATAGAGTACGACAGTCACGTATTTGGACTCAAACCTATGGGTCAATCCCAAGGAAACAACAGACTGTGATGCCCATCCTTTCTCTATGAAAAGGTGGTTTAGTACAACGTGTTGAGGCTTCGAGGATGATGCTACATCTTGGTTATCAGTACCAAGGACGGTTAGATGTAGCTGGGATGGAACTAGAGCTGGCTCCTTTGCAAAGTCTTCCTCCGTTGGAAGTGCCTGACCATAACTGGAATTTGGAGATCCTGGAGCCTCAAACTCACTTACGCTATCCAGATTTTCAGGTACATAGTCCTGCAAGAAATAGTAAGTACTAATTAGCAAATGAAGGCAGCAAAAATAGCGACAAGTATCACTGAGACCTTATTTGTGACCATGGAAAAAAAGGCAAAGTCATAAAAGCATTATTGAGATGGTTTAAACATGAGAGAAACTCTGTAACAAACATCTTTTCTATTCTTCCTTGTGTGCTCAATACAATATACCTTAAGCCTCTCTTTTTAGTTTTTACGCCACAATATATGTTAAATTTGTAAATGCGCAGTTTTGCATGCCAGCCATTCATACTACACAAGCCCAGGAAAGCACCATTACATCAAGTTAAAAAGTTGCACGATTCAAAAGTGAGAAAGAGGACATATAAGAAGATACATACATCAACGTCAAGAAGATTACAAACGTGGCCCATTTCATCAGCTACAAAAGGCAGATCAGGCGAATATCTCCATTCACCATCGACAATAAACTTGTAATGGTATATGCCAGATGGAAGGACCAAAAGAATTGAGTGGTCCTTACCAGATCTCTGCATTGTCTTCCTGCATGCAGAAAATAATACTCTATTATATGCCATCCATGCTTGGGTTTCAGACAAAAAGAGGAACAGCAGGATTTCTTATGCATTAAAATGTGAGTGTCTACAATACTAAGGAACTGAAGACCTACCTTGATCTCCAATTGTCCCACGAACCTTCCACTGCCACGTCATTACCACCATAATTCCATGTAATAATGACAGGGATTCCTTTCTCAGAAGGACTATCAGCAACCCCAGGAGAATCATGCCGCCAAATTTGGTTGAAAAAGGAATGGCCATCACCCCTTGGTAAAGGAGCTACAGGAACCTGAAAATGCACCAAAAGCAACCAACCTATCAGTTGAAAGGCCACTGCCCAGATAGACAAAACGCTTTAGTTCATACGTAAACCATCAGCACAATTCCCCTACCTCTCATTTCTTGGCAATCCAAATAACAGACCATAAACAGATGAATAAATGTCAAAATAATATTGCTATGGCCCCAATTTTTGTTTTAAAAAATATTACTATATAACCAGGACAGAAGATTAACAAATCAAAAGAAACTAATTGAAATAACATAATTTACACTATCAATTACTTGCAGGCAATGTGGATGCTCACCCCCAAAATTTAAGTGTCTAGAGCTCCATAAGAATCTACATATGAAATAAAAAACACACATTCGTAATGGGGCAACAATTCTCATGGGCAAAAACCAATGTTAAGACCAAAGGGATTGCGGATTCCAACAGTTAAGAAGGTTCTGTTCCATGTTTCCAAAAGTTGAAAACTCTTGGGGGTATTGACATTGGTTAGTCTTATCAAACACTCTTCCCTCTTCCCCCCATGTGTTCATATACGTGTTTAGTTCTCATCAATCATTACCTCAAAAGATGATAATAAAGATTTAAACATCTAAGCATCCCCCTATGAATTACATACAACATGTGCAAATACAGTAACTTTACTCAAACAAATTTAAGAAAAGCAATGAACTGAACAGATCAAAACATGTTATACTATTACATTTAAGGATCCGAAAAAGTATCGATTTTTAATCATTCCTTTTTACTTCCTAGTCACTTTTCTCTCCAAACTTGTGACAAATTCCTCAAAAAGCAACAGCCTTACACTGTCATAAAAAAAGAAAAAAAACCCTTAGTATCAACATCCCCACTCACCAGTTTTTGCAAAATTGCCCAAATTACGAGTAAAATAAACACGCCCAAAAACACTATCTTCCATGTCTCATTCCATGAAACAATTCAAAATTTTTAATTTTCCCTATCTGTCACGCAATACCAGATATTTCTTCAGTTAGTTGTTCAAATTTAGAATGAAAGCTCAGATTTTTCCTTGATTTTTCCTAATTCTAATACATTCTGAACCAAGGAAAAATCTCTTCTTTTTTTTTGAATCATTATTATTAAAAAAATGCAATTAAAATATCATTGAACAATTAAAATCTGATTGAAATTTCGAAGATGCGAACCTGAGGAGCGAACAAAAGAGGGGATCGAGACCGGCGAGGGCTCTGCGGCGGACTATTCGCCATTGAATCAGACGATGGCACGCGAGCTGCTACTGCAGCGGTGGCTACTCCACGAACGACCGGCTCTCGGCCATTGGATCTTCCAGAGAGATCGTCGATGCCGCCATTAGCTCCGTCTTCTCTTCCGTTTGCATTACCCATACCTTCAGTTTTTAATTTTTTTTTTCAATCCACAAACAGAACAAAAATTAGGTGAAAAAATAAAGTGCTTGTTTTGGTAATTGAATAAAGCAATGCATTTAAAGAACACTGGTTTTCGGTTTATTTACGGAGATTGACACTGCGAACGTGATCAACTGCAAGTGTCAGGCAACGGTTGTTCTGATCAAAAGCTGTTTTTTTGTTGTCTTCGTTTTGCAGACAACTACTCCATGTCAATGGATAAAATAAAAGGGAAAATGTTAATATAAAACCATTCCTATTTTGGTTTTGTGAGTTTAATTTTTTATCAAATAAAATAAAGCCTCTTTGAGTTGAGCTCATGGACAACCACGCGAGGCCGGCCACCGTGCCGGATTGAAAATTAAGCAAAAAATAGTGGGTCCCAATGGGCAGTGGACACGTAGCTTTCCTAAATGATTTCGAAGGACGAAGCCTTTGTAGGCAAGGCGCGTGGCGAAGACGCACTTTGCGTTTCTTTTGGAGGTGTGGACATGTTAATTACGATGATCCGACATGGCAATGTGTACCACGTGGATGATCAAGGGGGTCCATTCGACATGTTTTGGGAATTTAAAGCCCTCAGTGGCAAAGTGCATCACGTGACGTTTCGTTGGCTTTTGGTTTGGATAAGATTCGAGGAATAAAAGTTGTCTCTGCCCAAAAGGAAAGTTCGGTTTTGTCCAGTCAACAATCGCCACATCAGCGAAATTTTGTCTTGTAGTTATGTGATTGTAAAATTAAAATAAATTATTTAAATATATAAATACAAATTATTATATCATCATTTATATTTATCTGATAATATAAAATATATAGATTTTTTATTTTTAAATTATATTATTTTTATATATTTTTTATATTATTATATATTAGATCTAAAATTATCAAATCTATTTAAACTCACACTTTTTTAGGTTTTGTTAGAAAATTTTTTAAGGTTAATTAAATATTATTTATAGAATTTCTCATTTTGATTATTTTTTTTTAAGTTTGAATTATTTTTTAGATTTATTTAATGGTGTTGGTGTTGAACTTTGAATTGAAGGTTAAAATTTTAAAATTATTAAAAAAAAATCATTAAAAGTAAAAGTTTTTGCATTTGTATTTCGAGCACTGAAATTAAAAATCGACTAAAAAATATTAGAAAGAAAGTAAAAGGTTAATGAAATAAGAATAATAAAAAGATAAATAATATTTAAATGATTTTAATTATAATAAAAAATAAAAAATTTATGAAATAAAATAATTACATAGAATTGATATTTTTAATTATTTATTAATAATTTTTAATAAAATAAATGATTAATTTACTCTTTAAATTTAAAAATATCTCTGACAACTGATATTTGAAATTTATTTTTATATTTACATGCTTAAAATAAGTAGATTGTAAAGTAATCAAGAGCCAACGGTTAAAATTATAGTGGAATCCATGTTGTCGACTTTACCGCAATTGATTGGGTGGAATTCACATTAAACGCATGTGAACACAATTTCAACTTGCTTTTATACTACGACTTCCATTAATATATAATAAAAGTTAATCAGATAATGCTCTTAACACATTTGTTTGAAAAACAAATGAATATGACAAGACGTGTTGAGCTTATCTTCTTACTTTTAGTTCTTATCTTCTTTCTTTTCTTTTCTAGTTAAATACTGGCAAGCATGAAATAATTTTTTTTTTAATTTTAGACGGTTAAAATTTTAATTTTGATGATTATAATTTAAAGTCTATCATTTTATTTATAATTTATGTGGCTGTTAATTGTTTAATTTCAAGAGTTATAGCTTTTTTTTTTTCTAATTTTACATGTGTTATTATTAAAAAAAAATAATGTTGATTTGAGGTGAAATTCAAATTCTAAAATAAATTTTAAAAATTTTAAAAATGAGATATGCTGAAATTTTCAAACTTAAATTAAAATTTCTTTTGGTGTTTTTATTTTTATTTTTTACATTTTGTTATTATCATTTTTTTTCTGTTATTTTTATTCTTCATTTTGTATTTAAAAAAACAAAAATCAAAAGCTAAAAATACTAATCTAAATTAAATTAGAAACCATGGGCCCACGGTAGTGACCCAAAAGTGGGTCACAAGACCATGGCCCAAAATTGAACAGTACATCTTGACCCAAGTAAATATTAACGTGGCAGTATGATTGGAACCGTAATTTGTAAACATTGTTTGTTTTGGGTATTGGGCCCAATAAATATTCGGCCCAATATGATCTAAATAGATGGCCGCCGCTACCGAGAGCAAGCCCGACAATCTATAAAAATGCAAAAGACAATCCGAAGAAGCAGCAAAAGCTAAAAACCCTAATTCTCAGGGCAAGAAGGAAACGAAAGATCTGTGATTTTTTTTTTGCGAGGAAGAAAATAAAGATGAGACCGATTTTGATGAAGGGCCATGAAAGGCCATTGACGTTTCTCAAATACAACAGAGACGGCGATCTTTTGTTTTCATGCGCCAAGGACCATACTCCCACCGTTTGGTTCGCTGACAACGGGGAGCGTCTCGGCACTTACCGTGGCCATAACGGCGCTGTTTGGACTTGCGATGTCTCAAGTAATTCTCCTTCTATTGTTCTTTATTTATTTTGTCAAAGTTTTTTAACCTTCAAAATCAAAATATCAATTTTTTTTTCAAATTTGTAGGGGATTCGTCGAGGCTTATTACGGGAAGTGCTGATCAAACGGTGAAGCTGTGGAATGTTCAGACGGGAGCTCAATTGTATACTTTTAATTTCGGTTCGCCGGCGAGGTCGGTGGATTTTGCTGTAGGGGATAAGCTTGCTGTGATTACAACGGATCCTTTCATGGAATTGACTCCTGCTATTCATGTTAAACGCATTGCTAGAGACCCAAACGAACGTAAGCTTAACGTTTTGATCTTTCTTTTCTTTAGTGTGTGCTTTTTAAGTGATTGCTGCTCCAATTTGTTAAATTTGGGTTCTCGTCTTTTGGTTTGAAATTTTGAATTTTTGTTGAAATTAGATTATGCCCTTTTTCAATGGTTTTAAAAAAAATGCTAAAAATTTTTGTTTGTGCATTAATTGGGTTACTTGGTTTAAGGTAATTCGTTTGTTCAATTATGAATAAAATTAGACAGCGAGGAAGTAAAATAGATTATCCGCTAAGAGTAGAATGTTGATGTATGATGTATTTGTAACTGTCTAGCATTGCAATTTAGTTGCTGTTTTTTTTACTTCAAGCATTTGGTGTACTGACGTGTTTGATGTCTAAACTTTGGTTCATTATATTATGACATAATGGTGCAGAGACTGAGGAATCTGTGCTTGTCATCAAGGGCCCTCAAGGAAGAATAAACAGAGCTGTTTGGGGACCCCTCAATAAAACTATCATTAGTGCTGGAGAAGATGCTGTAACTCGTATTTGGGATTCTGAGGTAAATTGCTGTTTGATGTGGATAATTTTCATTTTTTGGGAGAAGAGGGGAGCATTGGGAAGAGTCTTATCTTTTCAGATTGATTTTTCATATCTTTCTTGCAGACTGGAAAAATGCTTAGGGAGTCTGACAAGGAATCTGGCCACAAAAAGACTATAACATCACTCGCAAAATCTGCAGATGGTTCACACTTCCTTACTGGTTCCCTGGATAAATCTGCCAAGGTGATGCATGTTATTAATCCCTTAAGTTTTTTGAGTATTTGCGACTATATTTTCTGAAAACCCCATATTGCTTATTCTGTAGTTAATTAGTTCTCTTCCTGACCTTTTTTTTTTGTCTCTGAATATTTAGCTATGGGACACAAGAACATTGACTCTTATCAAGACCTATGTTACAGAACGCCCAGTCAATGCTGTTGCAATGTCTCCACTTCTTGACCATGTAAGTATGAATAAAATATGAGCAAGTATAACTTGTATTGCAATTTCCTTTTCCCCTAATTGCTTATTTCCTTAGTTGGTTGCACTAGAAACTGGCAAATCTTGTTTTCTAATTTTTTTTTGGTTTGGTATTCCATTGATAGGAATCTAGTAACTTCAGGGTCTTCAGACATTTGTACTATTACTCATATATTAAGGCCTAGAAGATGTCTTAAATTGTAATGCATCTCAAGCATTGCAAAATTGATTGTTTATATGGTGAAATGCATATGTTCGCTTGTCTGCTTATAATATATCAATTAGTGCTTATAGTTGTAAGATATTGGATTTAGTTGGAAATAGAAGGGGTGAACAACTGACTAATAATCAGCATTCAACACTCTTGAATCTTTCGTGTTGCCTTAAATCTCATTCTAATTTGTCTTCTGAATGACTTTTGTTCTTCTAGGTTGTGCTTGGAGGTGGTCAGGATGCATCAGCTGTCACAACCACAGATCATCGTGCTGGGAAGTTTGAAGCTAAATTCTATGACAAGGTTAATTTTGTTTAAAGAATGTTTTTGTAGAACGTGAGGATTTGTGTTATTTTGCAATTTTTCCATTTTATCATAATGGTTGGCTGCCTTGCAGATACTTCAAGAAGAAATCGGAGGTGTGAAAGGACATTTTGGGCCTATAAATGCTTTGGCTTTTAACCCAGATGGGAAGAGGTATTAAGCAAACAATACTTTTAAAGTTTCTTTGCTTATCTATAGCTTGCTTATGAAGCTCAAATTCAGTTACCATCCATCTAATTGATCTATCTTTTAGAATCTATGCTCACGGAAGGTTGAATTTTACAGCTGTCTTGATGACTTTGTTGTCGGTGTTATTTTTAACTCAAGTCAAATGTCTTATGCATAATTTGTTAGTATTTTCCATATTTTGTGAAGATATGCAACATTCTTCTGCTAGTTCCATTGCATTATTAATCTAGTGTCTAATCATGTTGTCTAATATTTTGACTAACATCATTTGGTAGTTATGTCTCGCATTACATGTCTATTCGCCATCAAAGTCGCCAAGAGGGTTTCTATTTTGTATTTGCCCTACTTTATCGTGTGAGTCTTCGACCATTTTTGTCATCTCTTTTGTCTTTTAACTTCTAGTTTCTCAAGTGGCGGCGAGGATGGATACGTGCGATTACACCATTTTGACCCAGATTACTTCAACATCAAAATTTAATTTTGGAAGCAGTTTACAGAAACAGCTTGTCCCGACAAGAGTGAACAAGTAGTCTTGGAGTATTTACGGCAAGGAGCTCCTGTTTAATTTCGTGGAGGATGATGCGTAAACTATATTTGGTATCCGACTGCCAAGGGATTAGAAATTTGTAGAAGATCCTGTTTGTATGCACATAACCAGCATTCTTGTGCATGATTTATGAAATGCATCAATTTCGAGCTTTATGAACTTTGTTACATTTTTGCCAAAATTAAAATATTATTTTTAAAAAAATCAGAGTCTAAAATAAGAAAAGAAATTATAAGTGTTAAAGATTTAAATTTCTTACTTGTTGGATATTATTATTTTTTAAAAATAATTGTATAAATTAATTAGTTAAAAATGATTGAATGAACTAATTAAATTATATTCTTATTAGTTATTTTTGGATAATATAAAGAGACTAAAATGATTAGTCAAAGCTTTTCCCCGGTTCAGCTCATTAACATGCAGTAAAACTAGTTGAAAAGTACATTAATTTGCACCCTTGAAGATTTCATATGTAACAAGATGTGGCGAAAAGAAATAACAATTGAAAATTTATCGCTTGACAAAAAAAAAAGTATATGAGGGGCTAGAAAATTAAAAACGTGCACAAATTGCATTCCATGCGAAAATATAACAATAGAAAATGTTTGCATAACTCTTTCTTTTTTATTGTTAGACACAATCTTCGACTGCACTATGCCAACTCCTTTCTACTTTGATAGTAACTTAACCCTTTTGCTTTTCACTTAAAAAGGGGAAATTAGGCTAACCCGCACATTTTTTTTTTCCATTCAGTTGTGCGAAATAAACAGAGACTAACTTATAATAATCATAAATGTACAGAACGCCAAACCCTTGGATGAATTCCCAAAGCAGCTCCATCAACAAACCAAGTGGATAGCTCTAACATTTTCAGCAACTACAAAACTCTTAACACCAGAAGAGACATGTCAGAAAGAGGCAGAACTTGTTCTTCTAAGCTGATATTTAGGTTCAGATGTTTCACACTGAAACTTTGTTTCAAATTCCTGCAAGAATGTTCGAAAGCATATATAGTCAGATTGAACAAAGCTCTAAGAAGTAAAACATTCAATGTATAGCTTCCTTTCTGGCACTTCTTGTGCAAGCAATGGAATGCATAAAACACATAAACATCAAAACTAGCAAGAAAATAGCATCACTAGGCTTGTACAGATAAGCTGAGGATGAACAGTTTTTTTAAATTTTTATATATCAACCCTTTCATAACTTATAATGCATTTGCATTCACCATACACTATCATATAGTGTATGTAAAGACTCAACATAATGAACCAGGGTAAGACCCCATATCAAATAGACACACTACTCAGGCACCATTGAAAGCGCCCTATCAGCATATATCAAACAGAACAAAATGGATTATATTTTACATATAACTACTGCCAAAACCAGAAGGCTGCATCTAAGAAAGTATCTTAAATAACTCTAAAGGACAAGGCACTAATATTCTGTTTATGACACTAAATTGTTATGATTTTTTATGAATAGCAATCTATTGAGGTTGATTGTACTAAACTCAAACCAAGTAACTTCTACTGTTCTCTGTTATCAGATATCTACACTTATGTAGGATCATCTTTCCTGTCTCCTTTTGGAGTCTCACCCATATCCCCTAGTTTAGGGATGTAAATGAGTTGAGCTACTCATGAGCTACTAAGGCTCAACTCAGTGAATATTCAAGCTCAACCTGCTGATTATCGAGCTTGAGCTCAAGTTTAACTACTCGAGTAATGAGTTGAGCCGAGTTTGAGTATGAGAACTCGGAACAAAAATATATTTAATTATATTTAATACTTGACTTAGGTGGCTTGCAAGCCAAATCAAACTTTTATTTTTTTAATTATATTTTAATATATTTAATATGTATATACAAATAAATAACGAAACCGACCCTAAAGTTATAGGATATAAGACTTAGTTTGTTGTTAAATAAGTAAATAATGAAAATATATAGTTTAATGTTAATATTTATGGCTTTACCAAACCTAACCGAGCCGGGCTCAAGTATAAGAAATGATGCTCCATTGAGCTACCGAGTTTCGCACCTCGAGTTTTCCAATTGAGCCTAGTTTGATTCTAGCATTGGATTGACTTAGCTCGGCTCGATTATATCTCTAACCTAGTTATGTCAAGGACTAGTATTACAAATTGTTTGATAGGAAAAGAATGATGAATGATAGCATATTATTAGAAATTTTCTACAAAGTCAAGCCTCACTCCAGTCACCACTGGCTATGAGTAGATTATTTTGAATAGGTTATCTATTTTGATAATTATTATAGGTTATCTATTTTGATAATTATTATGTACAAAACCAGTTTTACTTAGACAGACAACATTTACAAGATCACTATTGTGCATTTCAATATCATAGAGGGGACAACCCTAATGCTAATAGCTTCATGAAGCCCCCCAGGGATATTATCCAAATCATCATTCATTAACAGAATCTCCAAAAAGTAGTAAACAACATGCAAATGCACAAATTAAAGTCTTTGCAAAAAAGGTTTTGGGTGTGGATCTCAAGCCAGACAGAAATGTGGATGAAGATTCTACCTTCTCCTTCTTGAGCTTTAGATTATCCTCTTCCAATCGGGAAACCTTGCTCACCAGCTCATTATGGTAAGCCTGTGCAAAACCACAAGGCCCAGGGGTTCATAAAATGAAAGGAAAGAATAGTTTAGAAATATAACTAAGCCGTAAACATGCTGAAGGCTTGCCTGCTTTCTGGCTCGTGAACGTGCAGCAGATTCTCTGTTCTTGATCTTTCGCCTTAACCTCCTGTCAATGCCCTTCTCAAGTGCATCCTGAGTATCCCTTTTCTTCCCTGTCATAGGTGTGTCTGATAATGTACCAATTGATGGGGTAGGTGACAATCCAATCTGCTGAGAAAAACTTAGCTGGGTGCTATCAAATTCCATAGTAGGAGCTAAAGATGTTTCAGCAACAAAAAGCCCCGCTTGTACCAAAAAATCCTCCAATGTGGTTTCACCAAGGGTTGCTTCTCTTTCCTGACCCTTGATCTCCTCACCATACCTCTTCTTCTGCCCTTGTTGTATCTCCTTCCACACTTGATCAACTGTCTTCCCAATAAGAGCTCTAGCCAAGGTTAGGCTAGCTTGACGTTGGAGAGAAGATGATGATGAGGTACTTTCAGTATCAATTCCCAAGGACTGATTTGATTCAGTACTCCATACATTATTAAGAAGCTCATCAAAGTTCATGCTACCTAAGGGCTTCCTCAAGTTCCCTAGTTGGCTTTCAACTTCATTAAGAGTAAGACTATACCATGAATTCTGCCTCACCAGCGGAGACGGCTGTAAATGAGACTGCTGGCCATTGCTTTGGGATCCCATTGTTTGAATCCCCATTCACAACTACTCTTACCCTCAAAACCCTATCAATACAAGCTGCCAAACCCAAAATCACCCAAAAAAACAAATTACTATAAACCATACTATACATTCCACTAACTACCAAAAGCAATTCTCTCTTTTTCTTTTTTTCCCTATAAGCAGCGAAGTTCAAAGTAATTTATTTGATTTACTAGTGTAAACACCCCCCCCTCCCCCCGGGGGGAAAAAAAGCAAAAAACTTTTCTAAACTAAAGTGAAAATTCAACACTACCTAAACTTGTCTACAATCAAAATCCCTAAAAACCCTAAATTGAATATTACCCAACATAAAAAAGTAAAATTTACATCAAACAAGCCATTAAAATCAAAATTTTCTAATTTTTAAATTTCCCACCATCAACATAAAAAAATCCATCTTTCTTTTTAAAATGTTCTTATTGTTAGGTTTTACCTGTTTAACCCTTGTTCCTTTCAGAACTTAAACCATAGAGAGTAACAAAATTCCCAGCACAAGATCAAACCAAAATCTTTTTACTGCACTTTAATTAAGAAGAAAACAAAATAAGATGATAAATTGAAATTAACCGTTGGAACGACCAAATTAAACCGTTAATTTCGAAATTTTACTAGTATAATTAAAATTAGAAAAATAAATAAACAACAATTAAATTTTATTGATTATTACCTGGAAATTCTGATCTTGGATCGAGGACAGAAGAAAAATAGAGAAAAAAAAGGTTTTTTTTTTTTTTTTCTGTGCTAAGCTGTTTTTACGTCAAAACTCCACGTATTATTGAATTTAAGTGCGATGTAAACGGAGCCCCGATTGGTTTGAGTTTGATGGGTGGGCCCAGTAAAAAGACCCGGGTCTGCCATGTGGTCGCACGCGTGTTTCCTTTTCGGGCTTTACTATCACCAATCACGTCGATCTTTTCGTGGTTATTGGTTGGTCTTGAAGCTACGTCGTTTCGGGATCTGAACTAAATAAATGTTTATGCTTTGGTGCAATTTAGAATTTTGTTGAGTTTGAGGGCTGAAACTTCAAAATTCATTGAGTCCCAATTTTTTAAAAACTTAATTATTTACTTTAATTTTTTTATAAAATTTAATTATAATCGATATAATGAAATTCAAGTCTAAATTTTATTCATATATATTTATATACTTATATTAAAAAATGGATTAAGTTCAATAAGTATCAAATTTAACTTGTTAAATTATTTATTATTAATTTTTTTTTCGTTACTTAATAAGTCAATTTTGATTATTTTCTCTAATCCATACTCAAGTAATTTGTAAATATAATAATTCATTTATACCTTTCGCATATAAAAAAAAATTATTAACAATCTTTTAATCGAGTGATTAAAAGAAAAATTATGATATTTTGCTCATCAAAATTTCTAAAATCATTTTGCAAAAAAAAAAAAAAGTCAACACCTTTTATCATTGTTTTTTAAATTTTCAATTAATTATTAATATTAAAAAATTTTAAAAAAACCCATCATGTTAAAATATAGTAATACCATGTATAAATTAAAAAAAAGAAAAAACATTTATAATGAAAAAGGTTGATACAAAAAAGAGCCCAGCCCATGGTTCATTGGGACCAATAAAATCATGGGTGACAGATCCGACCCTTATAAAATAAAATCCAATCTCAATCAGGAGCCCGATCAAAGGAGTTGTCGGTGAGTTTCGTCTTTCACTCAGGAACCCTAGCTCCCCGGTTCTTCCCCAAACAGAACCGCCAAAAAAACCCTAATTTTTGTTTTTGTTTAATATTTAAAATCTTTATTTCCACCATGGCCAAAAAGCGAAAGCAACGATCTTCTGAACCCGAACCCACCAAAATAACCCCGAATCCTCAAGCAATCCAAGGAGAGGAGCAGCGACAACCCGAATACGTACCCGAAGAAGATCGGAACCCGAAAATAGAAGAGCAACTACAAGAAGTGGAGGAGGAAGTAGAAGAAGAGGTGGAAGAGGAAATTGAAGAAGAAGTAGAAGAAGAAGAGGAAGAGGAAGAAGAAGAGAACGAAGAAGACGATGATGAAGACGATGAAAACCAAACCCTAATTGGCTCCTCCAACGCCGCTGTTCAAAATGGAGCACCCAAAGAGACGAGTCTGGAAGAGGAATTGGACGACGAGCCGTTCGAGAAACTACTAGAACCGTTCGGGAAGGATCAATTGATTACCCTAATTAAGAAAGCGGTCGAGAAGAACCCGGAATTCATCTCGTCGGTTCGGGAGTTTGCGGATGCGGACCCGGCTCATCGAAAGATCTTCGTTCATGGGCTCAGTTGGGATACCACTGCTGAAACCCTCACCGCCGAGTTTTCTAAATATGGGGAAATCGAAGAATGCAAGGCGGTCACTGATAGGGTTTCTGGTAAATCTAAAGGTTACGCCTTTATTCTATTTAAGCATCGGAGTGGTGCACGCCGGGCTTTGAAACAGCCCCAGAAGAAGATTGGGAATAGAACTACTTCTTGCCAGTTGGCTTCGCAAGGACCTGTTCCGGCACCGCCTCCAACTGCTCCGCCTGTTTCTGAGTATACTCAGAGGAAGATTTTTGTTAGTAATGTGTCAACTGAATTGGACCCGGAGAAGTTGCTTGAGTTTTTTAAACAGTACGGGGAAGTTGAGGAAGGTCCGTTGGGCCTTGATAAGCACACAGGGAAACCTAAAGGGTTTGCCCTTTTTGTATACAGGACGATTGAGAGTGCAAGAAAGGCATTAGAGGAGCCTCATAAGAATTTTGAAGGTCATGTATTGCATTGCCAGAAGGCCATCGATGGGCCGAAACCGACTAAGGGTGGTTATGGAGGAGGTGCTTCTGGTGGGCATCATCAACAGTACCAGCAGCATCAGCAAGGACAACATCAGATTCAGTCTCATTACCATCATGCTAAGAAAGGAAAATATTCGTCTGGTGGATCAGAGACTGGTCATCTGATGGCCCCATCTGGGCCTGCTGCAGTGGGGTTCAACCCCGGGGTGGCTGCTGCTGCGTTTAACCCCGGGGTGGCTGCTGCTGCACCGGCTTTAAACCCAGCGCTTGGACAGGCTTTAACTGCATTGCTTGCTACTCAGGGTGCTGGTTTGGGGCTTGGTAATCTGCTAGGAGGGCTTAGTGGTGCGCCTGTGAACCAGGGAGCACCTGCTGCAGGGTATGGGAATCAGGTTGCAGGAGGCTATGGGAACCAGATGGGAGTGCAGGGTGGCTATCAGAACCCACCGATGGGGCAGGGCGGTGGTGGTAGGACCCAACCTGGTGGTGGTGCTTCTTACATGGGACATTAGGTAAGCCCTAAGGTAACTGGTTATAAATTTTTTTGTTGGCTTTTTTTTTTTTTTTTATCATTTAATTACTTTTTGTTAATTGTTGCGTTTGCATGATCTTTGTCCATAATAAACCTACCAAATGAGAAATCAAATCTAACTGAGTGACAAGTTGTGCCGCATAATGCTAAATCTGATCTCACGCAATGTGAGATGGGTAGTGTTTAGGATCAGGTTTGGTTATTGCGAGGCTGAAAAAGAATTACATAAAAATGAGTAGCACAAGTTTGCTTTTATTTTCTGAAGCACACGGGCATTTGTTGTCTGTATCAACAGGATGTAATTATTGATGGCTGTAATCAGATTTTTTTTTTCTATTTTTTGGTTGATATTTACATGCAGCATAATTGAAAGACAACAATTCTTAGTATGTTTACTTTGAAGTTAATTGTTTAATACTAGTTTTACAAACTAAGTTTGTTGTTTGAGAAAGATTAGTCTTCTTCAGACGGTGGATGTTATTGAGTCTTCGTTTATCTATTTTCTGCTGGTATGAAGGCTTATTATCAAATTTATACTCATCAATATTTAGTTAAAGTTTTTTTCTTACTTTTAGTTACCTATTTTCTAAAATTGTTATGAAACATTCCCTTTACTTTCATTGCCATACTTCAAAGTTTAGTTGGTTAGACTATGTTAACACAAAATCTTATTTGGTTTTGCCAAAGGTATGAAATTTCAGTTCATCTTTTGTTTTTGAAACTTGTTTTTTTTTTTCTTTTTTATGCTTTTATTCATTGTGCAGATTCTCTCATAGATGCATCAATCATTTTGTTTTCGACTCTGGTGATTCTGAAGTTCCAGGCACTCATGCAAACGTGGTCTTTAAATTTGTAACCAAACGCTGTTATTATTTGCCTCCTATAAAAGATCAGAAATCTCAAACCTGTATTTTCATTTCTATTTTAGTAATCTTTCTCCTTCACGTGTTTTCAAAAAGATGTACTGGCTTGAAGATTTGTTTCTTGAAAAGTGTTGGGGAACAGGTAGAATTTCCAGGCAGAGGACACAATGCCTTTTCAGGTTTTCAAGTGTGCTACTCAAACTATGCCTTTTCGTACTTTTTCCTTAAATTGACTGATGTTTTATGTGACTCTATTTCTTATGTGAAGCATAATGTTCTTAATTTAGTTTTATGTGAGAACTTTTTCCTGGGTGTTGTTACATCTCTTGTTTTCATGTGGTTTTGTAAACTAGTTTTACCTTATCCTAAATTGCCTGGACTCTTTTTTCTGCTTTTAAAGTTTCCCCCTGTTTAACTTATTATAGATTGCTGTGTCCATTACATTGATGATAGGCTTTATAGCATTGCTCATAATGAAGTCATTAACTGCAAATATTGGATGAGATGAGATTTCAAACTGCAGGTACAGTGGCTATATGGTCCTCACTGCTGGTTTGCCTAATGTATTCTTAACAGAAGCACCTCCAGCTCCTACCAATATCCCAACCCCTATCACACTTCCCTTTCCAGATCCTCTTCCTTGCCCCTTGTATTTCTCTCTTTGGTTGAGAACCTTTACTTCAGTTATGGGAACAAATGGAGTTGTTGGTGTTCTTTCTGTCAGTGACTTGTGAAATATGGTTTCTTTGTCTTCAATGACAGTTTTGTTGTTAATATAAAATTAGAAAACAAGTTCTTTACAGAATTTTCAGATGGAAAGTGGAATCACCGAACTTAGTGTTTTGAGATACCCACCAGATTGTGTTGTTCCTGACAAGGAAGGTCCTAGATATTGTTTTGCATATAACCTGTTGTTATTGCAAAAATAACTGAAGTAACTTGTCAAGCCTTATTGACAATATACGGCCAACATGTCCGGAAATTACAACCTAATCTTGTTTGTGGGACTTGGATTCATGGGCCAAGAATATGTTGGTAGGTGAGTTGATGGGACAGGCAAAAGTATCGATCGATTCGTCCAAGGTATGAAGCTGGTCTTTGATGCTCGTGTCTGGGCTTCTCCTCATGCTTGCCATGATCTTAAAATTGTAGCCCGTGATTAATGCTCTCGTGTTGATATTCACGCCTCTGTGCATGTAAAACATGAGTCCTGGATGATATGTTTGATTTAGAAAGCTAAATGTATGATACTTTACTCTGCAAGGCGATAGATAGAACAGAAAAATTGGATTTTCAGACATGATTCCAATGGAAATAATCTCCCTTGAAGGGCAATGTGCAAATACAAAGCAAATAATTTGGTGATTACATGAAGTGAAAAAAGCAGCGGTGTGAAGTGGATTATTCAAACATTTTTGAATAAAACAGAATATCAAACATGTTTGAATCCCATGAAAATTGGGTCGTAATTTCAAAATTACAAAATAAAATGTTAATGTATTTGTGAGGAAATAGTTTTACAATTTAAATAGGCTTTTATATACAAAATTTCTAAATATTTTAGTCCTTAATTTGGACTGGTGGTACTTTAAAAAAGTCCTTAATCTTATTTTTTTCTTACTTTTTTTTTCTGGTTTTAGAGCAGGTGGGAGAGTTCGATTGGAGGGTTCTTACCGTATCAAAAAATGAGCTTTAAGATTAAATCCTTTTGTGCGTTTTATGAACCGATCCCACTACGGAACTTCTACCAGTGCATTTTATGACTGGATCCGGGGGTCGGTGAGAATTTTTCGATCGGGTTTTTCATTTGGGGGAGCTTTTAGTTGAAAAGTGAAAATAAAAATAGAAATTTTATTTTAGAAATATGGGCCACTTTTCTAAATGTGTAAAGGCCTATTGTAAGAAAGTGAATGCGGCCCGATTCAGAAACTTCTATTCTAGGGTTTTTGACGTGACAGATCCGAACTCACGAAGCCATCAGCGAAAACCACTCTTACCAAGCCACAGTCTTCCCTACTTCCACTCAAGCACCCACTTTCTTTCCCTCATCGTTGTCCATTCGTTGATTACGCATTTGTTTATGTTCACTTTCACTGTTACACACCTGTAAATAGCAAAAACTTCCCCTGAAATTAGTTCTATCTCTCTCCCTTGATATAAAAGAAGCAAAACTAACGCAGACATAAGCCATTGTTTTGGCGTTAGCTTAGCCCCTTTTTAGGACACACTTTTGCAAACTTTGTTGGCCTCTGTCTGCAACTGTCAATCTTTCTCAAACTTCCCAACGCTCTCTCACCACACTTCACTTCATTCTTTAAACCCACCAAAACCCTGCTCTTGAAATACCCTACTTCATCTACTGAATAAAAGCAGTCCCTTTTCGTTTTCTTATCACGAATTGAATTTTGGGTTTTGGTTCCTTTTTCCTGGGTTGTTTTCGATTTGTTGAGTTTTTTTGGTGGCTGGTTGCTAGTGGGTGGTGGCGGGGATTATGGTGATGGCTGATAATGAGGCAGGGGATGATCACAAGGAAGTCAAGTCACCATGGAAGACTCCGGTGATTGATGGGGGGAAAGCGGCTGATGCTCCTGTTATGGGGACCCAATCTTGGCCTGACCTTGGTGGGACCCAACAAATACCTGACAATCCTCAGGTTGCTGCTGATGTGTCTGCTACAGCTCCATCAGTAGAACAGGTTAGTCATTGCTTTGTTTGAGTATTGGGTTTTTCTTTAATTGGTGATCATCACTTTTATGAGTGTAAAATTCGGATAAATTTGAAAAATGTTTAGGTGTAATTTGAGTTGGTTTTGGTAAACTTAGTGTGATAAAGTGTAATTATTAGTTGAATGTTGTTTTGCGAAAAATCATTCAAATGGACAACTTGAAAGACCTGGTTTTTACCTTTTTTTACTTATAAATTTGATTTGAATATTAGTTGTTTATCTCACAAGCAATGGTTTTATTTCCTAGAATAATATGTTGATAGAACCAATGGTCTATTACCTTTCTGGGTTTTCTTAAAATTCCTTCATCAATTTATGACAATTAAAAGTTTTTGGGGAGACTAGGCTATATTGACTAATTACTACCCTTTCAGGACCCTCCTCTTTTTTCCCTCCCCTTATTAGACACGTTAATAAGATGATTGTAGAAGTTGTTTTCAAATAAAAGGTGAATTGAAATGTAATCTCAGATGAAAGTTTTTAATGAACCTTTATGGAATGTAATTTCTCCGTGAAGAAAACACCACATCATTTAGCCATGTCCGGCTCTCAGTCAGTTGTCTGTGTTTGCTTCTTCGTGTATGTGCCAATGCCTGTGTATGATTCTATTCTTGGTGGTTATATTAAGTGGGAACATGATTTATTTGGTTGTTGGCATTATACTTTTTTCTTTCCTTTCCAAACAATTAAGAAAGAAGAGAAAATGAATAAATTGCCATCTCAGTTTAGCTTAATTTTAATATTTATAATTTTTTGGGGGTCTTTCAGGAAGCAACTGGGCAACAGAAGTCAAATGGGTCTGGAGACACCAATGCTTCACATAAGCATTCATCAGCACGTTATCAGAAGTCAGGCTCCAAGCGCAACCCTAATAGTGGGCCTCGCTTTGCTGTACCCTTTCCATATTATCAACCACCAATGGCACCTGTTTTTCATGCTATGGTACCTTCACCTCACATTGCAGTTCCTGGGTATGCTTACCACCCTGTCCCAGGACCTTTTCCTGGTATTGAACCTCAGTTGGTAAAATCTGGATGTGAGACAACAATGCAAGCCTTTGGTCCCCCAGTTCAAGGTCTTGATGCCAGCAGAAATATGCAGCCTTCTCCACGAGGAGATCCCAATGCATATCCTTCCAACTTCTCTAATAGGAGACCCAACATGCAAGAACCTGGTGGCCATTTGAATCCTGGCTGGAATCATCAACGGGCATTTAATCCTAGAGACCCCATTCCCATGCAGCAGGGTATCGGACCAAGACCTTTCTCTAGACCTCCATTCTTTGGTCCAGCTCCACGGTTCATGGTTGGCCCAAGTTTCCCTGGTAATTACTCAACCTCCATGAAAAGGTGCCTTCATTTAAAACACTACAACATGTTTTATTACTTCCTATTTTGTTAAGCTTCCTTGCCAATTATGTCTGCCAGCAAGGCAAGGCCTACATTTCAGCCACTCTGTGATGCTGGCTTTTGTTCTTGTTTGAGCTCTTGATTTATATTATGCTTTTCATAAAATATATTCTATTTTAAATGACTTATGTCTACCTTCCAGGAGGCGTGTACTATGTGCCTATTGCACCTTCAGGCTCTGTAAGGGGACCACATCCTCCACGCTTTGTTCCATACCCTATAAATCCTGGGAGTGTCGTGTTCCCTCCAGAGACAGTAACACTGAGGGCCAATATAGTCAAACAAATTGAGTATTATTTCAGGTGGGGGAAGGACTCTCTCTGTCTCTATTTTATTTATTTAATGTGTATGGTTTATTTTTGTTTTCTATGTAGGTGGAAGCCACTGTCTCGAATTGTTGCTAAACTTTACCTCTTCCAAGTTTATAGGTGTCATTGCCAATGTTGGCATTTGGTTTTACTGCTTTGCTGGTGAAAATGATCCATTCCTTATGTAAATGTTTGCATTTTTTTCTGGTTGTGTACATATGCTATTTATGGGGCCATTGAAACTATACGTCTTATTGAAAACTGATGATGGTGTGGTATCCACTTTAGAATTTTGTCAACCTATGATCTCAATCGATTATACTTTGTATGTCATTGTGACTTTTTGATATAGCAATCATATTTTTAGGTTTTTTGCATAAGTTTCATGCAAATGTAACTGGCCCAAATAGAGAGGCCAAAATATGAACTTTTGATTGTTTACATCAAATAGGAATGCCAGGACTTTTATTTGTTTTTTTCAATGATATATAATGTGTATATGTTTGTATTACTTGTTGACCCTAGAACTTTTTTTTTTTTCAAATTTTGGCAGTGATGAAAATCTTCAAAATGACCATTACCTGATATCCCTGATGGATGATCATGGATGGGTTCCAATTGCCACAATTGCGGACTTTAAAAGGGTATGTTTAACTCACTACTACTTAATGCTTATAGCAGTATAGCACAGATTGTATGCTGCTATGTATTTTGTATTTGCTGGAGTTAGCTGTTTTATTCATTTTCTATAATCTTCCTTTGTCTGTAGCTTTAGAAGCATTAGTTTAAAGCTTTTGTGTGGTTTTGACATTCTGAGTCACAGGTTAAGAGAATGAGCACAGACATACAATTCATCCTTGATGCGCTGCTGAGTTCTAGTAATGTAGAAGTGCAGGTTAGACATTTATCTCTCTCGGTTGTTATTGTTTCTGAAAATTGATTTTGTACTGTATGTATGCAAGCTAAGATCAGGCTAAATATTTAATTTTGAGCGCATAATCAATCTGTTTATCTTTTCCTCATGATTAACTTTAATTTACCCATTTTACCAAATTCATAATAGTTTTGTCAAGAAGTCTCTTTTTAACAAGTTTCTAATGGTGGTGTTTTTACTGGTATACATACCTTAAGGTTTTAATTTGTGTTCTGTCATCTGTATCAATTAAATTCGAGGGGACAGACTTATGTTGACAATCTGTAATTGTTTTGTGGTACATTGGCAAGTGACACTCCTTTTCTGATGCTGTTCTTTGCTTTGATGGCCTTGTCTTTACTTGGTAATTGATATTATAGGGTGACAAGATACGGAGACGTGATGAGTGGTCCAAGTGGATTCCAGCTAGTTCAAAGACAACATTGTCATCAGAACCTCAGGCTACTCTGTACCAACTTGAAGAGAATGCCACTGATTCATGTGGAAATGGTGATGTGAATGAAGATAATTCAAGGAACACTTCTGATGAAAATGATAAATTTACATTGCATGGTGGGAGCTTGGAGCATGTTTCAGCTGTGGGCAATCCTATGGAAGTAACACATAAAAATAACGGAAAACATGCAGTTGCGCAAGTTCTATTAAATGGTGAGAAATGAGCATTTTATGGTGGAAATGATGGCTTGAACAGGAAATTAATTGCTGATCCCCACATTAAATTCTCAGATGTCGATCAGTTACAAGGAGTTGAGTCTGTAAGGTTTACTGACCATAAAGCTGAAAGTGTGGAATTATTATCATATGTAACAATACAAAATGTTGCTGACCTATCAAATGATTTCGCACACACATTTATGCTTGATGAAGAGCTAGAGCTCGAGCAAAAAACACTAAAGACTCTTTCAGCACTTAAAAGGTACTAGATTGTTTTTGTATTTAATTTGGTTGAGCTAGGGAAATTTCTACTTTCTGTTTAAAGGCATGTTTTAAACACCTAGATGCTAATAACCTTCCCTTCAATTCTGAATGGCATTTTTTGTTCAGAATGGATGATGAAGATGACGTGATGGTTATCAACGATCAGGATGTTCAGAGACTTGTGATTGTTACCCAGGTAATGTGGTACCGCTTTGTATGAATTCTTTTTTTGCGTTGTTAATTGTTATTGTTATACTTCATGTTTAAAGATTGGGTCGTTGCAATAGCTTCATGGGATCTTCTAACTTCTAAGTTTATGTATTTACTTGCTAATTCAAGATAGTTGGTCTGATATCATGACATTCCAATAGTATCATATTGATTGTCTGATGTCATGAGAAAATGATAAGAATGTCAGACTTTACTTTGAAATAAATGGAAATACAATTCAAAAAGAATATATATATATATATATATATATATATAATACCCCATCTAAATCTGTTATTTCGTAGACATCACATTTATGAAGCATGTACGTGCATAATGTAATACTTCCATGTTGTGCAGTTGAAGCAATGTAAACTTATTCAAGAGGGCAGCGTTCTTTCCCAATTGCAAATAGAAAGATAACCATTTTCTTCACATCAGCAATAATTTAGAATTTAGAGACATTAAGATAGGACATTCTGGTCCACTCCTCTCCTCTCCTCTTGCATCTCTTTTCTCCCAATTTCTTCTGATATTCTTTTTTTTTTATTGAGACTGGCATGTTCTCTTTCTGTTTTTAGGTTATGCTGTGATCATGCATTTTGTTTGGATCATGTTTTACTCATATTAACAGTCGAATGTTTCTGTATGGCATGCACTGCTTTCTTTTGATGTGCAGAATAGTGGGACAGGTGAAGGACCAAAAGCTGGTGCGAAAGATTCAAAGTCCATATCCAGTGAGCTTGCTGCTGTGATAAATGATGGTCTTTACTTCTATGAACAGGTCAAGGGACAAGCTTTTCTAATTTATTTAAAACTGTGTTATGGTACATATTTATAAGTGTCTCCCTTAGGTGTGTCTTTTTCTGTAATCTAATTATTTGCTCATGACCGTTATGAACAGGAGCTGAAAACTAAACGATTTAGTTGTAGAAAGAATAACCCTATTTATGAGAATAAAGATGGAAATCCAAGGTCTCCAAGGAGTGCATCGGGAGTATCAAATTCAAAGATAGGTGAAAACACTGCTGGGAGCAGTAGTCTTGTAGAGTCTGTTGGAGCAAGTTCCCGAAGGAAGCAAAATAAAGGTTTCTCAAAGCAACATTCATTCCAGAAGCAGAGATTTTTCTCCAGCAACTTAAGGAAACATGGAACGAGTCACAACTCAATTTCAATAATATCAGAAAGTCCACCAAGTAATTCGGTTGGATATTTCTTTGGTTCTACTCCTCCAGATAGTTATGGGTTAGTTCTAAGTGACCGTTTCTTCATTTTAAATATCATGAGTAACTGAGGTTCTTTTGGTTTGCTTTTTAATAGTAGTACTTTTTCTTGCTTTTGAGTGCAAGAATACAGGTTACTGCCAGTTTCAAATGTACATGAAACCTAATTTATTTGACTAGACTTTAAGGTTTTCTGTAGCTAATGGATGTCTAAGCATTTTTTACAGCTCTAGGCCGCCTTCAAAGTTGAGCTGTTCACCACATGGAACTCTTTCTAGCAGTCCACCAGTTGGTTCCTTGCCAAAGTCATTTCCACCTTTTCAGCATCCAAGTCATCAGCTGTTAGAACAAAATGGTTTCAAGCAACAGAAGTAAGGGATGGTGGATTTTTCTCTAATATATGTATGTATTTTTGTATACTTATGTACGGTTCCACATATAACTTCATGACTTTGTCAGATTTTTGTTGTACCTAAAAAAGACTTTCTTTGTGGTCTGTGCTTGAGCCCTTCTGCATGTACTTGTACTTGCTCAGAGAGGTATATAGGGATGGAGAGAATGAGAGTGAGCACTTGAAAAGCAGAGTTGGCTAATTCAGTTGTTTTTACATTCAGGTACCTAAAGTTTCATAAGCGCTGCCTGAGTGACAGGAAGAAGTTGGGAATTGGTTGCAGTGAGGTGGACTTTCTTTCAGAACTTTCAAAGTTATTAAATAAGTGTTTTACATGAAATGAAAGATCAACTATTGCATAACTAACTTCTATTGTTTAATTGATTCTCATGTCTAGGTAAGTTCTACTAAAAATATTTACTCTTATACCTCTTTTTGAATTTTGTCTTTGTTTTGAATTAGTACTCAGGTTGTGTGGTGTGCTTTCATCTTTTACCTCCTCGTTATGTCATTTGTAATAGAAGAAAATTGAATATAGTTTGCCTGAAGGGAGGATGAAGCCCTAAATGTATTACTATCAAAGTTCTGTTGTCTGCATAGATCTTTATGTAGTTTAAAAAACCGAATGGTCTTTCTTCTGCTTCCCATCTGTTTGCGGATGTTTCTTTGTTCTCTATGGCAAACCATTATAAACCCAGCCAGTGTACGGCACCTGAGCATTTGTTTTTTTTTTTTCAAAATATAACGGTTTCCTTTACATGCATTTTCGCTAGATGTATAGAAATAGAACTTTTTTCATGGTGGCCCGTGGTTTTGCATGCAGGAAATGAATTCACTGTACAGGTTTTGGTCATATTTCCTTAGGGATATGTTTGTCCCTACTCCCTTCTATGTATAATGAGTTCCGAAAACTTGCTCTTGAAGGTTAATTACAATTATGGGATAGAGTGTCTTTTCAGGTTTTATAGGTAACATTGATAATTATGCCCACTTTTATGGCTTTTTGAAGCACCTCTTAAGTATTGACTATGCTTTTGTTTCGCCCCTTTTTTAGTCAGTATGTTTTCTTTGCAGCAAATTATTTTCTCCTTGCTAGAAGAGGAGGTTTTGCTTCTTCTTTCTTGTCTATACTAATTAAGTTCATCCTTTTTCCAGTTATGGTTTGGAGAAGAAATATCGAGACGATCTTTATAAGGATTTTGAGCAATTCACCCTTGATTTCTATCATAAAGGCAATCTTTATGGCCTTGAAAAATATTGGTAATTTCCTTTTTTTCCCCTATTATCATGGAACGATCAATCGGCTGCTTTGAAAATGACCAGTGCATGCTTACTTTTGATTTTGTTTTGTTTTGTCTCTTTTTTGTGTGTGTGTAGAATTAACTTTATGAAGGAAGACAACATTGACATAGACTAAGTGAGCAGTGATATGGTGATATATGGAGATAAAAAATATTGAATCTTGAGATGAAAGAAAGTTAGGATTAATTGTAAACTTGGTTTCAGGGGAATATGCATAAAATCCCTAAATACAGTTCTCTAGAAACTTATGAACTTATTTATCCAAAGAAAAAAAAGGGGGGAAGATGCAGGTGATATTTGGCACCTATCACAAACAAGAAGGAAATTAAACACCTGTCAAGCAAAAAATATAGTGTTGTCCTGAATCTTTTAACATTGTAATGGTTCTGTCCCTCATCATTTGTGCATTCTTTTTGGTGATAAATTTCAATGAGATTATTATTGAAAGCTTAAGAACATGGATTCCTTACAAATTTCTGAAAGGAAAAAACTATCATGCCTAGATGCACGTTTAAAATTCAAGGCTCTTTTGTTCAAAACAGTTTCCCCTTATCTGGGGAATAAAGACAAACATCACCAATCTGAAATCTAGGATAGTGGTTTGTGGTGACTAAATGATCTTTATGGAGGACCTTTTCTTGACTCACTTTAGACATTTTCTTCAGTTCAAGACCACCAGAAAAAGAAGATTGTTGTTAATATTCTCTAGTTGAAACACAAAGGATTACTATAAAAGTCTATGGCTTTTGTTTGAACCAGTCATTCCTCTTCATCTTTTTTCTCATTTTAGACTTCTTGCAACTGGCAGGGCGTTCCATCACTTCCGAGATCAGAGAGAGCCCTTAAAGAAACATCCAGAATTGGATAGGTTACTGAGGGAAGAATACCGGCTCTTGGAGGATTTCCGTGCCAAAGAGAGGAATACTAGCACAACAGAGGACAGCCATTAACTACAAGTGATGTCCTTAATCCTTAGTGCCATTGAATCCCGATTTTGAAGATCAACCCTGATGACTGGATCAGAGAGTAGTTCATTGTCTGTATGTCTCATTTGGTTTGAATGCCGATGAGAAATGGGTTTTGTATATTGTACATTGGGGGGTTTATAAACCCCTCTGTGCGGCTGCCAACTCCTGAGGCTCTACATTTTTGTTTCCTGATTCTTTTATAGGCTTTCTTGCTTGAGGGTATATCTTTTTTCTGAGTGCTCATCAAGCTTGTAGAGGTGGTGCCTCTGCTTTTCTTTGATCATTTTCATTTCAATTCCCCCGGCATAGTTGTACATAAGGGAAACTGAAAAAAAAAAAGTTATAGAAACTTTGTGAAAAGTGAACAGCAAGAGATTCAATTTTTGATGTTACACTGTAAATTTTTGTCTTCATCTAATGTTAGCCTCCCTGCGTTGGCCACCTTTGGGAACTCTTTACGTCGGCTGCTTGGTTTTTTCAGACCAGGCAGTCCTTTTCGGTGATGAAAAGGGGTATGGGAGGACCATCCCTTCGTTGATATTAGCTTCATGGCCCTTTTTTATTTAAAACATAGCACTAAAAAATGATAAATAAAACTATTAAAAAAAAAAAGGAAGACATAACAATAATAGAAACAGGTCCTGCCATGCTAACTTTACTACCAATACTGACACGTACTAACCATAAAATCCTCAATGTACATAAAGAGGAAAAAAAATGATGCACGTTTATACCTCGATGGATGATTTGAAAGAAATACTTGTGTTCTTGATGATGGTAGAGATCCTGTTCTGCATGATGTCAGAGGTAGCCGCCATAGCTGGAAACCCAACATCGACTTCGCAGACTGGTCAAGTCACCAATGCTTATACGTGGGGGATTGGCTTTGTACTTTCCTTCTTTTATTTATTTTACTTCTTGAAGTGTTATAAGGAAGTGTCTTTTTAGTACTTGAAGAAGAATTTAGAGAGAGATTTTTTTTTTTTTTGCAGATTTTGGATTTGACGAGAATCTCTTTAGTGTTCTGGAGGTGAACAAAACCAGTGATGAGAAATGTAACGAGAAAGATTTCATGACAAATCTAACAAGAGGTGGGTGAGATGTGTTTGAAATGAAAGAAGCAAGGCCATAATACTTCATCAGTGGCAGAGGCTTCTGCTTTCAAGGAATGAAAGTTGGTGTCAATGTTGAAGATATAACACCAGCTCCGGCACCCTCTCTCCAGGGAAAAGCAGTTCTTCATCAAATTCTTGGAGCCAAAATTTTCTGCCTATGCTGGCTACTACAGTGTTGTTGATCTTTCTTTCCATTTACTAATATTAGTCAGATGAAATGGAATATCTTTCCAAAGACTTCTGGTCCGAGGAGAATCAAACGAAACAATAATGAAAATGACCTTTATCCCAAAAACTTTCCATTAGAGATATCATTATGAAATACAGGTGCTGGACGTCTAATTACATACCAAAACAGATTTCAAACTGTCGTCGGAGAAAGTGGAAATAACATTCAATCCATGTTCTTCTATATCAGCTAAATTCTTCCTGTTTTTTTCCAACATTCTGCAAACCTTTGATTAGTAACAACAGCAGGTGTTCTAGAATCAAAATAAACAGTCACACAAGATTCACCAAAAGGATCTGTTTGGGAACATTAAGTGTGATTATTGACCGTTCCAATTTTGTGAGCTAGTTATAGCCTGGTCATGTTAAAATCTGCTCATAACTGGCGCCAAGTTTCTTGCTACAAACTTTAGAGTTCTGTGATTATAGATACATACGAATTTGAAATGCATGTGGTCGTAGTGCATTAGCCTTGTTATCAAGAAAGACTAGTGCATTAGCCTTGTTATCAAGAAAGACTATGTTTTGGTGGGAGAAAGAGTGGTGAAAATGAAGGGTTTGAAGATAATACTTGCCTGCCTGGTGCTGCTGATGGTAACAGTTCTGAACACAAAGGGCAGGCAGCCAGTTCCACACAGGGTTGGAGGAGGAATATTTACTTGGAAACCAAATGTTAACTTCACTGATTGGGCAATTCATCAGCAGTTCTACGTGGGTGACTGGTTTTGTAAGTTCTCTCATTGTGATTCAACCTTTATCTTCCTGGAAAGCCCTTCATTTTTCTCTTTTTTTTTTTTTTTTCCATTCCTTCTTATACTTGCATCTTTGATTTTTTTCTTTTTCTTCCAATAATTACAAATGTTGAACTGCATTGACAAAACTGAATTTCATATTTAGTTTGTGTATATTTTGGATTCAACAAGCAGCTATATACAGTTGTACAAGTGAACAGGACAAGCTATGACAATTGCATTGACGAAAACTTCATCAACAACATTACGAAGGAGGTAAGGATGCGTTCAATCTCAGAGGCAAAACATTTTACTTCATAAGCTGCCGAGGCTACTGATTTAAAGGAATGAAAGTTGCCTAATTTCCAAGAATCACCAACTTTTCCACTGACAAATGGCTCTGCATCAAACCATTCTGGAAAGTTGATCCTGCTTGTTATGGTTGCCATCGTTTTGAAATGGATACTCCTTTGAAATATTTTGTTTCTTTTTTCTTTGGTACATGAAACAGTGGAGATTCGTTTTTAACAGGAAGTGTTGTCTATAAATTTTTGCATGCTATTTTTTTTCCTGCCAAAACCAACAAACTCTTTCCTGAAAAATTAAATAAGCTAGAAATATGACTCATTCTTGCCACAGAAAAGCATTACATTATATACTAGAGAAGTGGTATAGTTTTCTAAGCATCAGAAACCAACAAAAGTAGTTACTCAGAAGCCACATCTAACTGGTTAAGCAACTGATACCCTAGCCTAACAGTAAATAAGAGAACAGAGTAAAGGGCAGTAGTATAACCACTTCTCTAAACCAAACAGGAAAAAGCCACTGTGAATTACCTAGTCAAGCATTCATATCTTTAGATACGTTAGGGGCTAAGCATCCAAAAAGTTTATAATCAAAATGGATGATGATTCGGAGAACAGCACATCATCATCAGAACAAGTCTGCGATAGCCCTAACTCTAAAGGTTAAATATACTTAAAAAGAGTTTCAGATCAGTTGTTGGTAAAACCAAAAGCCTATAGAAAACATGGTCCAAATGTCTCAGCAGAAGAACATAGAATCGGAGACATTGTTGTTCAACCACGGCAGCTGCGGAACAGGTACGGCTCCAGAAGCAGTCACCCCACCCTGGCTTGAGGATGTCTCAGGAGCCTCATCAAACTTCAGGAAAGTCCCCAACTGCGAAGCTGCCAAATGCGCATAGCAAATAGGAGCAACTGCAATCCAAAGTAAGATTGAAACAAACACCTTTAAGAAATGGAAATACAGAATCAAGCAAAAAACGGCAAACTATTCTCTGGAGATCAAGTGGGAAAATCATTAGGTAAACCAAATTAACTTGGCGTTTGAGAAAAAGCATATCATAAACACTAGGGAAGCAGCTCAACCAGAATACCTACCTACTGATATGGCAGTGGTACTTCTTTGATACCTGTATTAGAAAGAGATTACACGGAATGCAACAGTGATTACAGCTTAAAACATCTATGAAGAAATTACAACACATGATTATACACTTACACATATGATAGAGAATGGACAAGTTCCTGCAGATCGTTGACCGAATATCCACTCTCATCTAAGAGAACATGATAATGGGTAGGCCTTGTGGTTCCCTGAACAGCAAACACAAATTATAAAAACAAAGCAACATTATAATAAAAGATGAAGGGCTATACCCATAAGACACAGCAAAAGCATCGAGCACAACTTGGATGAGGAAACCAACCACAATTGGAACTTTAATCTCAGTTGTAAGTTTTCTTTCACAACAAAACATACATGACAGCCTTAAAATACAAACAATGAATTCTGGATAGAGAAGGCAAGTACAAATGTAGTTGGCAATATCTGACCAATTAAGTGAGACAAAATTGCAAAATCAACAACCATTCATCAACTGAAACAGAATTCAAGAAAAACTTACAGTCATTCCAGCATGTGCACATAGATAAAAGTCATTGTTCTGTGGATGACAAATTGTGTTGTCTATCACAGTTCCTGCATAATAATTAAAAAAAAAAAAGATCGATTTTAACAACTATAACAGAGGTACCAGATGACATGCATCAAATAATGAGTGAGCCTCACCAGGTAGAACATTATCAGGAGATCCCTGCTGGAAAAACCTTGTATGATGACTTTTTTGTGCTGCAATGACCACAAACTTGGGGTTCCAATTCTCATCAAGAAACTTGCAAGCCTATAAAGTAAACGTTAACCAGAGATGTTTTATCCCAAGCACTATCATCTTAAGACTGATTTATAACTAGCACAATTTTCTTACTTTTTTTGCATGAATAACTAAAAAAGAAATGTACAATTTTCAGTTTTGAAGGGCACTACTGCATACCGCAATAATTTGACCCAGTTCAGTGTTCAAAACTTGATTGAACTGTGACTCGCTAACCCCATCCCTGAGTTGAACCGAGAATAATGAGCAAGTAAGCAATATTGCATTAGCATCCGAATAAAATGTAACAGAAAGATCAGCAAAATAACCACAAACTAGATTACAAGAAATATGTAAAGAGATATGATGGTTCATAAGAAATGTTACATTCATAGGACCTAACTATACAGAACAGAAATCTAAATCTTAGTTAGGGCATTAGCTGGGATTTACATCATTTTAAGTCATATAGCCAGAGCAGAAAATGAGGATAATAGAAAAGGCTAAAAAATGAGAATGTTCTGAAGCATTTCAAACAGCAGGCAGCAAGGAACATGCTAGGTTGATTAAAAGTTTAAAGGACAACTTGTACAATCTGTAAGCAACATGAAGAGACTAAGCAGATCAAATATACTTGAATATCAATACAGCATTTCACAAGTAAAAAGATGATTTAAAAGAATAAATACACCCATTACTTGAAGTCAATACAAATAGAGTTTGCAAAGCAGAGACCAAGCCGTGGCAATTAAGAACTAGGAAAACCAAATTTTGCATCCCTGAGTTCCTAAAAATGTATTCTTTCAAAATGTATGATTTAGAATATTTTTGTTATATAGAATGAACGTGAGAAACAGCAAAATGTAAAATAAGAAACCTGAATATGATGATTTGAGTAGGCTTTCTCTGTCCTGAGCTTCTATAAAAGTCCAATACGCCTGCCTGATATCAAAGAAAATACGTTAGGTACACAAACTATAAACATTATATTCTCAAAAGTTAAAATACTACGACATAAATGATTACCAGCAGAATAACATATTCTTATTACAACACACCCCCAATGACGCCCCAAGCAAGAAGAGAGAAACAATAATAAGGATATAAAAAATAAATTTTCAGCAAATAACTTGTCCCTTTTTTTGGATAAACGATGTCCTTATTTTGGCCAATACTTGTCCCTTCGTTAGTCAAATAACTTTAAGATTGAAACGTACCTCATAAGACCTCCATCCACCTGGTCAGACACTCGTTTGAATAGTGAATCTATCATTTTAACCTTGGGCGACTGTGTCCGAACAGATGCCCTATAGCGGGAAATCGAAGGCCACTGCCTGGAGTTAACCACCTACAATTAAATACAATTAAAAAATCTCACAAAATTTGTAGTACAGAGAGACTGCCAATTCACATCTCTATAACTGCTTGCAATTGATTGAAACTCGAGAAACCCAATGATAAGGAATAAGATCTTCCCTACCGCAGCTATTGACGGGACATCGGACTGCCCAGGAGAGCCATGTGACACACCCATGCCAAGGATCATAGTTGGAACACTTGAAACGACAGGGAATGAAAGTGTTTGTTCAATTGATAACATTGAATTCAGTCCTCCGAGCTGTGAGCAGATTATGATATTAGCAGGTTTAATTATAAATAGAACAATAACCCTACTGGTTTAACTACAGAAGATTAGAACTGCAACCAGAGGAATGACTCAAGTTAAAAAAAAAAAAAAAATTCATTGGACGGAAGCAGACCTTTGCATTGATCTTGAGAAGCAGATTCGTAAGGTACTTGTCATTGAACCTAGTTGGAGCCATACACTGAGTGACTATGCCAAAGTGACCCAGATTCTTTCGCTTCCATGGACCTTAGAAAATTCATTGAACTTACAACGTAAGCAAAAGACTTGAAGAAAAACATGCATAGACAATGTATGAACAGATGCGTTTGTGCACACCATAAAGACCAGAAATTTTCCTATCGGGCAGCAGACAAAGAAGGAACCGTGGAGTTTTATGAGTAAGTTTAGATTGCAGCTCATCAAACATCTTCTCCACTCTACCCAAAGGAGAGAGACGTCTGTTCTCATTCATCTCTGTGAACACACCTAATGGACTATCTACACGCTGAAAAAGAGACATGGAAAAGAACTTGAGCCAACAAGTTGAATTCTATAACTTTGTATGTGTTGACTGACAATACCAATACAACCAGTACAAAAATTAGACAACAAACTTACAATTCCTTTCATTTCTCCGCATCTCATCAGATCCCGCACAAGTTTATTTACATCACAACGTGCCGAGAAGTTAACAACACCCCAATCTTCAATCCTAGTTGGCTCCACAAATCTCTACGAAAGCATAACTGAACTGTTGAGAAACAAGAGATGAAACATATGTAAGATAGAAGGCTGCAAAAGCAAAGAAGCTATAGACCTTATTGTTGAAATTCCACCGCCCATTCCGTGGCAAGAAATGTTCACCATCGCCCACTCTTATCTGTCATCAAAAGATAACTCAATTGGCATGTAGATCTAAACGAAGGATCATTAAAATAACCCTCAACAACCAGCATACATGTACAAAATATCAAAGAAACAAACAAAATTCAGAAAGATAAATATCATTAACCTACCCATGGAGCTGGCAGAATACGGCCTTCCACTTGGATGAAATTAGAGCTGATAGAAACACCACATGAACGCAGCATTGGTTCAGCACCATAATTGCTGTTATGCAAAGCCTGCACAAAATTTTGCAACACTCATAAGTTGTAGAGCAAGTGGAATGTTGAGAGTCAAAAGCTTATAATAGACCTACATTAGACAAGATACTCAGTCTTTCTTGAGGCTTCTGCCTTGATTTTTCGACTAGCGAAGCTCTTTGGAAAGTGGATAGCGCTTTTGTGTAGCGTTGCAAGGACACCAAAGTGCAGAGCTATGGCATTGCAACAGGTGCACAACAAATCATAGACAAGAATTAGTTGCTAAGCATATATCATGTAACAAAACAAAACCACAATGCACCCATTCACCTCCATAGGAATATATGTTGGCCGATTTGGCATGCCAACATTAATGCATCGCAAATCTGCAGAATAATCCAACTGTATCTTGCGATGGGTGACAAAATATTCATAAACAGTAATCTCCACAGTCTCAGCTTCACCAGTCTCATTCTTCGTACTCTTCTGCTTCCATGAGAACCTGCATTATGGACACAGTACACAACAAATAAAAAATAATAACTTTAAACTGAAGTATTACACAACATGGTAGTAGGAAAAGCTCAAAGTTAAATTGTAGCCAATTTAGCACAAATCAAAGAAAAAGCACTATTGTGAGACCAGGAAACCATACATCTGATCTTTGCAGTAAAGGTCACTCAATCCGGTAATCTTGTACTCCAGATTGGATGGTCTGACTTTTACCCTCAGATTTTTAAGCACTTGTTTAGCCTATTCAGGGTTTCAAGCAATTGCGGTTTAATAATTAATAATTGATGCAAAGAACTCTAATTCACTTGGCTAAAAAATGTAGTTATTGATAACCTTGTTCCAGTCCAGGCAGTGAGGATCTCTCATATTCTGATTGTCAAGTAAAAAATCCAATACTGGACCGGGTCGAATTATCATTGTATTTGATACATCTGAAACACAAAGAGAAATAGTAATTAAACAAACAATACAAAGCACACAAATGCAAAAGCGCTGAGAGATAAGGTTCCAACCAATATTCAGTGAAAGGCCTCCTTGAGTAGCTCTGAAACTTGAATGGAACCCCCTGCATCCTAGGACACCACCGCCAATGTTTGTATAATTATTTTCATCATCTTGGAAAAAAGATTGGCGAACGGGTAGGCATCCCCTATGAAAGTCATTGTAATGTCAGAATAAATACAATATCCGGTATCAAAACCTACAGGTGGAGAAAAGAATATGCAGGCACATATTTTAACTCACCGTTTTGCAGCATGCTGCCGTAAAATGATATCTAGCACCCTCAGGGCTTGTTGTGAGTTTTCTGATTCTTGTCCATACAAAGCATTTTGAATGGCTTGCATGGGAATCTTTGCGGCAAAGCTAATCTCCACGTTAAAAGTCTTTGACTGATGCATACGTCTTAATATATTCCTTCCACGCTCTTTTGGGCTTTCATTGCCATCAGGGCTTGCATTCCTATTGTTTCTATACATAAAAAATTAATGACAATGAATGGGAGCAGTATAAATACTTCAAATCAATCTAAAGTGCACGTCAACCTGTTGGATGTAACATCCTCAAGTACAACTGGAAACTCAAGCTTGGTACTTGGGAGAGGACCAACAGTAAATAAACTCTTCTCCCCATCATATGCAAAGTCCTTTCCAGCCAACTCACTGCTGTAGGTCTCATGCAACTTATCTATCACCTTTCTTCCAACACCCTTCCCATCCACTGGGCGACCATCTTCGTAAGAAAGAGAAACCTGTTGAACCAAAATGCAAAAGAAGAAGAAACTTGAATCAATAATTTCTATTTACCAATGAGAAAAAAAAAAGAGAAGCAGAGCGAAGTAAGCAATTACGTACACTGTAATGGAAGAAATGTTCATCAACACTTCCAACATTCACTTTGAATTGATTTGTGAGAATAGATATCTTCTGCCCTTCAGATCCAAAACCTTTCCTGGCCATTGGGACACGTACAACCTTCTTTGCAGGTTCAGATTCTGATTCGTTTGGTACTGCATTGCGCGGCAGAGGCAGGGAAGGAGGAAGAGTGCCTGTTGCCCCACTTCCCTCATCCTCAGACGAGTCCATTTCCTAACCAAGAAAATTTTTCTTACATGAAAGAAAAATAAAATATAGTAAGCACTTAAGATTAGCTACAAGACAAATTCCCTAAAAGGTAGGTAATAGTATCATTTCATGGATAAAAAGATTAGCAGAAAAAAATAATTCCTACTCTTAACTTGATAAATTAGTTATTACCAACAAAAGAGAAAAAACTAGAAACAATCACTCTTGACGTATCATAATTTTAAAATTCGTCATTCTATATAATTTAGTATTTAGTTTACTTAAATTAGATAGTGTTTATTTATATATATAGTTTTTCTTTATAAGATTATATTTTTTTTTAACTTTAAATATCCTAAGAGAAATCAACAAAGATATATCTTTTTTTTTTAGAGAAATATAAACATAAAAATTTAAAGAATTCAGAAAATAGAATAATGACTTAAAATTAGATTGAAAATTTTTGTGTCTATTGTGTAAATACTAAATTTCATGTATTTTATAAAAATTATGTTTAACAATTAATATAAATAAAAAAATATGAAATATAATTTTTAATTTTATTAAATTCATATATAATTATTATTAAAATTATAAATCATATTTCTTTCGTGTTATTTATTAATATTGTATTTCGTATTCTCTTTATTTGTATCATATTTATGTTATATTTTCATGTGATATATTATTTTAACAAAGTGAAAACAACAAAATGAGATTTTTTTTTACTAATATACTCAAAATAAGATTTTTTTTTCGACCGATATATTCAAAATGAGATTTTTTTTTTAACAATACGCTCATTCGCCAAAAAGAAAAACAAAGTCAATATGCTCATACGTCAAAAAAAAAAAAAAATCGAAGCACCAAAACTATATAATATTTAAAAATGAGATTTTTTTTTTCCTCACAAAATGCTTAGAAAATCACATTCATGCACATGAAAGACGTGTTTACGAATGATACCAATATTACCTAAAAATCAGAGGATCTGTAGAAAAAAAATAAAAAAAGCGTATGTTGATGAATGCCGGAACTTCCACAAGAAAAAAAAAAAAGAGAAATAAGCACAAATGGTAATATAAAAGAAAAAGAAACCCTTCAGAGTACCAAAAAAAAGGAACCTTTAAGAATATGAGCTTGAACCCAGAGGTACCAAGGCTGGCTATGCAGTAAAAAGGTTAACATGAAGAGGCAAAAAGGTACTGTTTTTAGCATAAAAGTCAAAACTTTAACCAAATATATTGCATCATTTAAGGGGTAGAACGAAAATATACCAGAAAGTAAATACCTTTAGCGCATCAAAAGACAGTAAAAGACTATAGGTGCAGAGGAAGAGTACATGAAGCGACAAAAAGCTGAAGCAAAAATGCACAGCTTTCTAATGGCTTGATGATAAGATGACAAAAAAGAAACCTTTTTTACTATAAAAGAACTGAATAATAAAATAAAATAACAAGGTTACGAAAGGTATATGTCTTTAAAAATAGAAAAGTGCTCTGCACTAACGAAAAACTACAGTCTTTAAAAATAGAAAAAAAAAAAAAAACAGCTAAAAAGGTGCAAACTTGAAGCGTTTGTTGAAAAACTAGAAACAAAAAATGGCAACGAAGCACAGATCATACTCAAAAAAGAAGAAAACCCTTGAAAAACCCACCCACTGAAGCAGCATTGCAATGAACAACGTTTAAAATTTTTCAAGAACAAAGGAACTTTCAAAAATACCTCAAAAAAACCAGTAAAAAAAGTCCAAAGATGAAAAACACAAGAGAAAAACACTGAAACCAAACAGGTTTCAGAGAAAAAAATACCTGAAATTTGGAGAGCAAATGAAAGATAGAAACCCTAAAACTCAAAGAGACTCGCAAATACAAATACCCTCTTATCGTTTTTTTTCTCTCACGAAAAAAGCTATAAAGCGAGTGAAATGAACCCCCAGGGACCACCCGTCTTTCTCTTTGCCTTAATTTATATCCTCTGCATCGCGACTTACACGATTATGCTGCTTTACCACATCTGCACCGTCCACCTGGTCAATACTTTATTCATAATATGCTTGAAATTTTTTTGAATGATTAAGGTTTTTTGAATAATTATATAAGTGTTTATATTGATGCATTGTTAGTATATAAATTTTATAAGTTATCAGTGAATTAAATATTATTATTAATAAGATGAATTAAATAATATCACTTCATTAATATGTAAATTTTGTTAAAATTAATTTTTACATATTTATTTTAAAAATTGATATTTGCTCATTAATAAAATGATTTCATTTTATTTAGTGACTATATATAAAATTTATATACTGATTATGTGTCAAATATAAACTCATTATATAAACTTAAGATATAGGAATGGTACCAAATATATTAAAAAAATCATTACTTTTTTATTAAAGACAACTAAAACTTATCTAAAATAAAATGTTTGAACTAAGACAAATTAATTTTACTATACTATAGTCGCATAGCAATAATCATTTATTAAAAAAGTATTAATTGGCATAATTAATCATTTTACATAAATATATAAAAGATAAAATCTTTAGTAAAAATAAAATATTCAATATAGATGACTTATATTATTGACATATATGTACAATCTTAAAAAGTTATTATGTGTCATATAATAATGAATTTTATTTTATTTGATGTATTTTTAATTTGAAAATAAATTGATTATATTTATTGTTTTATTATTTATCTTAAATTACTTTTAACTAAAATTTCAATTTGATGGTTCTAGGTTAATTGAGATATCAAAATTGTGAATTTGTTGGGTAAAAAAAATTGGATTGGGTGGAGAAGGGTGATTTGGGTAAAAAAAATGAAAAAAAAAAAGGAAAATAGTATTGGGACCACGTACTTATATATATAACTATGATGTGATTTTACATGACACGTTGTGGTAGATTAAGATATTCAAAATTAAATACCGTATAGAATAATTATACAGCTTTTTATAGGAGTAGATTTTTTCTTATATTAAACTTTAAATATTTTATCAACCACTTTGAATTCAATAATTAAATATTTTTTCACAAAAAAATGTTAAAAAATTTTTATCTGTCCATAAATGATTTTATCCTAAAGAATTAATTTCATAAATTCTTGTTTTGGTAGACAATTTTTTTTAAAGCATCATAGACATCTTTTTATTTTCTTGTAGTTATCTTTATCACATACAATTATCAAAATCAAAATATTTATAATTTTCGATTGTTAATTCTCCAAATTTTTTCTAATAGTGGCAATATAAACATTAGACTTATAATTATGATATTAGATATTACATTTCTTCAAAATAGGTAAAATAATGGTAATGTTTACAAATTGGCGAAGGGAATTAAATCGATTATTAGTAGTAGTGTGAAAGAGATGTTTCAACAAATACAACTAAAATAAATTAGGTGATGTGATATTTTTTAAAATTTCATTTAGTTCATGCTTTTATTTTATATTTTAAATACAAAAAAATTAAAATGATGAATAAATAGTATAAAAATATAAACACCGATCAGCAAGATTTTTCTTAAAACGAAGATATTAAAAGTTATCGATAGTTATATGCATTATATTTTAATTTTAGTGATTAAAATTTAATTATAAAATAAATAAATATTAATAACAAATATATCAAAATAAGAAACAAAGACTAAATTTTTTTAATAAAGAGAATATGAAAATAAATAAACACAATTAACATATAAAATTTCGTGAATACTATGTCTATTTTAGTCTTTTTTATAAAACCTAAAAACCATAGTATATACATACAAATAGGTTTAGATGTTACCTATTTCACAGCTTAATCGAATTCCTATAGCTTCAATGTTTGCTTTAAGGACTTTCGAAAAATTACATATTGATCTGCTCGATAATTGTTTCTTAATCCTTCTCAAATATATAAAAAAGTAGCAAGTGTTTTTCATGTACCTATTCTTAGGCACAACAATCTAGTTAAAGGAGTACTTTTACTAAGGAAGTTGGTTCTGGAATTTTCTTATATCAATATTTTTTTATTTATACACATTTATTAAGATTAACTTAATTCATTAAAAAAAGTTTTACTTAAATATATTATTAAAAGTTATTTTTTTTTTATAAATTAGGTCCAAATCTAGGGTTCAAGAAATCTGTTGTATGTATTGAGATTTAAAATTTACATTTGTTGAATACTACTTCTTAATAATAATTGTATGAACCAATTTAATTAAATTTTTAATTCAAAATTTATATATTTACCAAGCTTAAATATAATATAAATATATAAAAACCAAAGTTTTTGGTGAAAGGAAAAATCCAAGGTGTCATGCATTTTAATATGTCATAATGTATAGATCCGTAGACTTATCGCTAGATATGGATTAGAGGAGTCATCACCAATCTTTTTTATTTATGTGTGATTGG